GGATCTTATAATCTGCACTGGAGTGAATGAAATTTGGATATTAAATGGATGGTAGGAATATAGAAATTCCGTTCGGGTCGTGAACCACAACCCACAGATGAAAAAGCCGTGAAGCTCAATCGCATTTCGGTTAGGTCGGTCAGTTTCGCGTACGCCCTTGACATGTGGTAGTAGACAGGTGTAGTTTTAAGTGGTGTAACGTTCATAACTGTAGTTATAAGTAGTGGCACGAATCTTTAGCGCTGAGCGAATCCTGCGCAGAAGGCAAAAATAAGGAATCGAATGGACGGAAGCGGGCGCGGAGCGAGTGAACATCACATGCGCTTGCGTTGATTGGTTCCCCGGTCGTGTTGTCTTTGTCGGACCAAATAGACGCTCCGCTTGCACCTCGGATCTCGCATCTCGGATTGTAAAAATGCGCAACTATGTTCGTTCAGCGCTAAACATCCGTGCCGACCTATACCTACATGTATATACGATTTTTGACTTTGACTAGAATATCCAATTTTTGTACAGGGTGTTAGTAAATAAAACAACGCAAGACTAACATAAATCATTTACCATATTGAAAACAGATAATATACTGCGCTTATGTCTACATTATTTATCTGTGTAAATGCTAGGTACACAATACAAGTATAGCCATTAGTAATAACATCAATAGTAAAAAAACACAGTATTGTTGCGCCGGCGCTTCATTTCATTAAAAAATAACAAGAAACAGTGAACCGAAAAGGGGAAATATATACTTCCCAAAAATACGTAATTCGATTTAGTTAAATAGTTATTTCATATATTTTTTGAAGTCGTCTATAAAATTAATACACTTTTTCGGTATAGCAATGATTATAAATTATTTTACTAATTATTATTATGTAATTCATATATCTTTATTGGTATTGTACGGTAGCGAAACATCCTACCGCGAGCATGGTGCGCAGACTACGCGTCGCTCAGCGTGCGATGGAAGGGACTATGGGGGGAGTTACCCTGGGTGATCGAATCAGGAATGAAGATCCGTAGGACTATGTCACTGATATAGCTCATCGAATCAGCAAGCTGAAGCGACAGTGGGCTGGGCACATCGCTCGTAGAACTGACGGCCGTTAAGACAAAAACTGGAGTGGAAACCCCGTACCGGACAACCTGCTTCCAGGTGGACCGACGACCTGGCCAAGGGAGAGGGAAAACGATAGTTTCAACTAGGAGACGGCGCTGGGAGTCTAAGGGGAGGCCTTGTTAAGCAGTGGACACTGAACGGCTGAAGCTAATCTTTATGCTAAATATTCATACAATTTTATTTTTCGATATATTGAATTAGAGATGCACCGAGTAATACTTTTGCCGAGTAACGAGTACCGAGTTTTACTCGATTCAATTATTTTTCAACCGAGTACTCGGCCGAGTAACTCGGTTGAAAACAGGTATAAACAGGTTCGCGCCGGTCCCCACCTTTCGACTGCCAGTCATTTGATTGTTTGCAAACGCGTTATTAATTGAAATTTTTTAAATTACTAATAAATTATTTAGGATTAACACTGTCATTTTAATTATATCTACCTAAATATATTGCTTTTCTTAAACAAAGTATACTCGTTATTAAATAATGAAGTATAACCGAGTTATTCGGCCGAGTACGAGTGTCAAAAAACCCGCCGAGTATCAACCGAGTACTCGGCCCATCTCTAATTTCACCCAGTTCAAGTTTCACTTATGTCGTAAAATTATTTCAATCTAAATATATTTTTGATTAACACAATGCCATCTGTGCATATGTATGCACATGAAAAATATTATTTTCCTCAAACGTTAAACTCTGTAATTTCACCTTCAATGATTTCTTAAGCTGCAAAGCTTAAGCTCTCAATAATTGAGCTACGGTGTCCGTGCAGGAGTACGTGCAGGTGCACTGTAGCTCAATTAAGCAACAGCGCGGAACGCTGTAGGTAATGGTTCAAGTCCCGCCCGTGTCGTCAATTTTAATTTAAGTTGGTTTTAAATAAACAATGTCTACCGGGCTGTTCGACCGCGGCGGACAACTCATAAGTCTTCAAGCAATCGAGGATTTAACATCTGATGATGCCGTCCGCACGTGATGGCGAAACGTCGAGAACCTCTTCTCGCTCACGTCGGCCGAACAGCCCGAAAGACAATGATATGCTGACCGATGGCCGTGAAAGCCTTACACAATTTATTAAACATCGACTAGTTTGAAAAACAATACTTTTTCGTTGTATTTTTATCAGTTAGTTAGTTCTTACAATTAAGTATCTAGTAGGCCATGATTTTGAGATCTATCAAGCGAAATATTTATACTATGAAGACAAAAGATCTTGGAATTTGGAAGTTAAATGGAAAACTCAACGGTTTTAAACGCGAAATCTCTCAGCCTGCCGTGACCAAGGCAGCAATCGTCAATTGCAAGGCTGGCTTCGAATTCGACGGGGCATGACGGAATGCAAAATGAAAAATGTTAATTACCACTGGTTCAATGGTAGGTAAGTATGGCTAATAACGGCTAGCGTGTTCAACCCCGACGGGGTCCGACATGTTTATCGTCTAGTTGAAATGTTATATTTTTCTTCACCTTTCCTAAAGTTGAACGCCATGCTTGACTGTCCTCTACCATAAAACAAAACATCGAAGTGAACATATTTTCCCCCCCCCCCCCCCAATTTTTTTAAAAATCCCCCAAAACCAAAAACCCCTTTTTTTTTTAAGAATTTATTTGGGGCTCCAAAAAAAAAAAAATTTTAGGGCAAAAACTTTGAAATTAAGTAACGTTGCTTAAATTTAAAGAGAGGTACAAAATAGGATGTTATATCTGTTGGCTGAAATTGTCAAATGTAGGTAAAAATTGTTTTTACAATCTAACGCATTTGTTAGATCTATGCATTTATATAAGTCGCTCGCAGAAAGTTTATCGAAAAACGAAATAACACTAAAATTGATTGTTGAATTATTTCGTAATCCTTAATCTATTTTAAGTACGTAAAATTTGTACATTTCATTTTAAGATAATAATTTAGTCTGCCGTAACATCACAGTTTTTAGTATAACAGTAGAATCCGTTTATAATGGCGAAGCCATATTGGTTAATTATGACGTCATACAAGTATTCTTTAATGTCACAATACAAAACAACAAAAAAATAAAAATTGATGGAAATTAAGGGTAAACGGCGACATTATAGCTGAATGTTATCTCTTCCAAGCAACCGTGGTACAAATTAAAATTCAGTAATAAAAATTAATGCATGACAGTAGAAAAAGAACTTATGCTATTTACTAAAACTTATTACAAACAATTATACAAATTGGGCTCGAAAAAAAAAACATTTTTTAAGTAAACAATATAACTAAGCATTTTATGAATGATTAAGTAAATAAAACATTAACGGTTTAAAACACAATGTATATAAGTTAAACCTATTTGAAAATTATTTAAACTACGGCCCGACGTTTCGGATGCTTTGCAGCAGCCGTGGTCATGGGTGGGTAGATATATATCGCGTTTTAAACCGTTAAACTGTTAAATGTGTACTACTACATACAGTATTTAATAAGTTAACTAATAAATTTCGATTTTTAAACCGTTATAACAGTTTCTTTAACGTCTTTATATGTCGTGACATTATAAATCTAAGATGGCCGCCGATACAAAATGGCGGATTACATATTTCTTCTTGACCCCCTTAATATGGGTGTCAAATGAAAGGGCTACACTAGTAAAACACGATGACTATCTCATTTATTTTATAGTTTTCAGTGCACAATAAATAAAACCGTTCAACTTGAAAGTTTTCTTTAAATTGATAAGGCCGCCGTTTACTTATAACCTAGTACATAAGAATTTATTATTGTAAACCATTTCTGTGGTGTTTGTAATTAATAAAGTTAATAAATAATAATAAATAACACTTGTTCTCATTATAATCGGACTCAACTGCAGTTCGTATGGACTTTATTTTAAGTATTTCATTCATCTAATTTATATACAGATCTTACAAGGCTTTATTAATCGAACCTTAAATATTAGGCGTCGACACCGAACTGTTAGCGATAAATACATAATTTTAAAACTTATTATAATTTATTATTTATTGTTATACACGGAATACTAAATCAATTATACGTACGTTTAAATAAAACACTTTAACGGTTTAAAACGCGATACTTTAGTTAACTTTGTTTGCATTTTCCAGCCCGTACTGGTCGAATAAATACTGTCTATAGTTTAATTATTATATCCCGTTTTAAACCGTTAAAAGTGTTTTATTTGAATGTAACAGACATGCTTAGATCTTTATTTCACTCCTCCAAAATGGTGTACTACAAGAACGTCTTTCTGTTTCTCATGAGTTTAGTTCTTTGTTTTTATCTGAACTCTATAAATCAAATTTTAAGATACACAGTACTTTACCTTTACTTTTCATTTCTGGATCATTTCGTAAGCTGTGGCTTTATCTATTCCCTACGAAAACAAATTTTGAGATACAGTAGTATAGACCCCTAATTTTTCTTTACTGATTTTTTGTATTCTGTGGCTTTATCTATTCCCTACCAAAACACATTTTGACATACAGTACTATAGACCCCTAATTTTTCTTTACTGCTTTTTTGTATTCTGTGGCTTTATCTATTCCTTACCAAATCCAAAATGTAGTACTATAGATCTTTCCTTAAGATGCAGTGCTATAGATCCTTACTTTTCTTGTCTGTCTTTTTTTGTAGTATTCTGTGGCTTATCTAATCTTAATATACCAAATATAATTTTAAGGTACAGTACTATAAACCTTCTTTTTTCGTTACTGTTTTTTTAGCATTCTTGGGCTTTCTCCACTTTCTGCTTCCGGTTTATTTAGTATTCTGTGGTTTACGTGTTACCGAATGTAACTTAAAGAGAGCTTAACATTTCGCAATATTCCCTTACATACTTCAATAAAACGCGCAACCCAAACCGGGGAGGCCCCGCGGGTGCTTCCCCGAAATCGGGTGATGTTATTTAAGTAATTTCTCCTGTTCATCTCTCGCGGCGAAGACGTCACCGTTGCGTTCTGGTGATGTCCGGCTGAACGAAGATCGTCCACCAGGCGGGTTCGGAGGATTCGGTGACACCTTAAAACCAATATTTTTCCTCTTAACGGGCTCGTTAGTCTATTGGTATCAATGGCTAATAATCATCGGGTCGTGGGTTCGAACCCCAACAGGTCGGGTCGTTGGAATATAGAAAGTGCGTCCGGGTCACGAACCACCGTCCGTCGGATTTCGATTCACATTTAGGATCACTGACACGTGGCTGACGGTTGTTATTGCCTTTGTTCTTATACGTATTGTGTTAACTTCTGTAATTTACCCTTACTTAACTCATTCTGCTTGTTACAAAACTCTATTTATATACTCGAAAAGCTAGTTAAGAGAATTAATTCAACTTATTTATTGATTTTAACCTTCAAAGTATATTTTAACGATATTAAATTATGTTGGCTTTTGAAATAATGTTTTCGTCCTACACGAATGTTATTTAATACATGAAAATAAATCAAACCCAATATGATTTGTTACTGGTCGCGAAAAGTCAGGTGCAGTACCTATACAAATTCAGCCATTGTTCTTTCAAGTTGTAAAACGATCAGAACAGTTTAATTTAACTACCCTCTTATCTCACACAAATGACCCTCACCTGCCTAGAAGGTGTCTTGTGTTCACCACTGATGCTGATGTCTTCATCCACTGACTGTAGTAACTGGAAAAAAATATAATCTGCTTAGTTAAATTACAAGATAGTCAGTTTAAGTGCCTCCCAGTCTTTTTTTTAATCTAAGTTCCAAAACTACAAAAAAATACTTGAGGAGATAGAGACTAGACTAAAAATAATTCTTCAACTTTCACAGTGTGAACTATAAGGATATTAGGGACACAGTGGGAAGGTAACATTGTGTTGGTTTGATAGTAGATATGCATTGACTATACCCTGCCTTAAATGCTTAACTTATGTGTAGACAGTGGTGACCTAGACGAAATTAGGCATCCCCCCCATTTTAAACCCAGATTTTCAAAGTGAGAATCAATAAGTTTAAACCCTTAGTAATAGTATCACTACTGGACCACCGTGTACCATCTTATGTACGTAACATAAAAGAAAATAGCGTCTATAGTTTACGCGAGTAGTACACATTTAAATAAAACACTTTACGGTTTAAAGCGCGATATATTAGTTAAACTTATTTGAAAATAATTTTTAACTTCGGCCCGACGTTTCGGATGCTTTGCAGCAGCCGTGGTCGCGGGGAGACTTTTCAAGCTTAACTAATATATCGCGTTTTAAACCGTTAAAGTGTTTTATTTAAATGACTGTCTGGAGAGTCTCCACCACGGCTGCTGCAAAGCATCCAAAACGTCGGGCCGAAGTTAAAAATCATTTTCTAATAAGTTTAACTAATATATCGCGTTTTAAACCGTTAAAGTGTTTTATTTAAACATAAGAGTATATAATTCTTCAATCTAACAAACAAAATAAACCTTCAAGTTTGATCCTTCTTCTCTAAAAGTCGTAGGATTTTCGTCAACTTCTTCAAAATCAACTTTTGAGTCAACTCCTCGTCTCGATTGTTTTGTTCTCTCCTTGTTGTGGTTCCCTCGTATCTGGTCTAACAGCCGCGTTGCTTCGTCAACTCACTCTCTGTAGAGTCGTTATCGGTATGTGGGTGGAAGGTTAAAAGGGATTTTTCCGTTCTGAATTGAGCCTTCTTTTTGTTACCTGGTGATTTAACCTTTATTACTCGCCTCTGCCTATAAAAACGCCCTTCTTTTTTAGGGCCCTTACCCAAAAATGCCCTTTTTTAGGCCCTTACCTAAAAATACTTCTTGGGCCCCTACCTAAAAGCTACTAAATAGATATAAAGGGTGCTGCTATAACAACAAATGCTAAAACAATAAATAAAGGATTTTAAAGAGACAATAATTGATAACCTAACTAACCTAGCAATTTAATCATCTATCTATCGCGGTATAGCTTGGTAACAGACATACAGACATCAAAGTCGTAGTTCTTTACCCGTACATAGTCCCGAAGCAACAGTGTGATTCTTAAACACGCGTGAACCTAACTGGGCTATCGTTATAGTACCAACCGGTTTGATCTACCCAGACTTTTGAATACCCAAAAAATGAGATTCCCCACGAACGCAATAGCCGCCGATATCACAGCGATGTCATAACCGACCTTTTTTATCCCACTCATCAGTAGAATCGTCGCAGTTAGCCACATCCCTCCACAGATCCAATTCAGTGAACGACTTATCCTGTGAAGCACTTGCCGAGTATTTCCTTATCAATTCAGCTTCTGACGCCCGAGGCGGTATATTTCTGAAATATTTTGACGAGCTGGCGATCTGACTGTCCCTTCGACGTGTCAGATCTATTGTATCTGACAAATTTGAGGCGGAATCCGCCTTGGCTGTAGTGTCATCTGACGTTGCTTTTGGTTCAATATCTTTTTGTACATTTGTATCAGCTTGTTTTATTCCCCTGTCAACTTCTGTATCACTCTTCTTTTCTTTACGTACAATTACGTCTGAATGTGTCTCTCTAGTCTTTATGCCATCGTTGATACTGATAGAACTATCTGGTTCTTTTTCTGCATTTGAAGATTTCTTGTCGCCAACGTCTCCGTTCTGACCTCTCTCGTCTTTTTTAGTGCTGGACGCTGATGCTCTGGTCGAATCAACATTCTTCCAATACCTGGACGTATTCGCTGTCTGGCTGTCCGTCCGGCCAGAGTCTTTATTAGTCCAGTATCTTGACGAACTGCCCAATTGACTCTCGGAGCGAGCGAGGAATTTCCTAGCAAGTTTATCGGATAGATATTTGGCGATATACTCTTTGTCGCTGGACGATGGTGATGCGTCGGTTGATAGAACGTTTTGAGACAATTGTCTGAACTCCATCGTGTGGGATTTTGGCTACAAAAAAAATTAGAGAAGACGCCATTTTATTGACTTTGCCTTTTTATTTTTGTAGATATTTTATTAGGAAGAAAATATTCTTGTATTAAATAAGATTATTATAGACTGACATCCTAAACTTTTCGTAATAATTTTAGGCCAGTAAGAATTACAATTTATGTGTCGTTTACTCCTATAAATGAAAGAAGGTTTAATTAACTGAACATATAGATAAAATATATGCTAAATAAGTTAACAAATACAATTCGCGTTTTAAACCGTTAAAAGCGATTTATTTAAAATATCTATAAATAATTGTCAGAAAATTAAATTTCATATTATAAATTATAGGAGCAAACACTAAACGAATTGTTTTATATAAATTGTCCTGAATTATTATGGAGACATGTAATCCATGAAAAAAAAATAAACCTTATCAACCCTTTCCTCCGGGCCAGAGGAAAGGGACACCACACTCTGCGATCTACGCATCACAACTTCACTTAAGGATTTGTCAAGGTTCTGAAACGGAAGGAAAGGAGAGGTAAGTGGAAAACTGGTACTGTATAGCTAATAAAACCTGTTAGTTGAGTTAGTCAAAAAGTAACAGTAACTACTCCAAACAGTATTATTTATTAAAAAATCGATGTATAGGCGGGCTTGCGTGTGACTGCTATCAACCCAATTCCCGCCTTATAAAACGTTTAATTTACATAAACACATAAATAATTAAAACAAACAAACTATACATTGTCTGATGTAGGATGCTACACTCGATAGCTTAGAACTAGATTGGAGGATGATGCAATCGCATGTGGCTTTGACTTTGACTACACAATGTCAAAGTCAAAGTTCAAAATCATTACTTCGCGTAAGTTTTTTGTGTGAGGGTACCGCTTACGAACGTCACATCAGTCAAAAACTCTTAATTTCAATTTGAAAGTACGAGAAGAACTGGCGAGAAACTCGCCGCTCACTCCTTTTGACAAGTTTCAATTTACAGTCGTCATGTACTTGCACAACATATTTTTCGTGTTAGAGTAAGCTCTACACCTCAAGCATTTTTAACGTTTAAATATTGATTACCGTCTCAATTACCTTTTCCAAGCAGTTTTTGTTTTATACCCTAAATCAGACAAAGAATAAGAAAAAAATGGAGGTAGTTTAAGAAAATGATACCTTGTCGACTTCGGTGTCAAATTGTTCGTTCGTAGCACCCTTTGATAACGCGCCCTTCTCCATAAGGGTAGCACGTTTTGCAGCTAAATATAAAGTTCTGGAATAAAAATATTGCTATCAAATAATACATTTTGACGGTTTAAATCGCGCAATTTACTTAAACTTGTTTGACTGATAGATTGATTAGTGACGGAATTATTTTCACTATGACCCGACGTTCCGGATGCTTTGCAGCAGCCGTGGTCACGGGGAGACTAAAGGTGGAGAGTGTTTCTAATGTCTAAGTAAAAACTGCTCCGTCGTAGTTGGCATTTGGCGAAACTGACCGGGCCGATGCAGAATTGCCTACGGATGTCTTCGCGATTTAAACAGTTAAAGTGTTTTATTTAAATCTGTTCTACTACTCTGTCTACTGTTAATATTGATATTATTATAAAGTTGAAGGGTGTGCTATCGACTTATTCTTGCTTCAGAAGGTGCGGGTATGTGAAAAAGACAAACATCGATCAGATTTACAAACATCCGTCACTAACGTCCGCATTTATATGATAAGTAGGAAATAAAATAACGGTAAGACGAGTCGAGGATTGGAGTCCCGCATTAGGAGTGACGATACAGCGAGAAATGTGACAAAATAGGTGTACGCTGCAAAAACGGTTCAAGATATTTGAAAAAATATGTATGAAAAATTTTTTCTCTTTAAATGATCCAGAATAACGTGCGTTCGCGACGATCTTTTACGATTAACTTGCAAGAACGACGGGAAGGGGCGCGACCATCGTCGTGGCTATCAGCTTTATAAAGATGAAAGGGCTTGAGACAACCAATTCGGATGCCCGAAATGACGGTTCTCGCGGACGAAGTCACTGTGTGCTTTTAAAGGCTGAAAACGATAAGAAATTTAACCCTAACGAAATTATTTTGCGCGAAATGTGTAAAAAGTATTGTGTTTTTCGATAATCACAGACCCGACAGTCGTAGGTGCGATAAATTTTTTAGACTTTTAAAATCGAATAAGTCTTAAATAACATACCGTTTAACAGTGAGGTAGTAGAGTTCTGTGATCGCCCGCACCGAGTAATCAGGCACAAAAGTGTGTCTCAGCATCGAATCCATGTTGATATTCTGGAGAGAGCCCATGGCTGATGGCGTTGGTGATTCAGCTGGTAATAATAATAATAATAAAGACTCTTTATTGCACAAACATAGACTAAAGAACATATATACTTAGAATTATATATACAGAATAAAACGTGTTTGTGCAAAGGCGGCTGGTAATAAGGAGGGACTGATTAGTCATGCGCAAGAGTTTCTGTTGGAGAACAGAAGGAGAAGTGTATGAGATGGGGAACATTAAAATAATACACAAGTTCAATAAAAAAAAAAACACTTTAACGGTTTAAAACGCGATATATATTATCCCCGATTAGCGTCTCTCCGTGACCACGGCTGCTGCAAAGCAGTTAAAATAATTTCAAAATAAGTTTAACAATTATATATCGCGTTTTAAACCGTTAAAGTGTTTTATTTAAATGTGTACTACTCGCGTAAACTACAGACAGTATATGAGTTCACCGAGTTTAGATTTAATAATAAACGAAATAATTTTAAACCGGTTAAAACACAATATCAGTTTAACTATGACTCGACGTTTCGGATGTAGTCGTGGTTAAACGGGAAGAACGCAGTTAAATATCATTAGTAATAAAGTTCGCATTAAGACGCATTTACAGTTGATTCAATTATTATATGAGCTAGCGGCCTCAGGCTAAGCAGAGTGGCCTAACTGCCATTATATGACTTAATTTATCCATATTTTTATAGGCTAAAAATGTTTATCTACAAGAGCACAGTGACCGACAATTGTTAACATGATTCTTACGCAAATAATAGTACAAATTCATTTTCGTCTAAGTTTTTATCTTCCTCCTTATTGAGAATCGTGTTTTTCGTTATTAGGCCACTCTGGCTCTAGCAGCCTCATATAGGTATAGTACAATGGTTCAATAAATGGAAACTTGGTACGTCAAAAACATGTAATTTTATTTTGACGTTAATACTTTGGTGTGTGTGTGTGTAAACAATCTTAAATATCAATAAAAGAACAATCTAATTTAAATAAAACACTTTAACGGTTTAAAACGCGATATATTAGTTATAACTTATTTGAAAATGATTTTTAACTTCCCCCCCCCCCAAAAAAAAAAAAAAAAAAAAAAAAAATTTTTTTGGGGGGGGGGAAAAACCCCCCGGGGAAAAAAAAAAAAAAAAAAATTTTTTTAAAAAAAAAAAAAAAAAAAAAATTTTCGATTTGTGAAAAAAAAAAAAAAAAAAAAAAAAAAAAAAAAACAAAGGAAAAAAAAAAAAAAAGGGGTGGGGGTGGGGGCCCCCCCCGAGTCACAAATGTATATAAATATATAATATTAGGCCTTGCCTTGACAAGTTTAAGATTAACCCTTATAATAAATTATTAAAAAACTGCCTATCAGCCGTGGTAAACATAAACACGACACTTAAAAATAAAAAAAAAAAAAAAATTAAAAAAAATAAATTAAGAAAGATTTTTAACGTCCGGCCGAAGTTAAAAATCATTCTCAAATAAGTTTAACTAATATATCGCGTTTTAAACCGTTAAAGTGTATTATTTAAATAACATAACTTGTTTTTGGATTAATAAGTACCAGGGACCTATACTTATAAGAGACTTACCGAGTCCCACGTTCTGCGTAAGCGCTTGGACCCCGAAGTAAGTGAATGGACCTGCTTCGAACACCAGATTCTCTCGTCCCACGGTCACTTCTACGCGACCTTCCAGGATAAGCACGAAGTAATCCACCTGGAAGCATCAGCTTATGTCATATTGTGAGGTAAGTGAGGGCTCTACCCCTGTGGACATGGGACACATTTATGTGTCTCTTTCAGTAATTGATTTCATAACCAATTGATTAGATTTCTATACACAGCACATCTAAAACAATTTATTGTTTGCTCTGGATAGGAACCTAGTACCTACTAGGCTAACATAAACATTGAGCTGTTGAGATGACCACCGACCACACAACAACATAGGAAGTGCGAAATCCCAATGTTGGGAATGCATAACAGTCGGCATAAATTAAAATCTATTTAATTTTAAACAATTTTACGACACTGGCAGGCCTTGATCCGGCATCCGGCATTGGAGTTTGAAAATTATACATAAGTAATCGTGAAAATAAAATTTTTAACGGTTTAAAACGTGAAATCTTAATTCATTCCAGCTGTTAATTTTTAAACCGTTAAATGACTAAACAGACAGTAGATGTTGGTCGTGTGCACTTTAACGGTTTAAAACGCGATATATATTAGTTGAACTTATTTGAATATTATTTTAACTACAGCTCGACGTTTCGGTTGTTTTGCAGCAGCAGTGGTTACGGGCAAATATATCGCGTTTTAAACCGTTAAACTGTTTTATTGAAATGTGTACTACTCGCGTTAACTACAGACAGTATTGGGTTTTATCTTCATAAAACAGAATTTATAGTTTGGTGTCAGTAGATGTTGGTCGTATGCATTTTAACGGTTTAAAACGCGATATATATATTTAGTTAAACTTAATTGCATAATAATAATCATATATATTAAATTTAAGTTAACTAATTTTTATAATGATAAGTACCAGGGTAACATAAAACATAAAGACATCTCACCGGCTTTCCTTGCTGGAAGACGTAAGTCGACGGATCCTTTTTCGTCTTGCCCTTAACTTTGATGTACTGTATTACATCTTGTTTGAGCAGTCTTCTAAGAACGGTCTCAGATACCGTGTCCGGACGGAAAGCGTCCACACCTGACGGATAAAGTTTTATATTTTGACAATAATATCTCTTTGAATGAAACACTTTAACGGTTTAAAACGCGATAAGTCGAACTTGTTTGAAAATTAAATTTTTACTACAGAACGGTTCGGATGCTTTGCGGCAGTCGTGGTCACGGGGAGACTAGAGATGGAAAGACGTCTAACGTATAAGTTAGCTTAAACACTTCGCGTTTTAAACCGTTAAATTGTTTAATTTAAATGAGTATTACTCGCGTAGACTACAGACAGTAGTTAATAGTACTATTACCGAATATTTAAAGGCAAAATGGTTTAAAACGCGAAATGTATTTATTGGGTGACTTATTTGCGGCCCTCCGTGACAAAGCTGCAAAGTTAGTAAAATAAGCTAACTTTTACATTTCTCGCTTAAAACCGTTAAATGTCTAAACAGAATTTATAGTTTGGTGTCAGTAGATGTTGGTCGTATGCACTTTAACGGTTTAAAACGAGATATATTTTAGTTAAACTTATCTAAATATTATTTTAACTACAGCTCGACGTTTCGGTTGTTTTGCAGCAGCAGTGGTCACGGGGAAATATAACGCGTTTTAAACCGTTAAACTGTTTTATTGAAATGTGTACTACTCGCGTTAACTACAGACAGTATTGGGTTTTATCTTTATAAAACAGAATTTATAGTTTGGTGTTAGTAGATGTTGGTAGTATGCACTTTAACGGTTTAAAACGTGATAAATATTAGTTAAACTTATTTGAATATTATTTTAACTACAGCTCGACGTTTCGGTTGTTTCGCAGCAGCAGTGGTCCCGGGGGAAATATAATGCGTTTTAAACCGTTGAACTGTTTTTTAAATGTGTACTACTTGCGTAAACTACAAAGTGTCCCTGGTAGGTGCAACATACTTACTAGTGCTTAGAAACTGGAACGTAGCGAGTGTCAACTGCGGCGATATATGAATGCGTCTGTGGTCGTGTCTCTCGGCGAATGCTGCGAAATCCTGCAGTTTGTGCTGCGGTTTGTTGCGTCGACGTTTCGTTCTGTTGTCCACTAAATAGACGATATACAGTGTATTTCTAACTTGTGAAAAGACCACAACGAATATAACCGATTTAAATCCATAGATAGCTAGTGGTGGCGTCTGATAGAGGTACACAGGTGGCGGCCCGCCGATAGCAAATATAATACTCAAAGGAATAAATTATTTTTATACGGTTTCATTTAGCTCGACCCGTACGGCATTTATCTATTCGGGTCAAAATAAGAAAATTGAGATTTAAGCACCTTCTCGTTGTCAAATTGTTCTGAAAGTTGGTACACACATTATAAATCCAAGATGGCCGCCGATACAAAATGGCGGATTACTTATTTTTCACTAACCCCGCACTATATGGGTGTCAAATGAAAAGGCTACACTAGTAAAACACGATGATTATCTCAAAATTTAATTTTTTTTATAGTTTTTATGCACAATTGTTTAACTTAAAGTTTAACTTATTTTTTTTTATTATCTAGTTATTTAATTTTTATTATCGTTATCAATTCTTTATTGTCAATTACCTATACTTCTGGCGACTCGCCATCAGTTGGTGATTTGCCCGAGTGGGCCCTACTCTTAATAAGTCTGTGCATCCCATAGAGTGTAATTGTTGCAACGATAGACGTTGCCACGAGACCAAACGATACCAATATCCAAAATCACTTTTATGACGACCTTTTTTTTAAGTAATTCTTGTTTAACTCGACGTTTGTAACGTTTTTCAGCGATCCCACTCACGGGACTTCTACCTTCTATTGTCGTTGACTTTGCTTACAACCCATTTTAAATTGTGTAATTGTTTACCAAAAATGCCAAGTTAGAAAAAATACACTAAACACAAAATGCGTGGTAAGTCAATAAAATAAAATTTCGTAAATGTGTATGTGTGTTGTTGTGTTATATGTGTGTGTGTGTGTGTGTGAAAATAATAACTTACAGAATACATCAGTTTCATCAACGATTTCGGCCTGAATCATTTCCTCTATGACGTCTTCAAGAGTCACCAAGCCCATGGTCTCGTAGAAGGGATCTCCCTCCCCCTCATTGTTGATTCGGTGAACGAACGCCATGTGGCCCTTATGACCTGGTGATTAAGAATACATAAACGTCTCTTTGAGGCTGGTGAAAAGCATGGCAACAGGCCCTGTTTTTGGTGTCTTTATTATAATAAGACTATTATTTCATAAAGGTTGGATGAAATAGCAAACTATATCCTTAGAAACTTAAATATTGTAACTAATTCACGCGAGTAGTACATATTCAAATTAAAACATTTTTAACGGGTTAAACTCGCAATATCTTAGACTTGATACAATTTATACGAGAGGATAGTAAGAACCTAGCATATTTTGCAAAATACCAACTACGACAAACAGATGGCGCTAGCGTAGCAGATTTATTCAAAATGTAGACAATTAAAGTTAAGTTAAGGTTTAAATTAAATTTCACTTATCAAATACAGGGGGAAAGGGTCTTCCCCCTCGTTTTTCGACAAGTATCTCGTCGTCGTCTCTAATAAGATAATGTCGAAATTATTCTAATATACTACTCATCATCATCAATCATCTTTGACGGCTTGAAACATGAAATATGTATATTAATTATTTTTTTTAGCCGAAAAGAGTATAATGTGGGGTCATATTTAATTATCGACTTATTTTATAAGCCAATAAATGTTTAATTTATTTCGTTCCACTCTCGTAAACTATAAATAAAACGTATTGTATTTTTATATAGTGCATCTTCTTCAAATTATGTCGAACTTCATGAATGCGTATTAACACTTACTTGGTAAAGTGTGTGCCTAACAAAGTAATAATCATAGATAATAGAATAGAGGAATAGATAAAGAGTTTATTACCGCCCTCTCGAGTCTCCCTGCCGCTTTTGTGAACTTTCAGACTTATGACGCACCCCCCCCCCAACCCCAATATGATCTTACCTCTATATGAGACGTAGCAGTACTAACCGTCTTTGAACTGCTTAAACATGATATCCAGGGTAACATCTTCGAAGACGAAGTTGCAAGGATTCTGGTAGTACTGGCAGAGCGTGCGAAGGGGCGTGTTGTCGTCAGGGTCCACGAAGGCCAGGTCCTTGATGAACAGCACCGTCACTATGTTGCCACGCTGGCCCTCGTACACGGGTATACGGGAGTAACCTGGTGTAAAGATGAGGAATTTGTGATTACAAAGATTAAAAATGTAAACATTCGCTTTGACAGAGCCTTTAGCTCTGCAAGGTGCATCTTAAATACTGTTCGTAGTTTAACAAATATATGTAGTGTTTAAATATTTAAATAAAACACTTTAACGGTTTAAAACGCGATATATTAGTTAAACTTATTTGAAAATTATTTTTCACTTCGGCCCGACGTTTCGGATGCTTTGCAGCAGCCGTGGTCACGGGGAGACTGATATATTTAGTGTTTTCAACTGTTCAAAGTGTTTTATTTAAACCATGAAGATTTGTTTACTGCTTGCCATAAGGTTTTTTTTTATGACAGACGAGGCTTTTTATGGTAGGTGATACCCCAGCCTATAGAATCTCAAAAAAGATGCACTGTCAACCTGGTTTAGATTTGGATATTCGGAAATCCAGATTGAAAGCGCAACGCGCTTAAGCTTCACGGCTTTTTTATCTGTGGACCGTGACCCAGATGGGATTTCTATATCCCTACCAGCCATTAAATATCCAGATTTCCAGGCGAATTCCAATATGTTTCAGAAAAATTAAAAACATGTTGGAGCCGGTGGTGGTGGTGGTCGACCCGACCGACACGACCCGGTAGAGTTTTCGTATAAAAACGCAAATACGTTTTTCCATATTTTAATTTAGTCAAGTACCACGACACAATAAAAGCTAGTAGGTATAATATAACGATTTACAAACGTCGAAAATAAAGTGGTCTAGCATGCGCGCCTAGACAAAATGTTGTCTACCGTTATAATGTCTAGTAATTGCGACTCTAGAAATATTACTTGGCTCTATTGCATAAAAGTAATCTATTCTACCTAAAATATAAACAAATATTTTGTCACTTTGTAAGATATCTACGAGTATTGGTTAATTAAATACTGTCTGTAGTTTACGCGAGTAGTACACATTTTAATAAAACACATAAACTGTTTAAATCGCGTAAATAATATAGTTAAACTTTAAAAGTTATTTTAACTACGCCCGACGTTTTGAATGCTTTACAGCAGCCGCGGTCACGGTCTCTCCGTTTTAAACCGCTAAAGTGTTATTTTTAAATCTACGAGTATGAGAGATTACATGACAGGGACAGTTAACTTGATATAAGTGAAATGCCAATGTCATAAAACATTTTATTAAGTTATCTTCTCTCCACTCACTCAACTTATAAACCCACTGGCTAAAACCACAACGTGGGTTTACTCAACTACGGCATATCCTTTTGTGGGCGGTAGTTCGTGACCTGGATGGATTTTGTTACTTTTACCAGTTTTCCCTCTTCTACCATTCAAGGCATCAACACAATATCTATCAATTAATCTACGTGCATGCTGGTCCCGGGGGGAAGAGAACTCATTGAATATTGAAAATGTTAATATTTTTCACATGTTATTGCATATGATGGCTGTACATGAATTAAAAATCATTTGATTAGAGCATCAACACAGAACGCTTTACACGCATATTCAAGTCCTGTCCGTGTCGTAAATTTTAATTGATTTTAAATTTAAATAAAACACTAACGGTTTAAAACGCGATATATTAGTTAAACTTATTTGAAAATGATTTTTAACTTCGGCCCGACGTTTCGGATGCTTTGCAGCAGCCGTGGTCTCCCCGTGACCACGGCTGCTGCAAATAACTAATATATCGCGTTTTAAACCGTTAAAGTGTTTATTTAAATGTGTACTACTTGCGTAAACTATAGAAAGTATTTGATTTTAAATTCATTGATTATTACTTAGGACGTACATAGACAAATACTCTAGCGAAATTTGTCGACACTCGCGATAGAGATATATCGTAGCGCGCATGCCAAACCAGCTAGCTGTTTATGCTAAAGGGCAGACTTGGAATCCCTCCAGATATCGAGTAAGCTATTTCTATACACAACGTTAGTCAATCCTTCGCGTTAGAATTATTTACGTGTATACTATACAGGTTGTTCTTGATTCCAGTTGACACAGACTAGCTTCCATGTTTATTATGTTAGATTATTACAAAAAGGGACAGCAAGGAATCGATGACTTCTCAGTTAAGCAGAGTCTGTAGTTTACGCGAGAAGTATAACGGTTTTAAAACCGGAGGGGCCCTTATGAAAGTCTCCGAAACGCGAAATGTTTTAGTTAATTTATTATTATAAATAAAAATAATTTATAATAATAAATTAACTAAAACATTTCGCATTATGAACCGTTAAAAGTGTTTTATTTAAAAGATTACTTTTCGTTTAGTACACATTCCAATTAATATTCTACGCATGGTTTTTTTATGATATTGGAGGCGGCCAAGCACGGGTTGACTATCGATTAGAGATGCAACGGATATCCGGTTACTATTCGGTATCCGGCCTATCCGGCCATTATTTTACTATCCGGCCGAATACCGGATAGTTGCGCACTATTCGGCCGGATACCGAATAGTGATTCTGTTTGTTATTTAACTTTGAAAAATGTTAGTATGCATACTACTAAAATTGATAAATTACTAATATTCGTTTATTAGTTAAAAAATCGAAAATAAATTGAAAAAATTTTTCAACCCGGACAAGACTTGAACCGGCATCGTCAGCTTTCCGTGTTGCTCTACCAATTGAGCTACCGAGTCCTACACCTCATCGTCGAATTTTTTCAACTTATTGATACATGCACCTCTCGCGTAATGTAATTTCAACCTTAACACTTGTGTATTAAGGTTCAACGTCTTATGATTTGCAGCTTAAGAAATCGTCGAACAGCACGGAACGCTGATGGTTCAATTCCTGCCCGAGTCAAAAATTTTTTCAATTTCTTTTCGATTTTTAAATTATATAGTGCCTTCATGTGCTATAACATGTAAAGAATTATAAAGTTTTCATTCGTTTATTAGCTTTAACGTACAATTTAAACTTATCAAAATCCATTCAACCAATGGTAGCGTATCGTATGTTAATTTTTAATCAAATAAAATAAGAGTTGCCATATAAATAAAAAGAGAGAACAATACGTAACAGGTTGAAACTTGCACGACGCGCGCTGTAAGACTACAATATACATAGGTATCGTTTGGCTGGCCGAATATCCGGTATTCGGTATCCGGCCAAACAACTATCCGTTGCATCACTACTATCGATATATAGACTTGACTTCTCTATTCAAATAAAACACTTTAACGGTTAAAAACGCGATATATATTAGTTAAACTAATTTGAAAACTATTTATAGACCGACGTTTCAGCAGTAACATCATTTTTGCAGTAGCCGTGTCCACGGCAAAGCATCCGAAACGTCGAGAACATTTTTTTTAGATGTCTACTATTCGCATAAACTACTGACAGTATCCTTCTCTATTATAAAAAATAAAACTAGCTATGTCAGCGACTTCGTCCGCGAGAATAGTTATTTTCGGCATCCAAATTCGTTTTTGCAAACTCCTTCACCTTAATAAACTTAAGCTGTTATCCACGACGTCGGTCGCCCCTTCCCGTCGTACTTGCAAATTAATCTTTAGAGATAGACATATAGCTCGCGGATTATTTCTAGATCATTTAAAGAGGAATCATTCTTTCATACATATTTTTTGGGTATCTTGAACCGTTTTTGCAGCGTACCCCTCGGAAACCCATAATCATGAATAATTTTCCCAAACTTTTCCCATTTCCCGCTGTATCTTCGCTCATATTAGTTACAGGGCGATATTTTATAGCCTATAGCCATTCGCGATAAATGCTCTAATTAACAGAAAAAGATTTTTCAATTAGAACCCTTAGTTCCTGAGATTAGCGCGTTCAAACAAACAAACTCTTCAGCTTTATTAGTATAGATTTGGAGTATTTATTAACCTGACTTGATGATCTCAGACATGGTTTCGAAGTCCAATATGGAAGTGATCGGCAGCATGAACACATCCTCCAACTTCGTCATCACATCGGACACCGTCTTCTTGCGCAGTTCCAGTGCACCAGAAATAATGTTCACCTCGTCTTTATCCAGGTCGTTCACGTCTGTTGTGACCTGTCATATAAAAATCGCCATAAGACAAATCCTACAGACACAAAACGGCGAATTAAACTTTTAACTGTTTAAAACGCGAAACATTACATACCTAACTATTTATCAAACCTAATAACAAGTTAATAAGAAGTTTGATTAGAGATATAATAAAATGTGAATATTAAATAAAACACTTTCAACTGTTTAAAACGCAAAACATTAACACAATTTTATTTATCACTCATAATAAAATTTGATAAGAAGTTAGATGAAAAACATAAAGGAATTTAGTCTTGATTGTACGCGTGTTGTATTGCCTTATGTATTCACTAGTGATACACATTAGATACAACGTGTTTAACTGTTTAAAACGCGATAATATTACTCAAACTATTTTGATAACTACAATTTACTAAAATAAGGCAAAAGTGCCATGAAACAAACTTTCTGAATACGTAACACAGTAGCAATGATATGTACACATTATATAAAACCCTGTTAACGGTTTGAAACGCGAAATATATATTTTTATCTCCAACCCGAGATCCGGATGTCCTTTTCAAGGACATAGTCGGGTGATAAAGCTAGGAATAAACTAATTCAATAGTTTATTGTCTTGGCATACACTTTGACGTGTAACAGGCCACCTCCAGCTTTTCAAGTTGGGAATAGACTGCGATCGTTTGCCAAAATACTATTCACTAGCTACCCGCCCCGTCTTCGCTCGGGTGCAATGCTGACACTAAACACACTCAGACAAACTGTGAACGATGTTTATAAAAACGTTCCTGAATCCGCATCGAAATCCATCGCGTAATTTATAGATTTGAGCGTACATGTGTGTACCGTTTCCCCCTCGTCGGGCATGGGGCGAACACATTTCTGTGTCCGTTTCATTGATCCGTTCTTTTAACGGGCAAGTAGTTGATCTGACTTCTGTGCCCTGCCCGACCGAAACAATGTTTCCCTGGGATTCGAACCCAGGACCTCTCGCGCCCAACGCAATGCTACGCAATACGTCGAACCATTTGGCTACAGAGGCGGTTGGGCGTACATAAGGACAGAAAAGGCGACTTTGGTTTTATACTATGTAGTGACTAGCTGTGCCAGCGACTTCGTCGGCAAATCCTCAGCGTTATAAATTATTAAATTACTAGCTGTATTATAAAGAATGATTCTTAAATACTGTCTGTAGCTTACGCGAGTAGTACACATTTAAATAACTGTTTAAAACGCGATCTATATTAGTTAGACTTATTTGGAAATTATTTTTAACTGCGGCCCCGACGTTTTAGATGCGTTTTGCAGCGGCGAGACACCCTCCATATTTAGTCGGCCCGTGACCGTATTTATCGCGTTTTAAGCCGTTAAGTGGTTTAATTAAATGAATATTTTTTATATATTTTGTCTGTAAATTGTATCGTTTTCGACGTTTCCGTTTTTTTCACATTGTTACAGACTATTGATGTTTTGTACTGACCTTGACAAGTTCCTTTAATCTCTCTCTATTGTAGACGCTACCAATCTCTTCGCCGAGGAAGTAATCCAGGAGTTTACTGACTGGAAACGCGAGAGGCGCTGTCAGCGCCATAACCGCCTGAAAATGAAACATCGTGAAACAAACGTTTTCCTTGTTTTTTTAAATTATGATAGAGAACGACAGACAAGCAGGAGTCTACTTGTTAGTGCATTGGCTACCATTGCGTTAAGCGAAAAAAGTCTTGGCTTCGAATCTCGGAGAAACTTAAGAGTTTGAACTAAAAATCTATCAGTGAATAGACACAGAAATATGTCTGCGTTTTACATAATTAGGATAAAGGTATCGCATTTTTTATGTTTTAAAAACATCAAATTCTAATGTGAGAATTTAATCTTCAAAGTGGTAACGCACACTTTTACTCTATCCGAGTGAAACTGTATAAAATTTTTGCCCGGGTTTCGACTCCACGTCCCCTCGGTCTTAACGCTAAGAATTGAACTATTGGTACTACGGGATCCACAATGCCAAAATATGTATCGTTTATCGTTTTGGAGTAATACACATTTAAATAAAACGTTTTAACGGTTTTAAACGCGATATACTTATATAAGTTATTTTTAACACGTATAACAGTCGTGGTCACGGGGGTACTAAAGATGGCGTTCCTAATGTCAAAATGTCAAGGAAACAGATGGTCAGATCTGATTTTGACATTAGAGAAACACTCCATCCTCAGGCCACGACTGCTGCAAAGCATCCGAAACATCGGGTTGCAGTTAACAAATATATACCTAATATACACTAATATATTTCGCGTTTTAAACCGTTAAAAGTGTTTTATTGAAAAATACGCCAATTTATAAACTATTTGTCGATTTAAACTGAGGCCAGTCTCCGTCGTAACATTAAGTGCAGATCTACTTTGCTATAAAAAAAGATTAGCAATATCCTCTTCTATTTTATTACTCGTAAGATTTTTATTTTATGACGCATATAAATTCTCGTACCGTATCTGTTTTAACACCACAAACATGTGACTACTATCATATCTATATCATACTACGACAATAGTATAGGACGGCTGTTTCTGAGGTCTTGAGTTCGAACCCCGATAGGTTAAATTTGTTCTTAGGATCTTAAAATAATAAATTGTCAACACTACTTCTCTGTGCCGTAGGCCGACAGCGCGGAATTTTATATAAATGCTATGGAGCTGGACACTATTTTCATCTTTCGATCAATTTATTTATTCTTTGCAGTTCCCTATCAAAATCCAAAAACAACAATAGGCCGCCAGCACATCCTATTTAGATGTATAGGTTTGGCTTTGGAATACCGCGCTTGTCTATCGTTTCCATCAGTGTTCGGTTTCCTGTTTCTTACCAAATATCCAAAAGCAAAAATAGGCCGACAACATATCTGGATCAGCTGTTATAAGGCTGGAGTATTTCAACTTCCACTTTATGAAACATATGTCAGTCAAAAAAGCATGAATACATATAGATAACGAACCTTCGTAACCATAATACTCCTTGCCCCTATCATGAGTCCGTGTCGAGAACATATCGCCTGCGGTGTAATCTCGCCCAGAAGCACGATCGACAAAGTCGAAAATATCACGGCGAACAGGCCCGACGTCAACTCGTCGAGTAATATCGTGAATGTAGAATTGACCGCCACATTCCCCAGCAGAATACTGCACAACAGGTAGTTGCCGTGGTCCCTGACTGGCATGATCGCTCGGGCGTATTTTCTTTCCTGTTCCGTGCCTAAAAAAGTTGAAAGTAAAAAAAAACTAAGTTTAAAACTGCGTTCATACTACAGACAATAAAAGATAATTTTGTATGTATTGTATGTAGTCTACGCAACATTTACAAGCAAAATAAAGAAAACACTTCAACTTTTACAACGGTTTTAAACGGGTAATATAATCCTTAATTTAATTTCAACTACGATCAGAGATTATGGAGGATGTATAGGACCAGGTAGCAGGGAGATAGGAGTTATAAATGAATTGACTAGTATATTTTACGTTCGGAAAAAATTAAAAGTAATTTAAATAACACTGTTAACCGTTCAAAACGCATATATATTTGTTTTAATTGCAAGTATGATTAGACATTAGTGGTCACGGTGGGACTGGTGCTGGAAAATATGCAAAACGCCGGGTCGTAGATAATAATTAGTCAACGAATATATCTAGAGTTTACGCAAGTACTACACATTTAAATTAAACACTTTAACGGTTTAATTTGGCGAAATTGGCCGGGTCGTTACGGAATTGACTAACGGATGTCTTCGCGTTTTTCGGTATGCTTTTTATAATATATCGCATTTTAAACCGTTAAAGTGTTTTATTTAAATAGATGTTATATGGGTAGGGTATTTCATCTACCATCAAGTAAATCTCAGCCTTGATAGTCCTACTCTATCATAAAAAAAAACTTCTCGCATAAAATTTAATCTTACCCGTGTTTGAAATTATCTTCAACTCAGTCCGATCCAGCGACATGAGTCCAAGATTTAGGCCCGAGAACAAAGCCGAAAACATCAAGCACACCAAAATCAGTATCAACGCGACCCACAACGGCATCAGCTTGTTGTGCGTCGCCAGAATCTTCCAGTTCTCCGTGCCCTGGTGCACGTACTTCTCTTCATCCTCCGTCGGGTCGTTTGCGCCGTGTTTCAAATTCTTCGCGCAGATGTAAAGCTTCGAGGCTATGATTGGGGGCGGAGCCCAGAACTCGAATAGAGCCGAGGTCGGCGTCACCGATTCGGCTTTAGCCTGCAATCGAGTCATATGTGAGTTTTAATAGTAGGGTCAAGTTATTATTTATATTTTATATCTATACTACTAATAATTATATAAAGCTGAAGAGTTTGTTTGAACGTGCAAATTCGGGAACTACTAGTTCAAATTGAAAAATTATTGTGTTGCTTAGAGCTTGTATAGAGGGATATGTGGAAAAGACGGGAAAAAATCTCCGAATATTTTATCATGAAAGAATGATTCCTCTTTTAATGATCTAAAACAATGTCCGCGACGGCAGAAATATTGTCATATAGACATATAGTCTATCTTTTAAGATTAACTCACAGGAAATGTTTTGTGACAGTCAAATTTCGTCGAAATAGTTCATACAGCAAAACAATGTTAGCTAGTATACAATAAAAACAAATACGGTCAAGAGATAAAAACCTTTTGCAATCATTTAAATAAAACACTTCAACGGTTTAAAACGCGATATATTAGTTAAACTTATTTGAAAATGATTTTTAACTTCGGCCCGACGTCTCCCCGTGACCACGGCTGCTGCAAAGCATCCGAAACGTCGGAACGTCGTTAACTAATATATCGCGTTTTAAACCGTTGAAGTGTTTTATTTAAATGTGTACTACTCGCGTTAACTATAGACAGCCTTTGCAATCAGTTCAGAAATAACATTCGATTTTTTTTTAAACATAACAATTTCGGTCTGGCTGGACACAGAATTCTGGTCAACTTGCTTCTACAATATGAACAAGGACAAGAATATTTGTGCTTATGGGGAACAAGATTTTGCACATAGGATTTTTCCTTCGATGCCAATCATGTTACTACCAGTTCAGGGTTTCACTTACCAAATACTCTCCCTTCAGCAGGAACTTGCACGGCTGTCCATACTCCAGGGCATCATGAGTAAATGCAATTACCGTTCGCGACGTTAGACCTTGGCCAAAGAGTCTGCGAATGAAATTTACAATCACGACCAGAACAATAACTGGGTTATGGTTCTGCTTCTGGTCGTGATTGAGTATTCGACACGAGAAATCAATTTAAAATGGATATTTGTGATCCAAAGTATTCTAATGAAAGGTTTGGCTAAATCTTATCTGCTGTCTATAAATTTATTCACACATCGAATGATCAAGTGGAACAAGCATGCCGTAGGTCATCGAAATAAATGAACAAAGAAATAAGCCTAGTATTATATTTTATATATATTCGTATCTGGGGAGTTATTAAACTTAAAAGTGTACTAACATAAAATATACTTTTTCACTTAAACAAAATATTACGATCATCTTTATAAAAAAAGCAAGACTTAAAAATCAAAATTGACAGCTTACCTTAACGTTATCTTGGTATCAGCTAGCACGCTCGGGATCCCATCTTCCAAAATCTTCGGATCCTTTTCAGCCTCCTCAACACGCAGACCATCCAGATAGATCGGCGGATCTACTCTAACCACAGATGAGAAATCAGCCATTTGAGACATTATTTGTCTTTTCGCTCTACCACTATCAAGCAGATCTTGATAGGTTTCAAATTTGTTTCCTCTATAACCATTCAACGTATTAAAACTTTGCTGTTTGCGTCTAACAGGCTCTTCGTTTAAATTGTTTTCCGTTACATCTTCTCTTTTTTGTCTATTGGAACCAAAATTATTAAACGCCTTCTCGACAATTCTTAATCTCTCTTTGATATTCTCTATTTTTGCTTTATTAGTTGCATCAAAGTCTCTCTTACTATCAGTATTTCCACCATACTTAACTTCATTTTCTTTATCATCCCTTATTAGATTTTCTTTTTCTTTCCCTTCATTTAAAGGCACATATTTGTCACCTTGTTGCACTTCTATTACTTTTCTTTCTTCTTGAGTGGGTTTTGTGGCATTCGGAAGGTAGTTTACATCTATATCATGAGAAAGATCGACGGACTGTGTTTCTTGAAGCTCATTGTTTTCGTTGTTTGAATGTGAGATGCTGTTGACAAAAATATCTTACATTAACTAATAATTTAAAACCTAGGTTTAGGTTCTTGACTTTTTTGATGTTTTAATAATCCAACCAGACCCGATTTATGGCTCAGGTAGCTAGTATTGCTCAAAGTAAAGAGGTCTTGGTGTTAACTCCGCAGAAAAAGTAATAAGTTTGGATAGGACAAACGTTATGCTAGATACGCTTGATATAAGAGTAGGTGTAATTTATACTAATATATAAAGCTGAAGAGTTTGTTTGTTTCAACGCGCTAATCTCAGGGACTACGGGTTCAAATTGTAAAAACATGTTTTTATGTTGGTTAGAATATTTATTGAGGAAGGCGAAGGCTATGTAGACTCGCTGTGACTAATAGAAGCGAAGATATATCGAGAAATGTGATAAAAATTGGGAAAATATTCATCATTATGGGTTTCCGAGGCGTACGCTGCAAAAACGGTCCAAGATATCCAAAACATATGTATGAAGGAATGATTTCTCTTAAAATGTCCGCGCTATATGTCTATCTTTAGAGGTTAACCTGCAAGAACGACGGGAAGGGACGCGACCGACGTCGTGGGTAAAAACGTAAAATAACGATTCTCGCGGACGAAGTCGTTGACACAGCTGTTAAATATGGCGCAGTAAGTTTTGAAGGCTTAGACACGTAATTTTTCTTTTACAGTATGCTAATGAAACGCTCTTTAAGGGTTTGCCAGAAATCAGATGCGAACGATGCCCCAGCGTCCCCAATATTATACACATTAAACAAAATGCATGTGAATTGTTTCTATGCTTAGCTTTACAGGTCTAACCTACAATATACATGTACATGAGACGGTACGGAGTATACCCTTTTTATCCCCTTATGTACCCGAGCTTATTTGTACTAGGGATGCTAGGTTATGCTCAGTTAAGGTTTAGACGCGAGTTGGCGCTACAGGACCCTGAAATACTACAAAGGCTGTGTCTCAGCGTCCCGGGGGGCAATATGCGACGAACTACTAGCACTTCCGCACGCACACACGAATCTGTTAAAGTATGCACCAGTGATAAGAGCTATTACTTTAAAAATCGAAAATAAATGCTGTCCGTGCTGACGACGGAAAGCTGACGATGCCGGTTCAAGTCCTGCCCGAGTCGAAAATTTTTCTCAATTTATTTTCGATTTATAAATTATATAATGCCTTCATGTGCAATAACATGTGAAAAATATTAATGTTTTCAAGAGCTATCACTATATTGAATGAGGTGGCAATAAAAACGGATTTATTTCGTTGCACGTTGGCTGAGTTCGCAAGGTTAGCATCATGGATAATCTCATTTGAAAGTCGATAGGGAAATACTGTGATTGTAATCTTCAGAGTTACTTTTAAAAGTCTATTCTTAGTCTTAGTCATTTTCGTTGTATTAGTATGTTATAAGCTGTAAAGATGAAAATGTTAAATTAAAATTAAATTAAATAATCTTGAGTACATTTATACATTGAAACCGAACTTTTAAATTAAAATTAAACAAGAGCTTTCTATATTTGCTAAGAAGCTTATTATATTATATATATTATTATTATATTGCTCGTTAGTCAATTGTAGTAACTAAACGGGTCAATCCCCAACGGGTTACACGATCCTTATTAATGTTTAATTTTCTGTAATCTGTAAGACTAAATCTTAGTCTAACAGTCCGTATATTATATGGGAATAACGAAATTCCGTCTGTGTCACGAATTCTTTTCTATCCTCCCCTATATTAAAGCTTCAGAGCTTTGCAAGTATAAAAGGGTATATATAAACTGCGCATTGTCAGACCAACAGCTGTTGCACGCGTTCATTCATATCCACTCGACGCCCGTAATAGTATGATAATGACGCACTTGGCGACTTCGTGACTCGTTCTGGTTATTTACATTACTGACACTCTATTTTTAAATACTGTCTATAGTTTACGCGAGTAGTACACATTTAAATAAAACACTTTAACGGTTTAAAACGGGACATATTAGTTAAACCGCATCCGAAACGACGGGCCAAAGTTAAAACTCATTTTCAAATAAGGTTAACTAATATATCGCGTTTTAAACCGTTAAAGTGTTTTATTTAAATACTCTATTTTTATTTAGGACCGTTTAGTTACTAATTAAATAACTAAATTATTATATTCACAATTATTCAAAATTAAATAGCATTTGAAAATTAAAAAAACACAATAAAACATTTTTTTGACTCTGACAGGACTTGAACCAACACATTCAGCGTTCCGTGATTTTGCTCTAACCAATTGTGCTACCGATTCCTACCGAGTCGAAAAAAAAAATTAATTAGATTTTTTAATTATATAGTGCCTATATGTGCCACGATTTTCAAACGTTTAATTTTTGAGTGTTGGGCAAATTTTTGTTTATAAATTAAATATTTTTCTATAAAATCTATTATTATATATCGCAAAAACCCGTCATCGGGTTAAAAAAATTTAGTCCAGTTTATATTCGAGACTACAGACGTAGACAAAAGCTAGTGTTTTACACAAGGCGCTGAATACTTCAAACGCTATTGTTTATGATGAAGATTTTCACTTCGTTGTGTTTCATGAAATTACGCAAACGACCTCGGTGTAATTTTCATTCGCCCTTGAAATGTGCATTAAGCTAACGGAGGGATTATGTCGATGACTGTACCAGACTACGTTGAACTAGAACGATTGTGTACCGATAGCAAAAAAGATATACAATTTTAGTGCCACAATATTACTCTAGGACTCGACTTTATTTTTGTGTAATTGGAAGAAGTAGAAAATACTTAGGTTTTAAAAAAACTCCCTTTTAAAGATGTAAATAAATGTTTGTTATGGAACAAACATTTATTTAATATTATTTTTTGTGTTTAATGGTAAACACACAAAAAAACGATTTTCAACTACACTGTACTCTTCGTAGAATGTAGGATTCCTAGTGCTTCTAAAATTACTCATATATACCTAGGGCTCCCACAAAGCACCTTAGCGGGCTGGTGGTGTTTAGTAGTTCTGGCCGGCTATTGTCTCCGAGGAGGTTGTAGTACGATTTACCACACTCAGATAAAAAAAGGTATTGTATGTACTTTATAAAATGTAACACGAAGTAGGTATATTCCTTCGTGTTCTAACCCGTTAAAAACGTCTTATTTCAAATTACTAATTGTATCCTATGTATAATGCCGTACGTACACATCGCGTATTGCGAATTTATTCGTACAACACAAGTTCTATAGATTGCTATATATATAGGTATATCGTAGTTACTAGAATCGGCAGTAAAGGTCGATCACCTACGCATAATCGATACTTAAAAGTCATAGGAGCTTCCCCTATGTAGTGGGGTAAGAGGCAAATATTTGTGTACCTTATGAATAAAAAAAAATAAAACTACGTCTACAGTATATTTTTCGTAACTTGGCATTTTAGTAACAGACAATGGATTAAATATTAAAGTAATGAACTATGTATCTCAAATTCACTTAACAAAAACCACAATTTCATGCTGAAATTAATAATATATGTCATCACTAGTGCTCTATGATTTCAAATCCGCCGGTCTTATGCCAGGTTAGAAAAAATACATTATACAGACTCTGATCGCTTTTATTTACAAGCAAGTACCTAACCTACCTAGTTTATCAGACTTCGATACACAGACAGAATTATGAGCTCTTAAATAAAGCACTTTTAATTGTTTAATAGTTAAGTGTTTCTGATAAATAGTACTCGTGTAAACTACAGACAATACTTAGCGACCCGCCCCGACTTCGCTCGGATACAATGCTAATACTTAATATTAGAGATGCGCGAGGTAACGAGTACAGAGTTTTACTCAATTCAATCAAAGTCTCCGTTCGTGTGCATAAACAAGTACAGACAGTTTCGCACCCAGGAGCGTAGCTAGGTTGACAAGAGCCACGGTTTACCTAATCGTGGCCTTATCCCCTCTTTCAGCCTAGCTTGAATTGAAACTCCAAAATTATAAATAGCAACAAGAACGTTAAAAAATCCTTTTCTTTTACGCTTATACCTTCTCAAAGATAAGGTTAGTGAGCCCCTAAGTTCTGAGACCCTGCTGCATTGCACTACCTGGCCCTACAATAGCTACGCCACTGTTCCGCACCCGTCAAGACGTCGGCTCGCTCTCATCTTCTCGTAGTTTTGTCTCTTACTACTCATTCATTAGCATAGTTTTGATTTTTAAATAAAATTTTCGGTGATTTCCTAAATTACTAATAAATACTTTAAGTATATCCACCTAAATATATATCTTTTCTTAAACAAAGTATACTCGTTATCAAATAACCGAGTTATTAGGCCGAGTAAAAGTATCAACAAACCCGCGAGTACCGAGTATCAACCAAGTACTCGGCCCATCTCTACTAAATACATTACAATAAAAACATACGGGCCGCCGTTACGACCGCAAACGCTACGTCCCGCAATTTTGAAATCTGTATCTTCGAAGATTTATTTCAATTATAGGCCATATAGATCTATATTTGATCAAGAATGTATTTAAGGTAATCAATTGGATTCGGGCTAATGCTGTATCGGATAAAATCGCTTTAAAAAATAACCATTAAGTATTTGTCGTAAAAACTAACTGACGAAAAAATGTTATGGTGTGATATCCATCTGTACTAATATATCAATCTGAAGAGTTTGTTTGAACGCGCTAATCTCAGGAACTACGGGTTCGAATAGAAAAAATATTTTTGTGTTTAGCATTTATCGAGGACGGCTATAAAACATCGCCCTGTGACTAATACATGATACAGCGGGAAATGAGAAAGAGTTGGGACACTTATACATCATTATGGTTACCGAGGCGTACGCTGCAAAAACGGTTTAAAACACTAAAAAAATACGAAAGAATGATTCTTTAAATAATCTAAAAAAAGTCCGCGACGCTATATATGTCTATCTTGTAAGAACGACGCGAAGGGACGCGACAGCTTAAGTTTATAAAGATAAAAGGGTTTGCAAAAACGACTTTGGATGCCCAAAATATTTTTAGCGGACGAAGGCGCTGGCACAGCTAGTAAGAGATAAACATATATTATCATAGCGGAGTTTTGGTAGATCTTTGTGATGTGTACAATACTTAGTAGGAGTTCAGCGTGCGTTTGCAATGTAAAGCGCAATAAATTATTAACATCATATTAAAAACCTTAAAAAATAACAGTATTCCTCCGCTATTAATAATAAACCGTCCTCTTGAATCACTCTAGCTATTGAAAAAAACAATTCAAAGATTTAAGTGCACATGAGGGTAAAAAAAAAACGACTTTGTTTTATACTATGTAGTGATAGAGAAATAGTAAAAAAGCGCGTTTCGCTCCGCGAATTTTCATTAGACCAAGACTTATGACATAATGTGTTTGACCGATATAAAAACTGGGGTAAATATCAATTTATTTCGGAATCACTCAGCGTAGTAAAAAATTGGACCTATGCCAAACGTGTAGGGGATATTTATAATTATTTGAAACACACCCGACACTTACATTGAAGTAGGACACGATTGTTTATTTTTTGTTTTAGCCGTTCGATGTCCACTGCTGGACATATATCTCTATAATTCTCCTAAAAATATACCACTAGAACCCGTCACTCGCTACTTGAATCCAGCATCTTAGAGCTAGCCTTGACCAGATCGTGGGCAATGGTAGTCGTATCTCGGTTGAAAATTCTTAGCACCATCTGCCCCCCAGGTACCATGACTGGGGCCTGATCTCAGTTATACTGTTCATTTGAGTAAGGAAGGTGGTGGGGGCTGTGTAATGCTTGCCACATTTCGCAGAGCGGTTGGCGAAGGCTGTTAAATGATGAGTACCACGAAATACGCCGCTGCCCTTCCTTCGGTTCTTATCCCTTAGTGGCGTCTTACAACACCCATATATGTGGTGGTATTATTTTTACTTCAACATCCTATACTAAGTATGATTAGGTATATACAAGTAGAAATTAATAACTTAAATATGTTGACTAATTTTTACTTCGACCCCCATGACCACGGCTGCTGAAAAGATGATATCTCACGTCGTGGAATAATTCATCAACTAATGTACTCGTTTCAAACTTTTTAAATCATAAATGAATTACGGAGATAATGCTTTTTAGCCGCGTGAGTTCCTGGATTCGAGGGCTCGTGGGTCTAATGATAGCAATGAGTGGCTTTGATCCCCACCGGGTCATATAATATTAGCCACTAAGACAGTTATAACAAGAAGTTATAAAACTATAGTCCCTAATATTAATCCGGAGTTTTCTAGAATTTAGACTAGGTCAAAGACATGAAGCCCTACAATGTGAGTTAGTACCCAGACAGATTGTAAGATTACTGCGCCGTTGCACGCGCATATAGATCCTTGATTTGACCCGACTTCGGCCGCGTACAGTAGTTGTTACGGACAATATATTATTTATTTTTGCAGCTTTTAAAAAATATCTGTTAGCCACGACGTGTTAATCTTAAAAGATAGACATACTGTCGAAGAATTTTTTGGTCTCGTGAATTATTTTCGCATTTAATATTTTACTTTCTTTCTTTTGGGATTTTATTAACACTGTTAGTGAAATCCCCAAATTCTCACACAATTCAACAAAGACAAGATAAAAATTGTCAAATCCCAAAATTTTACTATATAAATACTGTGCTGTTTGTAACAGCTGCCTTCAAATCCTTTTTATCGAAAGATTTTCAATTCTAATTTCCAGAAAGGTATTAAATATATCACCATTATAATATTTGAAAACATTAATATTTTTCACATGTTATTGCACATGAAGGCACTATATAATTTAAAAATCGAAAAGAAATTTTAAAAAATTTTGACTCGGGCAGGAATTGAACCATCAGCGTTCCGTGCTGTTCGACGATTTCTTAAGCTGCAAATCATAAGACGTTGAACCTTAATACACAAATGTTAAGGTTGAACTTACATTACACGCGAGAGGTGCATGTATCAATAAGTTGAAAAAATTCGACGATGAGGTGTAGGACTCGGTAGCTCAATTGGTAGAGCAACAGCACAGAAAGCTGACGATGCCGGTTCAAGTCCTGCCCGAGTCGAAAACTTTTTCAATTTATTTTCGATTTTTAAACCATTATAATAGTTAATAAAAACTATTTTTCACATTCAAAATTAATCTTCAGATAGATGTATTTGTTAGCTAAATAGTGTCCATTTAATACACCATTAAAGTAGTTATTTTATATATTTTAATAGATCTAAGTTACAATATACCGATTCTGACCGCCTCTAGCCAAATGTTTTAACTTATTGCCTAGCTTTGCGTTAATCTGGAAGGGTCCTGGGTTCAAATCCCAGGACCTTTCCTTTCAGGGCACAGAATTTTGATCACCTACTTGCCTCTTAAATAATGGATCAGTGAAATGGACACAAAAATGTGTTCGTCCCATGCCCCACAGAAATCTCCTCAAAATCATTTTGGAAAATGATTGTGTATATTCTTACTGGACAATGGTTGACTAACGAGAGCGAACATCAGACTTATCGTAGAAATCATAACAGAACATTGCCGTCTAAACAGACATCTTACAATGATAGGAATAGGTAGTGATCCCCTATGTCCGGAGTGCAGAGAAAGTGAGGAAACAAGCATCCATCTACTCACTGAATGCTCTGCGTACTCGAGGCTAAGACAAATGCATATGGGCTCGGACGAAGTTACAGTAGATGACATTCAAGAACTACAGATAGAAAAAAAATAAGATTCTGCAAGCAAACCGGAAAGTTTGAAGGGGACACGGGAAGAGTTGGATGACCCAAATCTCTGCAAGGATGAAATGGGTGAAATGGTCTGCGGACTGATCACCCATCCTGCCAAGGGTGTCCCTGATAGAAAATAATAATAATACTGGACAATATAAACAACATACTAGTTTTGCAATAGATCTTCCGAATTCCATCTATTTATCATAGGTTGATCATCTGCCATAATTGGCTATGTGCAACGGTCTTATGCATCTTGCATTTATGGTATAAATATGACTCACCCTCGTTAGTATTATGAGATAATGACGGTTAAGCAATGAAATGTGAATACCAATATAATTTTTTTATCAATTACATATGAGGCTCCTAGAGGCAGAGTGGCCTAATAACAAAAACATTATTTTCAAAAAGGAGGAAAATAAAAATTCACAATTAACTTAGGCTGAAATGAATTTGTACTATTATTTGTGTAATAATGTATAAAAAAAACACCAATGGTTTAATATGCAATCAAATGAAATAATTTTCAAAAAAGTTTAGCTAATAAAATATACATCGCGTTTTAAACCGTTGTTATGTTTTATTTAAATGTGTACCACTCGCGTAAACTACAGACAGTATTTAATCTAACACTTAAAAGAGTTTTACTATAAGAAATTGTTTAAAATTAAATTCTTAACAAAGTACTTAGTTTATTTAATTTTTATTTTATTTCAATAAACAGATTTTTACTGTCTTCCTATTTAAAAGTCACACGAGCAGCAGAATAAAGTGACTTACTCATATAATCTTTGAGTTTCTGAAAAGGCTCCATCACTCCCCGGATCCAGGTACAATTCCTTGCCTTGGTGCACCCATTTCCCTCCAAACGGACTGTTATCTGCGTCGCTATGCTTCAAACAGAAGTATATTTTACCATTTGATTGAGGCAGAAACACTTCAATTTGCGACTGCTGTTTCTCCGTTTTTATTTCGCGAAACTCGTAACTTGGATGTATTATGTCACAATTATCACCTCTGGCACTATCTTTGGGAGTTAGTCTCCATGAACTGTGACCAAGATACTCACTACCTTGCACCAATAATAAATATTTACACTTATATTCAGAACATGACTTTGCGCTGATTTTAAAGGACAATATCCATGGTTGTTCTGTTATATTATTCGTTGCACACACGGTATACAGAAAATAAAGTAATATCCCACAAGTCCGTAGTACGTCGGACAATGCCATTTCTTTTAAACCACAACAATAAAAATTAAATTGGATTTCACAAAATGCTATGTACCGACATCAATGTTTTTCTCAACTGACAGCGGCGGCAATGATTCTTATGTTGCCGGAACTGCGGTAGTAAAATTGGATTTCGTTTTGTCACATCCGTCAGCTGTTACGTAATTAACAAAGCCAAAAAAAAAATTAAAATATAATTTCAAACTCCACTTAATATTTAAAACAACAGCATAATATTGGTATATATAATATATACTTTTTTAATATATTAAATTATAATTTTTAATATATTAATTTGTTGAACAATAAAACTACAGGTGGCTCTAATTTCATTATATCAACATTATAATTGTTAAAAGCGTCATCTAGCTTTTAAAAATGCAAATACATCAGCTGTCTTTGACATCAGTCTGCAGATAAATTAATTTTTAATCTGTTCATTTGGGCAAAGTCAAAAATCAGTGTGTTGGCTAGGTTTAGGAAATTATTATTTTAACTTAAATATTTAATAAAATGCGAGCGAAATTATACATTTAGAAATGAATTAGCAAAATATATTTTTATTATTGTAATACGAACACGTTTTGGGCCGCTTCCTTATTTTTAAGAGTCATGATTTGTGCGTAATTCTTTGAAGATTTTATAAGTATTTTGTATGGAATTCATCAAGATGGAAGTGAGGGAGGCTGGAGACGGGGCTGCGGCGGGCGAGTGCGACCGGGAACCGCCCAAGAAGTACAGTTGGGCGGAAGTAAGACAAGCTGTGCATGATCTACGAAAGGAACTTTCATCTCTTTCCACAATGGTTCCTATAGCCATTTGTTTCCGAAGACTGGCTAATGGAAAGACGAGGGTATATTTTTTAAGGACTCCGCAGAATGGTTGGGAAATTACGCTACTATACACGGACGTTTTACCAACCATACAGCCTAGTAATGCCAGGTGAGTGGACAAAGGATATTAATTTAGGTGATAAGGAAATATCACCTTTGTATAAAAATTATTAATTATAATAAATAGTTAAATAAAACACTTTAACGGTTTAAAACGCGATATATTAGTTAAACTTCTGTCTCCCTGTGGCCATGGCTGTTGCAAAGCATTTGAAACGTCGGGCCGAAGTTAAAAATCATTTTCAAATAAGTTTAACTAATATATTGAGTTTTAAACCGTTAAAGTGTTTTATTTAAATGTGCCGCGTAAACTATAGACAGTATTTATGAAATAGTCTAGTAATTCAGCTTATACTCTTCACAATATTGTCACAATTTGTTTGGTATATTTGAATGAATTGTTTAATTATTTTCTTGAGGGCACACTTATAGAAGGCCAGGTGATCAGTCAACATCGTCTGCTGAACATTTGACCCATTGTGCCTCCTTTGTAGTATAGCTTCTTATGTAGTCCACTGTTAAGTATTTCCTAAGTGGTTCTTGCCGCCAAGATTATTCTTTTACATTATTAATTTATAAAGATTTGACAAAGCGAGAAATGTATAAAATACGACACAATCGGTATCAAAGTGAAAATTACAGGGCTCTTAAAATAATTTGTGTAATAAATTAAAGGTCTATTAATTTCTGATTTTACTTCATATAACGGTAACTCACATTAACAATATGCTTTGTTTCTTAACTTATGAGTTCACTGTATTTACATCTGGTAAGGTCAAGATTTAAGGCCTTATACATATTTAATTGCTTTTTTCATAAGTAACCTTGTATTCAATGCATTTTCTGACCATCAAAAACTTAATATTTAACATAGCCATTGAAGCACAGAGGTTTGTCAAGATTCAATAGTAGTTTTGACATATTACCTAACTTACATCCCCGGTTTGAATACATCAGTTAAATAAATCTTGTATACTCTTAGTGTCTTATTAGAATTTTGCATGCCTCTGTTGGTTATTGTGTGTAAATATTCGGCAGTTACTATAATCTATAAATTTTATGTTACAGTCACATATTTTAATACACTTTAAATGAATGAAATATTTATTAATTAATGGCGAATCTGTGACCACGGTTCTGCTAAGCATTTGCAACATAAGATCATATTTATAAATTAGTTTGTAATATATTTCGCGTTTAAAACCGGTTTCATTCTTATTATATTGGGGCAACCAATAAGAGTTCCGTGTTTCTAACCAATTTTTTTACCATTCAAAGTGTGTTATTTAAATGTGTACTAGTTGTGTAAAATATAGATAATATTTACAATGAAGAAGTTTGGACTTTGCCCTATCTTTAAATTCTCGTAGGCACTTATAGTCTTATAATTCATATATAATGATAATGTTTGAATTGTTTCATTACCTAGTGATGACTAGGTCTACAGACAATGGGCCGAAGTTAAAAATCATTGCCAAATAAGTTTAACTATTATATCGCGTTTTAAACCGTTAAAGTGTTTTATTTAAATACTTAATGCAATTTAGATTGTTACAAAAGACTCTCGGTCCTTTGTCTTCTTCTGGGTTATGTTGCACATTTGAACACTCTGTATAATCACGTTGAACGGACAGACAAACATATTATTTAATATACTTTTGACGAATGTAATTTTTTTTTATAATTTTACAGAGAATAGAGTATTTATTATTATTTTTTTATTTATTTTATTCCGTTTCTTACAGACTAGATTGGAAGCCACTAATCGAATCGAACCTTGCTCTCGATGTTTCCTCCGGTAAATGGTCGAGGGAGGAGCAGTTGCTCTGGGAAAGGCAGAGGGTTGCAGCGTGGGGCATAGCTTCGTACGAGTTGCATCAGCAGAGTGGTCGAGTGCTTTTTCCATGCGCTTCTTCGCTGTTCGTCGTTGAGGAAGGAAGGGGAGAGGTATAGTGGAGATTATATAGAGACCTTTGTATTGGTATCTGTAGGGTAAGCTAAAATTACAAAAATGTGTCAAATGTCAGGTTTTCGAAGACTGATTTGGGCTTTTCAAATAATAAGTACTGATACATATCTAGATGCTCTTTATAAAAATACTAGCTGTGCCCGCGACGTCGTCCGCGTCGCGTCGTTCTTGCAAGATAATCTTTAAAGATGGACTTATATTGTCGCGTGTATTTTTTTAGATCATTTAAAGAGAATCATTATTTCCTACATATTTAATTGTTATCTTGAACCGTTTGCATAGCGCACGCTACGGAAAGCTTTAAATATATTTTCCCCCGTGTTTTCCACATTTTCCTCTGTTCTTTCTGGCTGTAGTCTGATGTTTTATAGCCTAAAGCCTTCCTCTATCAATTGTCTAACCAACACAAAAATATTTTTTCAATTGGAACTAGTCGTTCTTGAGATTAGCGCGTTGAAACAAACTCTGTTGACAAAAATGTTGACCTTGTGGGAATCGAAACCACGACCCGTTGATTATTACCCATATTATTATAATATTGTATTATAATATGTAGCCAGTGCTACCATTAGACCAATAGCCCGTCAATATATCCTTACTAATATTATAAATGCGAAAGTAACTCTGTCTGTCTGTCTGTTACTCTTTCACGCCAAAACTACTGAACGGATTTGAATGAAATTTGGTACACAGATATTTTAGAGCCTGAGAAAGGACATAGCCCTTTCGATTTTAAAATTATATTTATAGTGCCTTCATGTGCAATAACGTAATGTGAAAAATATTAAAGTGTTCAAAGGACATAGCCTAGGATTGAAAAAAAGGGGATGAAAGTTTGTGTGGAAATTCGTGGTTTTTCAAGTTAGAACAATGAAACCTTCTTCTTTGGCTTGGTCGTGGGAGTGGAAGTGAGTGTAGGAATGAGAGCGGGAGTTAGAGTAGGAGTGATGTGATGTGAGAGTGTTGCGGCAAAGTAGCACTTACAACATAAATTGGGAACATAAAAACAGCCTAAATAATTAAAAATTCTATCCCAAGTCACCATTCCACGCGGACGAAGTCGCGGGCACAGCTAGTATAATATATATTGAGCTTTAAGTCGTTAGTGTTTTATTTAAATGGGTACTACTCGCGTAAACTACAGACAGTATTTAGCCCTAAAATTCTCCTCGATAAATGGTAGTAGTAGAATAGTAGTTCCCGAAATTAGAATATTCAAATACTTCAGTTATTAGTATAGATGATAATCATGGCTGATGATCACAACTTATTTTCAGACACCGCCCCTAATGCCCCGCTCACTTAACACTGGTGGTGGTGCGCCCCTGACGCCAGCGATGTGCCCAACGACCGCCCGTCTCGTGGCCCACACCGCCCGGGGCGATATCTGGTTGGCCGGGGATTGTTTGCGGCGTCCCGCGAGACTTACGTACGCGTGTCGCGGTCGTGATGAGAGGTAACTATGGAAGCGAAATAATTTCTCGTTATGTTAATTAGTTACATTATACACAAACACTTAACAACAACCGAATTACATTAATTTTCATTACTCGCATAACATAACGGTTCAAAACGCGAAATATATTCGTTAATAATTTGTTATTTGTGATTTTGGCTTTGGATATTCGGAAATACTCAAACTGAAACGTGATTACTTACTGACTTCGCGGCTTCTTCGTCTGTTGTCAGTGGTTCGTGACCCGGACGGAAATAATTAAAAATTCTACCCCAAGACACTATTCTACGCGAACGAAGTCGCGGGCACAGCTAGTAATCATATATAGTCTCCAAAGATATTGTTACAACTTACAGACTGTCTGATGATCCTCTTCAAGCCGGTCTACCATGCTATGTCACACAAGAGGAATTTTCAAGATACACCGGGTTCTGGTGGCAACCGAAAAGCGATAGTAAGTCAGAGAACTTCTATAGAGATAATATATAATAGATACATAAAAAGAAATGCCCCCCCCCCCTTCCCCCCTCTCTGCCTCCGTTTCAATGATAGGTGTTATAAACAGACTTCTGTGTTCAGCCCGGCCGAAACACTATTTATTCCCGGGAATAGAACCTCGGACGTCGCCCTCTTAACTGCTATCTTTATTAACAGTAAGCTTAACCATTTAGCTACAGAGGAGGCCGGTAGAGCCAGAGAGCCTAACTGTAGTTTTATGACTTGGCTTATTTATATTTTTATAGTCAAATAATAGTACAAATTCATTTGCGCCTAAGTTGATAGCGCATTTTTATTTTCCTTCTTATTGAAAATGAAGTTAAATACTGTCTATAGTTTACGCGAGTAGTACACATTTAAATAAAACACTAAGGGTTTAAAACGCGATATATTAGTTGAACTTATTTGACAATGATTTTCTCACCGTGACCACGGCTGCTGCAAAGCATCCGAAACGTCGGGCCGAAGTTAAAAATCATTTTCAAATAAGTTTAACTAATATATCGCGTTTTAAACCGTTAAAGTGTTTTATTTAAATATATATGAAGTTTTTTGTTATTAGGCCAGTCTGACTCTAGCAGCCTCATACGTATGGATTAATGGTTAAACGTATTGCCTAGCATTGAGAGGTCCTGGGTTCGAATCGCAGGGAAACAAAAAATAGTTACGGTCGAGTAGGGCACAAAAGTCAAACTACTTGTCCGTTAAAGAACGGATCATTGGAACGGACACAAAAACGTGTTCGCCCCATGCCCCACCAGGAGGAAACGGGATATCACTACTACTGCTTTTTACATAAATAATTAACCTTTCAGGCGATATGTACCGGATAGTTTATGAAGAAGTAGATGAGAGCGAAGTGAAAATTTTCAGTTTCCCCTCCTCCAACTCTACTAATGGGGACGTTGAGGAGTTTAGGTGAGAAATTCAAACAAATAAGTTTATTAGCAACCAACAAAGTGAATCCTGCGCGTTTTAAAAAATTGTATCTTCAAAATTTATCATTAGCTGATTCTGCGCAATTGACAGAATTTATCTTGAAAATTATTATGATTTGCAAAGGTCTCGAACCCTAAGGCTACAGCGTACGGTGGGTTTGCTTTACCCATCCTATCAGTTTACCCCCCTTTTGCACCATTCCTCCGCTGTAGGATGGTAGGTTAATACCGTACGTTCTGGTCGTGGCAGTCCGACTTGTGTTATTTTGTTTTTTATTTTAAAAAGCTGCTAAATATCTTCCCATTGCTGTGTGTGAGGGGGGGAGGGTGTAAATTTATTTTGGTTGGACGATCTCATTCATATCTCATTGGCGAATTTCGTTAAAGCCCACCAACCCCCACTGGAGCAGCACGGTGGGAAGTAGAACATAAAGGCCGAAATAATACTAATGATGTGTTTCTGGTATTTCAGATTCCCCCGTGCTGGCACGCCGAATGCAAAGTCCGTTTTGAAGCTAGTAACATTTCGACTCCAGAAGTCATCACCAACAACGGTCCTGGATTATTACAACGAGAGCAACACTGATATGTCATGTGAGTAAATTGGTTTTAAACCTTATTAATATTATCTACTAGCTGACGACTTCGTCCACGTGGATACAATTTTAGTTGTTACTCACGACGTCCCGTCATTTTTTTAATGATAGAGAAGGACAGATGGGCATGGCATCTAAACGAGCGCTGCAGATAATAAACGTTTTTATAATGTATTTTTAGTCACAGGAAGACAAGATGAAATGAAAAATGACATGAAAGCTTGTAGTCCATTTTTTCTAAATTGACAAAAGACAACAATAAATATGGCCGACTATAAACCATAGAGAACTAGTGATGACCTTTTATAGAGTAAAGTTCTCGCCACAGAAGACACCTAGATTTAATTAAATGTAGTAGAATAGTTGTAAGCGTCGAACTGATGCACAGGGAGACAATTAGAAATAATTAAATGTAATATTTTTAATTAAATTAATTTTAAGTAAATGAGTTTTTTTGCAACCACCGGTGGCGACTAACATAATTAGTTTAATATAAAATCCAATGTCTCGAAGTGTTGAATCAATCAATATTGTAATAAAATTACGATTTTGTGTTTATTTACCAGAAAATGCCAAGTAAGAAAAAATACACTAAAGAGCTGTTATTATTGTGTGTTATACATAAATATTCAAATGTTCTGTATGTTTGTTCCAGCGTCGTCTACTAGTGATGGAATGGAGGTGACGGACATCCGATGGTACGAAATGAAGCATCCATTGAAGGAAACCTTTCCCTGGTTGGAGTATCTGGCTAGGGTGGGCTGGACACCGTGCGGACAGTAGTGAGTTCGGCTCCTGGTATATATCGTTAAGGGAAAGAGTTTGTGCCTCTTTTGTTTGTTGGTTGAGAAAGTAACGTAGTTTATATGAAAGGCTGGTATTGGAGAAGTTTTTAAGTGTGAAATATTTGAGTTGACTTCTTGACTCATATACTATAAAAAAGAAAATAACTATAGTACTCTACCCAGTTTTTACGGCAATAATGTTTTTTTTTTTAAGAAATTTTACATACTCCAAAACAATTGTAATACACGAATAACACTTTACTAAACTTCATTTTCAAACAAGGTTACAGATGGCGCCACTAGTTGGTTGCAAATCAAAATAGTTTAGTTTCTTTAATGAAATAATCAAATTAGAATTATAATAATTTAAATCTAATTTTACTTTGGACATTGATACAACAATAATAATTAAACAATTATGTAAAACAACGTTAAATCACGTAAATATTTTTGAAATAAAACACTTTAACGGTTCAAAACGCGATATATTAGTTAGACTCATTTGAGTTAAACTTATTAGATGATGATTTTTAACTTCGGCCCGACGTTAATAATCATTTTTGCTAATATATCGCGTATTAAACCGTTAAAGTGTTTTATTTAAATGTGCACTACTCGCGTAAACTATAGACAGTATATATATATATTTTTGTTAGCTTTACGTTTATTGTCTTTTAAAATTTTATTATCTTTACATTTACTTGTTTAGCGTGTGGGCTCAACTACTGGACCGGAAGCAGCAGCGTTTGGAAGTTGTTCTGATCCCATTGAACGAGTTCAGCGTTCGGACCGGATATGCGCAGGCGCCTCAAGCGATGAACATCAACGAACACAACGACGTCACTACCAGTGTAAGTTATTTATTACAGAGAAGGACAGGGAATATTGGGATAAAATACTCCAGCCATATAACATGTAAACTATCTGCTATCGACCTATTTCGGCTTCGGATATTCGGAAATCTACTAAACCGAAACTTGATTAATCTTCACTTAATTGAATTTCGATCCTACCAACCATTTAATCTTCCGGTTGCCAGACGAAATACAACATTAGATACATATTAGACCCAGCGGAATTCGAACCCACAAAATGTTGATTTTAATCAGCACTTTAACGTTTAAAACACGACGGCATCCAAACGTAGGGCCGTAGTTGAAATAATTTTCAAATAAGTTTAATTAAAATATATCGCGTTTTAAACCGTTAAAGTGCTTTTAATGTGTACTACTCGCGTAACTATTATCATGTGCCATCTTCTTTTCGTCTACAGCAAATCCAAGTCTTGGTAAGGGAGACAGCACCGGACGCCTGGATAAATGTGCACGACATATTCTTTCCCCTGACTTCGTCTGGCGACACCTTCAAGTTCATTTGGGCGTCCGAGGAGACGGGGCATCTGCATCTCTATCTCTATACCTGTAATATTCGTCCGGAGAGAGCTAATAGTGAGTTATTTAATGTTTAACTGAGAAATTATTCCATTGATTTTGTATATAATGAATTAAAATCGATTTTGAACCTCAATTCGTAAGTGTTAAGGTTGAAATTACATTGCGCGGGAGGGTGTATGTATGTAGGACAAGGTAAAGTATTGGTTAGAGCAACAGCACGCAACGCTGTGGATGCCGGTTCAAGTATTGTATCGTAATTTTTTGAAACCATTAATATTTTTCACATGTTATTGCGCATGAAGGCACTATATAATTTAAAAAAAAAAAAAAAAAAAAAAAAAAAAAAAAAAAGGGGGAAAAAAAACGGCCGGCGGGGGGGGGGGGGGGGGGCCGCCCCCAACCACGGCCCCCCCCCCCCCCCCCCCGGGGGGGGAAGAAAAAAAAAAAAGAACCCCCCCCCCCCCCGGGGGGGGCCCCCCCCCCCCCCCCCGGGGGGGGGGGGGGGGGGGGTTTTGGGGGGGGGGGGGGGGGGGGGGGGGGGGGGGGGGAAAAGGGGGGGGGGGGGGGGGGGGGAAAATTTTTTTTAAAAATGGGGGGGGGGGGGGGGGGGGGAAAAAAAAAAAAAAAAAAAAAAAAAAAAAAAGGGGGGGGGGGGGGGGGGGGGGGGGGGGGGGCGGGCGGGCCGGGGGGGGGGGGGGGCCCCCCCCCCCCCGGGGGGTTTTTTTTTTTTTTTTTTTTTTTTTTTTTTTTTTTTTTTTTTTTTTGTTAAAAAAAGTTTTTTTTTTTTTTTTTTCCCGGGGGGGTTTTTTTTTTTTTAAAAAAAAGGGGGGGGGGGTTTTTTTTGAAAAAAAAAAAAGGGGGGTTTTTTTTTTTTTTTTTTTTTTTTTTTTGGGGGGTTGTTGGGGGGGGGGGGGGGGGAAAAAAAATTTTTTAAACCCCCCCCCCCCCGGGGGGGGGGGGGGGGGGTTTTTTAAAAAAATTTTTTTTTTCCCCCCCCCCTTCCCCCCTCGGGGCCCCCTTTTCCCCCCCCCCCCCCCCCCGGGGTTTTTTAAAAAAAAAAAAAAAAAAGTTTTTTTTGTAAAATTTAAAAATCGAAAATAAATTGAAAACTGTTAATTGGTAGAGCAACAGCACGGACCGCTGATGATGCCGGTTCAAGTCCTGCCCGAGTAGATTTTTTTTTTAATTATATAGTGCGATAACATGGGTGAAAAAAAATAAAGTTTTCAAAAGTACTACTGCTGTTGTAGTCAACATCTGTTTTGTTATAGGTGTAGAAGATATGTTATCAGACGACGAATGCGCCGCTACCGGTCCGAACATTGTTAACAAAGAAGCAATTACCTCTGGGGAATGGGAGATCATGGGCAGGAAGATTTGGGTAAGAGAGTTATATGCATCTTTCTGCCTTTCAAGGGGGGGGATAAGGGCAAGCATGCGGCACACTTAACAAGATGTTTGTCGACTTTACTTCACGAATTTTTTACCTGTGGAAGGTTGTCTGTGACCCAGAGGGAATTTTGATATTCCTATAACGAATTAGGGGCACAGACGTCCGATCAACTTCTTGCCTGTTAAGGAACGCATCAGTGAAACGGACACAAAAATTTGTTCGACTAGGGGAAACGGGATTTCACACTTTGTCCAGATTTCCAGAAGAAACCCCAACATCTGCTAATATAATAACTTACGTATGTTTTATGTGTTCATTTGATATCAGGTGGACGAGAGCCGCGGTCTAGTGTACTTCGTGGGTCTGAGGGAGACGCCTCTAGAACGACACCTGTACGTGGCGCCAATCAGTCCATCTGACCCTGGATTGACTCTCCTCACTACTGTCGGACAGTCACACACAGTTGACATGGATGAGGTAAATTTAACCAGAACTAAACTATAAAGTATAATATTGAACTAATATTATTGCTTTAACGATTAGTTTTAGATGGTATCAGGTGTAACTCACTTGGTTCTTGCAGAAATATTTCGTTATTAAATGTAACAGAACTAAAGATTTTGATGCGATGAGATGATGCGAGAGCAAGAGAACCTTTAATAAAACATTTTACAAGGCTTAAAACGCGAAATATAGTTTTACTTTTAATAAAACACGCAAGGGATGTTTAGAAATAAATAACTTGTTTTAAAGATCGAAAATAAATTTAAAAAAATTTTTCGACTCGGGCAGGACTTGAACCGGCATCGTCAGCTTTCCGTGCTGTTGCTCTCGGAAAGCTGACGATGCCGATTCAAGTCTTCATGTGCAATAACATGTGAAAAATATTAATGTTTTCAAATAACTTGTTGCTCATCTGTACAATCGCGCACGTAATTGATTGGAAACGTCTCGAGTACGTGTCTGTACTCGAGAACCAAGCGGAGCGTCGTATTGGTCCGAAAAAGACAACACGACTGGGGAACCAATCGGCGCTAGCGCACATGACATTCACTCGCCCCGCGCCCGCTTAGGTCCCTTCGATACCTTATTTTGGACTTCTGCGCAGGATTCGTTCAGCGCTAAAGATCCGTGCCGCTACTTATACACGTCATTTTGCTTGGTTACCTGGTTAGAAATACTAATTAGTTTCAGATGCTTAAAAATAATCTGAGTAATATATTTCGTGTTTTAAATCGTTCAAAAGTGATTTCTGAAAATACACTTGTCATTTGTATCTAAACACTGTTTGAAATTGCAATTTTGCATACTAATATTTCCTTCATTGACTTCTAGGAGTGTACAGTGGCTGTAATCACATCTTCAAATATCAGCAGCGTACCAGTAACAAAGGTGTACCGAATCAGTCATGCTGGCGGCCACGTGTCCTTACTGCAATATGGGACGCTGCTCGAGAGGCCCATGTTAGGTCAGTGGCCCTTAAATTGTTTCCACAGCAAACGGACCTAGGTGGTTAAACCTCCCTAGCTTAACTGGCTAAATATGTTATGGATTAAAAAATGTTTCCATCATCGGTCTTGTTGGTTTTTCCACTGCTGGAACTCGGGCCTCTAATGGGGGGCCCTATTAGAGGCCCGAGTCCAATACTTATTATACACAAAATGTTGGACATGGCAGTTAGTTTCCGAATATCAAAATCGACAGCGCATTTTAATAAGTTGTTACCGAGCAGACACGCGTTGGCCTGATGATAGAAATTTATGCTGATAATCAGTAATGGTAATCAGGTCCAACATGTTTGTAATCAATTAATATTTTTTCTTAAACAAGTTGGACTTCGTCTGGAAATCCGGATATTAACGGTTGGTAGGAATATAGAAATTCTTTTGAAGTCACGAACCACCGGCAACAGATGAAAAAGTAAAGTTTAAACGTTTAAATAAAACACTTTAACGCGATATATTAGTTATATATCGCGTTTTAAACCCGTTAAAGTGTTTTATTCAAATGTGTACGACTCGCGTCAAAATATAGACCGTATTTAAAGTCTAAACGATTTTCGGTTACAGTCTGTGGATTTGCAAACACGTAAATCCAAAAATAGGTCGACACGACATAGATGTTGTATAGCTGGGGTGTTTTATCTTTTATGTAGTGAATCACATGCTTTCCAGTCCTCTATGAGAAGAGGGACGGGGTGTATATTCCACCAATATCGTAATAAGAAATTTATACTTACAGACAATATAGACACTCAATTCAACGGTAGTTGGGATAGAGCAGGCGACGGCGATGAGTGCAATGATGTGTCCTTACTTATAAAAGGTAAGAAGGAAGAAGAAGAATAGTGCCTTTTATCTATAGTAAACTTTATCCTTGAAGTCCCTTCGCACAGCACTTCCTTCCTTGGCAAATCTTTTAAGGTCACAGCAGTACGCTTATAAAATCTGCTTCCAATTTCCGTTCGTTTAGCTCCCTCACTCTCATCCTTTAAACACCTTCTTTACAAACATTTTACACTTTACAACTCTCAAACTTAACGTTTATAATTATTGTAATAAGTAAAATTATTTAGATTTTAAGTTTCGCGCTTCCTGCACGTTCCCCTAATTAATTTAATTTTATTTATTTATTATAAAAACAATTAAAACGGCGATAGCCACTTACATTAATTGGAAAAATTAAGTTGTTTTACATTATTTTCCTAAGAAGGGTCGCCTGGACGAGATCGCTTAATAAGATAAGGCCGCCCGTTACACTCCATACTTTATAGATATTGCGTGTGTTGTGTAAAAAGTATAAATAAATAAATAAACTTTTTGACTAACTGAACAACGGTATGGAACTATGTGACCGGGGGTTTGAGTACGGCCTATGTAATGTAACCAAATCCAACGATAAAACTATTTTGTTATAACTAGCTGTGTCAACGACTTCGTCGGCGTAGATTTTTTTTTTTTGTTTTACATTTGTTTTTTGCAAACGTCGTCTTAATCTTAACAATTTAAAACAGTTCCCATCCCAACCAAAGCCCATCGTTCTTGCAAGTTAACCTTCATAGATAGATATATATTAGATTTTTTTTTGGTCATTTAAAGTGGAATCATCGTTTCTATATATTTTTGGAGTACCTAAAACTCACAAAGATAAATTATTTTTTCACATTTCCCGCTGTTTCCTCGCTCCCATCAATCACAGCGCGATGTTTTATAGATACTCTACCTTCTTCGATAGATACTCTAGCCAACACAAAAATATATTTTCAATGCAAACCAGTAGTTCCAGAGATAGTATGTAAGAACATTCATGTTTTAATTTTTTTTTTTACTAATTCATAAATACACTATTATCTCACTAATATACTTTGATACTCTCTTTTGATACATCTGAACCTGAATTTACCGAATTATTGTTTCAGAACGATCTCTCAGCGGCATAGAAGTGCCCCCGCCACAAATATTCTCCACCCGGCTATCTTGCGGCATGACGGCGTATTGCACTTTGTGGCGCAGCGCCCTCTCGGGGCCCCGTCCCACTGTTCTGCACGTGTACGGGGGCCCCGAAGTGCAGACCGTCACTAATAGCTATAAGGTATAATTTAAAACGACTAGACCCGTACAAAGTTTAAATAAAACACTTGAACGGTTTAAAACGCTTCATATCCAGATTTCCAGGTGAAGTCCAACATGTTTCCAATGAACCCAGTGGGGTTCGAACTCACGACTCCCTTATTAGTCATACATTGCTACCATTACGCAACGTATTGGTGTCAGTCTGAGTATTTACGAATGTCTAAAGCCTTCCATCAAGTGAACCAAAGTCTTGCAAATCATTATAATTATATATATATTAATTAATATTCTTGGTGAACAGGGTATCCGTCAACTGCGCATGCACATGCTTGCCGCGCGCGGTTTCTCCGTGGTGTCCGTGGATTCGAGGGGCTCAAAGCACAGGGGCAGGGCCTGGGAGGCAGCGATCAGGGGGAAGATGGGGCAGGTCGAGTTGGATGATCAGGTAGGTCCACAAAAAAGATTTATGTACTTAGCTTTGGAAAATGTAGTAGGCGAAAAGTTGAAAGACGTTGGGGAGGGGAGAAATGCCCGGTTTGTAAAAGTTAACGTTGAATAGATTTAAATAAAACACTGTTACGGTTTAAAACGCGATATGTATTAGTTAAACTTAATTACAAATTATTTTAACGTCGGCCCGACGTTTCGGATGCTTTGCAGCAGCTGTGCTCACGAAAAACTAAGTGGAGGGTGTCTCTAATGTCAAAGTAAAAACTACTACGCTAGCGCCATCTGTTTCGTCGCAGTTGGAATTTGGCGAAACTGGCCGGGTCCTTGCAGAACTGACTAACGGTTTTTTTTTTGAATCTAGAGTTTTTAATAACCTGGGATGTTAATAACTTTGTTTAATTACTTGACGTCCTCCGTATTGAAATTTTTGTATTTTTTTTTTTAATTCTGCAAAGCGTCCAAAACATCGAGCCGTACTTAAAATAACTACCAAATAAGTTTTTACGTTCGCGATATATACCGTTAAAGTGTTTTATTTAAAAGTGTAATTTTAATAATTAGAGATGCGCCGAGTAACACTTTTGCCGAGTAACGAGTACCGAGTGTGACTCGGCTCAATTTTTTCCAAAAAATTATTGGGGGGAGGGGGGGGGGAAAGGGGGGGGGGGTGGGGGGGGGGGGGGGGGGGGAGAGGGGGGGGGGGGGGGGCGCGCCCCCCCCCCCCCCCCCCCCCCCTCGGGGTTTTTAAAAGGCTCCCTATTTTTTTTTTTTTTTTTTGTTTAAAGGGGGTTTTTTTATTAAACCCACCAAAAAAAATTGCCTTTCCTAAAACAAACTGGTTCATCCAGTATAAATACAAGAGACAACCGAGTACTCGTCGCATCTCTACTAATAGTCTTGTGAGCGAAAAAGATTACACGTATTAACAATGTATTCTCTTAACAGGTAGAAGTCCTCCAGTGGCTGGCTAAGGAAGCTGGGTGCATCGATATGGAGAGAGTGGCCATACATGGATGGAGTTATGGTATGTTAACCGTTACAATATCTCTCTATGTATTTACAGTTGGCGAAGACCAAAAGTTTTTGTTTTACCAAAACTTTTGTTTTTTTCCTAATTTCCTAACTTCCAAAGTCCCAATAATTATTTCACGCGAGAGAAGCCGCTGACATAGCTAGTGCTGTTGTAAAGCGTTTGCTGCATATCGTTTTCTTTATCAGGTGGTTACCTCTCGCTGCTGGGGCTGGCGACGCGGCCCCATATCTTCAAGGTGTGCGTGGCTGGAGCCCCGGTTACCAGTTGGCGTCTCTACGACACAGCGTACACCGAACGGTACATGGGTTCACCGACGGATAGACACAACGCGTACAGCCGCGCTAGCGTCATTGCGCACGCGCCGTTCTTCCCGGATCGGTAAGTATTTAGTATAGTATCTCCGATCTATCGATAATCTCCTCTTATTTGTTCCTAAACATATAACCGCAATATTAAATACTGCCTGTAGTTGTTTACGCGAGTAGTACACATTTAAATAAAACACTAACGGTTTAAAACGCGATATATTAGTTAAACTTTTTTAAAAACTATATTTTAAATCTGCAAAAAAACAAGCCAGTTTCGCCAAATACCAACTTCGACAGAACAGATGGCGCTAGCGTAGCATTTTTTTACTTTGACGTCACAACTTGCACCTTAGTCTCCTCGTAACCATGGCTGCTGCAAAGCATCCAAAACGTCGGGTTGTAGTTAAAAATAATTATCAAACAAGTTTAACTAATATATATCGCGTTTTAAACCGTTAAAGTGTTTTATTTAAATATATGCGTTATTTTCAATTTATTTTACCTACGGCCCGATGTTTTCATTATTTATTTTTTTACTTTTACAGTGAGGGTAGATTGCTAATTATACACGGCTTGGCCGATGAGAACGTCCATTTCTGCCACACTGCTGCTCTTCTCTCGGAGCTGGTCCGTCTCGGGAAACCACACAGGGTACAGGTAAGCAACAGACACAGAAATATGTCTGGAATTAGAAAGTTATATATATATAATTATGACACAGAACAACAAAGCTTATTATTTCAATATATCACTCGCTTGTTGAATAAAACCAGTTTTAATAAAAGAAATATCGAAAACGCGTTTCTCAATCATAAATAAAACACTTTTGTCGGTTTTAAACGCAATATATATTTTTTTAACTACGCCTCGAAGTTTCGCTGTGTCCACGGCGGTTATATTAAAAATACTGGAACTAATATATTTCGCGTTTTAAACTGATAGAATCGCGATATTCCTACAACCCATTTAATGTCCAGATTTCCAGATGTAGTCCAACATGTGTCAGAAAAATCTTGGACCCGGTGGGGTTCGAACTCACGACCCGTCATTAGCCATACATTACTCCCACTTCACAAATGAGCCCGTCAGTTAAATTAATATTGTTAATGAAATAAATTCATGGAGGGTACTGAAGAATTAACAATCGATTTTAAATTGAAAAAAAAAAATACGACACGGGCAAGATTTGAACCGGCATCTGCAGCGTTCCGTGCGCTTCAACAGAGTAAAACGAAGGCATTTTTTATTCCTCGATATCGAAACATGGTAACTAGAAGACATTTGAAATAGCTTTTCAAAAAAAGCTCTCGTTAGGGGTTGTCCATTATTCACGTGATCTTTTTTTTTGAATTTTTTAATCCCCCCTCCCCATTGGTGAGACGTAGTGAGGTTTAAGACAACCCCCCCCCCTCCCCCCTTCTAAACATCACGTGTATTTTTAGTACCTACAAAGAATCTTAAAATTTTCTGAATATTATCTTAATTTAAATACAGGTATAGACTATAATCTTATTTTATTTTGAAATTAAAGACCATAATAAAAATGTCTACACCATTTGTTTAAAAATCGTTTACGAACGAAAAATTGAAATTGAAAACGAAAAAATAAATACACGCGATATCTTACTACCCCCCCCCCTTGTGTTATTTTCGTGATTTTTTTAAGACCCCCCCCCCTTTCAAGCCTCACGTGTTTAATGGACGACACCTTAGCCTAATGGTAACAATATACCCGTATAACAAAACATCCACACCGGGTCCGACATTTTTCTAATCAATTTATAATGTTACTAGCTATAGTTTACGCGATTAGTACGCATTTAAATAAAACACTTTAACGGTTTAAAACGCGATATATTAGTTGAACTTATTTGAAAATCAGTCTCCCCGTGACCACGGCTGCTGCGAAGCATCCGAAACGTCGGGCCGAAGTTAATATTCACTTTCAAATAAATTTAACTTAGATATCGCGTTTTAAACCGTTAAAGTGTTTTCTTTAAATGTATTAGAGATATTGAAGAATCGGATCTTTCCAGGTATACCCCGGCGAACGCCACTCTCTCCGGGCGATGCACGCCGCGAAACACTACGAGGCGACGCTGTTGCATTTCTTACACGAGAACCTTTGAACAATCATGTATAACAATTTGTAAAATATAAAATGTTACAGTATTTGTTCGTTTTATTTGATTACATCTTTTTGTGGCTCGTAGAGGGCTGGTGGTGTGTTTCGTGGTTCTGGTCGGCGATACGATTTGCCACACTCCCCACGCCACATGCATGCACAAAAATGCATACACATTAACATTTTTTGGGTAATTTTCGATTCAATTTTAGCCAATACAGCGTTGAACATTATCCAATTACTTTTGTTTTCACCTGAACAGTGCCAGAACCAAATCGGTTTTATTTCACTACTCAGAGCAATGAAATATGTAACGAAACGTTATTCGTCTAAAGCAGTCTGACTTAGTTATAATTTGGCAAATGACATACGAAAATTTGACAATCGTTAATCAAAGTGAAAATTTAAAGAAAAGTTAGTTTGCAAGTGATAAATGAATCCTGCCTAGAGTTTACGCGAGTAGTACACATAAAAAAACACTTTAACGGTTTAAAACGCGATATATTAGTTAAACTAATTCCCCCCCGGAAATTATCAAACACCTGGGATCCCAAAGTCCGTTAAAGTGTTTTATTTAAATAAATTAATCCTTTTTCGATATTGCCTGTATGGTGACCCCTTCATACAACTTTGCTATTATCCTGTCCAAAAACTTCCCAATAACAATTATCCTAATAACATTAACACCCCAAAAGGAAGATAAATAAGGAAAGAAACACATGCGTAAAGGATATTATTATATTCTACTTCACACTAGCTGTGCCCGCGACTTCGTCCGCGTGGAGCAGTGACTTGGGGTAGAAATTTATAATTATTTAAGGGCTGTTTATTAATTATTATAAGGGCGCATTGAATGCAACCTATCTATGTTGTAAGTGCTACTTTGAAGCAACACACTCACTCTCACTCCTATTCCCAAAATGCCAAAGAAGAAAGTTTCATTGTTCTTGCTTTAAAAACCACGAATTACCATACAAACTTTCATCCCCATTTTTCATCCCCTATCGACCCTTTATTTGGTATTCAAAAGTAAGCCTATGTCCTTTCTCAGACTGTAAAATATCTGTGTACCGAATTTCATTTAAATCAGTTCAGTAGTTTCGGAGTTAAAGCGGGACTGACAGACAGACAGACAGAGTTACCTTCGCATTTATAATATTAGTATAGATTTCACACTAGCTGAGTCAGATCCGAATAGATCAGTTATTTTGGGCTTCCGGATTTGTTTTTTCAAACTGTTACCCGTGACGTCGATCGCTTACCGTCGTTCTTGCAAGTTGAGCTTAAAATATAGACATATAGTGTCGCGGACATTTTTTTAGATCATATAATGAGAACTTTTCCTTCCTACATATTTTAACTTCTACAGTTTTAGCAGCGTACGTATCGAAAACCCGCAAAGTTAACTATTTTTCCCCGTTTTTTTTTCACAATTCCTGCTGTTTCCTCGCTTCAATTAGTCACAGCGCAATATTTTAGCCGTGTTTTAATTCGAACCAGTAGTGACTGAGATTAGCGCGTTCAAACATACAAACAAACTCTTGGCTTTATATATTAGTGCCTACAAATAATTAAAAGTTCGTGTCATCGTGTGTACGGTGGTTCGTGACCCGGACGGAATTTTCGATTTTCCCATTACTGATTTGATATTCCGATTTCCAGACGAAGTACAGCCTTTCAGAAAATTTATACTTTTGTAGCAAACATGCTATACCCGGTGGGGATCGAACCCGTTGATTATTAACCATTCAATACTCTTATATCATTCATTCAATACTCGTAGCGTCAAAAATATTAAACATTATTATCAGTGTTAGAATCTAAATTGATATTTAGTCTATAAATGAAATACGACCCTACGATCTAGTAACAGTACACTAGCGATTCGAATGTTGAAACGGCCAGGGCCGAATTTAACGGCCGTCCACAGGGCTCGAAGTAGTGAATAACGCAGGCCCCCTGGGACTTATTCATTTGCCACAAAAAAAGAAGGATTCTTTAATAGAAAAGATAACAAAAAACTTTGTTTAAAAACAGAAGAATTATTTAAAATTTTGCACATAAAAACTATGATCTAACGAACTTACGTACGAAGTCGAACGTAAACGTGATAACTATACGTATACAAAAATATCGAATTACTTTGAAAACCACAGCCACTCAACGTAACATTACGAAGAGACACTGATTTTCAGTGGTCCTTGGCGCCACCGCTTTTAAAGAAACAACAACAACAAAATGAAGAAGCTTGAAGGTAATATTTTGTCTAGCACATAACAACAAACCAGGAAGGGTATATGATAATTTGAAAAAAAAATGTCGCATTTTTTATTTTATTTAAGTAGGTTTATATAGTGTGCTTTACTTACACCATTTGAATCTATGTACATATAGGTAAATGTTTTACCAACTCTACTTCTCTTTTTACACTAAATGGCAAGCGTGGGGCATCATTGATAATCGGCGTTGGGCCTGGTACAATAAAATCTGAGCGTAGTCCCTCAAACACATTTAATTTATATGTAGTGTATTTTGTATTGTATTGTTTTAATACGTACGTGGGTTGACTTGACTTTCAATCTTTATGGTTGCCCCCTCTAGTGGAGGCCCCGAAGCGGTGGCCCCGGTTGCACTCCGCTAAATCCGTCCCTGTGTCTAAAAACCAACTCACCAAGCTACGCACAAGGACGAGACCGTGAATAAGTCGAACCTACCATGGTCGGACCACCGTCCACAGATGAAAAAGAATGAAGATTTATCACGTTACGTTTCCAGTCCGTGGATTGCCGAATATCCAAAGCCAAAATAGATAGACAGCGGACCTTGTTTAAATGCTATAGGCTAGGGTATCTCACTAACCGTCAAGTGAACGGTTCTAATGTCCGGCCGAACTGCTAAGAATTGCTTTTAAAGCTATTTACACATGATACAATTCACAAACATTACCTCATGCAACAAAAAAGTTATAAATATATATTTTTCAATAAAACTCTTTAACGGTTTAAAACACGATATATTAATGCGAGGACCCGGCCAGTTTCGCCAAACACCAACTCCGACAGTGTAGCAATTTTTACTTTGACGTCAGAGACATCCTCCAGGTCTTCTCCCGTGACCACGGCTGCTGCAAAGCATCCCAAGCGTAGGGCCGAAGTTAAAAATCATTTTCAAATAAGTTGAACTAACATATACCGCGTTTTAAACCGTTAATGTGTTTTATTTAAATGTGTACTACTCGCGTAAACTACAGACAGTGTTTATATATACTTAGTTTGTCATCGAACAAACAAATTTCCTTTACTTTGGAGATTCCAGTGTGTTTGAAAATCAGTATCAGTTGAATATAATTATGAATATTGTGAAACCCAGAAATCCCAGAATAGGTACAGACTGAAGGAAATACGAAAATAACCTTGTTTAACTTGTGTAAACACCAATTTCAATATAAAATCGAGTTTTAATTTATATAATGCTATCATGTGCATGCAAATAACATGTGGAAAATCTGAAAGTTCTTAAACTCTGTAATTTCATTTTCTTAAGTTGCAAAGCATAAGACATTGGACCTTAAAATGCTATAGTTCAAATATCTATACTAATATTACAAATGCGAAAGTAACTCTGTCTATCTGTCCGGCTTTAACTCCGAAATTACTGAACTGATTTAAATGAAATATGGTACACAGATATTTTAGAGCCTGAGGAAGGACATAGACTTTTTAATGCCAAAAAAGTGTTGATAGGTTAAAAGTTTGAATGGAAATTCGTGGTTTTAGAGCTACAACAATGAAACTTCCTTCTTTGGCTTTTTGGGAATAGGAGTGGGAGTGAGTGTAGGAATGAGAGTGGGAGTTAGAGTAGGAGTGATGTGAGGTGATAGTGTTGTGGCAAAGTAGCATTTACAACATAGATTGACTGCCTTAAATGCGCCCTTCCATAAATTAATAAACAGCCTAAATAATTAAAAATTCAACCCAAGGCACTATTTCACGCGAACGAAGTCGCGGGCACAGCTAGTACTAATATATAAAGCTAAAGAGTTCGTTTGTTTGAACACGCTAATCTTAGGAACTACGAGTTCGTATTAAAAAATATATTTTTGTGTTGGTTAGAGCATTTATCGAGGCTAAAAAATATAGCCCTGTGACTAATATAAGCGAAGACATAGCGAGAAATGTGAAAAAAAGATTTATATTTTTTATTATTATGGGATTTCCGAGGCATACGCTGCAAAAACGGTTCAATATATCCAAAAAATATGTATAAAGGAATGATTCCTCCGAATTAAAAAAAAGTCCGCGACGCTATGTCTATCTTTTAAGATTAACTTGCAAGAACTACGTTGAAGGGACGCGCCCGACGTGGTGGGTAAAAACGAATTTGGATGTCCAAAATAACGATTCTCGCGGACGAAGTCGCTGACACAGCTAGTTAGTAAGAAGTAATAATCGGTTTAAATAAAACACTTCAATGGTTAAAAACGGGAAATTTTTGTTAAATTTATTTGAAAATTATTTTTAACTTCGACCCGACGTTTCCGGATGCTTTGCAAGCAGCCGTGGTCACGGGGAGACGTCGGGTCGAAGTTAAAAATCATTTTCAAATAAGTTTAACAAATATATCGCGTTTTAAACCGTTAAAGTGTTTTATTTAAATGTGTACTACTCGCGTAAACTATAGACAGTATTTTAAGTAATAATCGGATTAACAGGTTGAAAAAACATCGACGATGACGCGTAGGCACGGTAGCTCAATTGGTTAGAGCAACAGCACGGGACGCCTGTGGATGCCGGCTCGAGTCCTGCCCGTGTCATAATTTTTTTCTCAATTTAAAATCCCGAAAACTGAAAAACGTTATGATAATAATCATCGGGTCGTGGATTCGATCCCAACTGGGTCAAACATTTTTCTAATGAGTTTGTAACTAAATACTGTCTGTAGTTTACGCGAGTAAAACACATTTAAATAAACCACTTTAACGGTTTAAAACGTGACATAGATTAGTTAAAGTTATTTTAAAATAATTTTAACTACAGCCCGACGTTTCGGATGCTTTGCAGCAGTCGTGGTCACGGGGACACCTCCGTATAATATATCTGTTATTATAATTATTATAATGGAAATAAGTTTAACTAATATATATCGCGTTTTAAACCGTGAAAGTATTTAGTAATGTTTTAAAGACGTGTTGTATTTCCTCTGGAAATATAGATGTCAGATGATTCCGTCTGGGTCACGAACTACCCCCCACAGATGAAAAGCTGTGGATTTCCGAATATCCGAAGTCGAAATCGACAGACTTGTTTAGATGTTGTAGGGGTAGGTGTTTGTCTGCCATCGTAAAAAACAATAATAGGTCATAAGATATAAAAATGTCAGAGATGACCTGCTTCCTCACGTCTGACGATTCACCAATCGAAACTGGTTGCCGTTTTCCTTGAGTTTCCTATAATCACTACTATATTTATTTGCGACGTCTAGTACCATTGCGACAATATAAGCGGAGCGACGTCCGTTCACAAGTAACTAATATCCTTACAGAGTGATTATAGATAGTTAAAATTGTGTAGTGCTATTTCTGAACAAGGTAATATTGTGTATTATATAAAAAAATCATAAAACAGGATCAAACAAACATATTACTGTGTTTGTTTGATCCTGTTTACATGTAGTTAAAAAACCTCTTAGAAGTGGTTTATTTCAACTACTTGTCCTAAGTTGTAAGCCCGAAAAACAAATTAAATTTTATCGAATAACTACTATTGTAGTTAACGTGAGATGTACACAATTAAATACCAATTTTAACGGTTCAAAACGCGAAATTGTGTTATATACCCGTGACTACGGCTGCGGCAAAGCATCCGAAACGTCGGGTCGTAGTTAAAATGATTGATAAGTTATTAGATCGCTTTTTGATTGACTACTAAGTCATACTCGTGTATGTGACAAAATTTATTTTATTTCTCGGGATTCGAACTTGTGCCACTAGTGTTTTTTGCATTGCTAGGCGACTCATTTGCATTTGGTAAGTATGGAGCTAACGAGGCTATCAACACGAAAATGGTTTAGATTTAAAAATAATGAGAGTCGTTTTTATGTAATACGCAAACAAACATATAGACAGACGAACACTACAACCGGATTTTGTTTTATGTATGATGTATAAAGAACATCTTAGATTTTTGTATTTCTTTTAAATAAAACACTTAAATGGTTTAAAACGCGATATATATTAGTTAAACTTACTATAGACATGACCCGCGACGACGGCTGTTGCAAAGCATCCGAAAAATCCGTAGTCAGAATAATTTTCAAATAAGTTTAACTAATATATATCGCGTTTTAAACCGTTAAAGTGTTTTATTTAAATGTGTACTACGCGCGTAAACTACAGACAGTATTCCTTCTATATCCTTTTTCGTATTATCTAAATATCTCAAAATTATATACCTATCCGTTTCGAATAATTCTTGGTCACTGTTTGATTACATATTCACCTTTGTTGAACCCTGCTCAAGGCAACGTAAAAATGTGACCTTGGAATGCGTTTGCGTTTTTATTCTTGCTTTTAAAACCGGCTTTAAATATAATATGATTCATATCACCCCCCTTGTTTAAACGAATAAAAAAAAAATAGCTTACATAATTAAATATTAGCGTGCGATGGAATGGGCTATGCTCGGAGTTACCCTGTGTGCTCGAATCAGGAATGAGGAGATCCGTAGAAAAACTAAAGTCACTGACATAGCCCATCGAATTGGCAAGCTGAAGTGGCAGTGGGCTGGGCACATCGCTCGACGGCCTCCTACCAGGTGGACTGACGACCTGGTCATGGTAGCAGGGAAACGCTGGATTCAACTAGCGAACGACCGGTCCTACTGGAAGTCTATGGGGTGGCCTATGTCCAGCAGTGGACACTGAACATGGCAAACGTTATTTTCTAAATCAATTTGACCGAAATTCGATTTTATTTCAATCGAATTTCGTTAAATTCTTAGAAATTAGAAATTCTTCTTCGTGAAATTAGTTTTTTGATTATTTAAAGAGGAATAAACGTTCCGTTTTTTGGTATCTTGAATGTTCCCCGTTCTGATTAGTCCCAGCATGACGTTTTATAGCCTTTAACTTTCCTTCAACCAGATATTAGCTTATTTCCTGACTTTAGCTTCACCAAACAAACAAACTCTTCAGCTTTATTATATTAGTATAGATTAAGACGATAATAGAAGGTTATAATATAGAATACATAGCTCATAGCTTAATGTTGTAACTAAAGTTAAATACAGACGAAATAAAACAATATTGAACTAATTAAAACCCGATTAATTTAGTAACTGCGACGCATCGCTTGAGATGTTTTACACTAGAAAAAAAATGAAAGCCAAATCTACTATGTTAAGAAATGTAAGGTTATAGTTGAGACGTGATTAACAAAAATTGCACGTTTTAAATCGTTAAATAGTGTTTTATTGAATTGCACTCGCTAACTAACTGCAACAACTGGAAATACAGATTATAACCTTCGACCCAAGACCTTTGTTTTGTTTATATCGATCGCGTTATTACGACTCAACGTATAATTATTATTAATTAACTTTAAACAATAGTTTGTAAAACCCCGTTTCACGTAAGTGGGGTATGGGCCACACAGATTTCCTTGTTGGTTTTAGTCGATTACGTTTAGTGGCAAAGATTTTATTTGACTTCTATGCTCTGTCCGACCGAAATTATTTTTGTTTTACGCAAGATTCGAACGCGAGTCCTCTCGTGTTTCATTATTTCCACGATGAAGGTAAGCGAATAAGCAAAACTCGAGGAAAACGTTTAAAACCTACCATAATTGCCACAATTAAAATGTATAAGAATTAGTAATTTATTTCATTTTATTATAATAGTCCGCTAGATGGCACTGTGCCCGCGACTTGCTTTTTTAGTGAAGTGCATGTAGTACAAAATAATATATTTTGCGATTTAAACCGTTAAAAATGTTTTATTACACGTGTATCCAAATTAAAATACAAACAATACCTAGCTATATTGTCTTTGTGGACAAGATAATTGTTCGCAATGCAATAGAGATCGGGCGCTTACTAAACCTGTATCAAACCGTATGTATACGGTAGTGAATAAAAGGTACGCTATAAATTAACGAGTAACGAAACGTTACACCGGACACAATTTCGTTACTCACATTTGGTCGTATGGTGTGGATTCCGGGTACCGTACATTGTGCGTGTTTGAGCACGACTCAAGCAAGTAAGATCTATATATAGTTTAATTTGAATTTACACTACTAATGTCGGGTCGACCTACGTGGAAATAAAGAAAATGATAAAAAGGAACTACTTCGAAAAATTGAGTTGCAATAGATCTTGATTAAAGGTCTAATTTAAAATAGGCTACTTTGCATGTTTTGGATCACATTCTGTTACGTTAAGAAAGTAAAGAAGTGAAAATATAAGCATGTGTTAGAAGTAACGAGTATTATTAGTAACGAACAAATACGGGTACGCTTATTTCGTTACTTCTACACCTCTAGCGCTTCGTGCCAGACACGTTACAAAAGGTTTTTCCGCTTACGTAAAAGATCAAACATTAGTCTGCACCGGTCAGCCAAGGTGAAGGCTGGCGAGGTGATGAAATTCATGGAATCTGTAAATTAAGGTAATCACCCATCTATAAGGGGAATTGATAAATAGCACTAGTTGTGCCCGCGGCCTCGTTCACACATCACAATTTATCATTATACTTCTCAACTTTATAAATTATAGTTAAAGATAGACATACACTATCGCGGACATTTTTAGACCATTTCAAGAAGAATTATTGTTTCATAGATAGTTTTTGGTATCTTGGACCGTCTGAAAGCACACGCAGCGTTGTTTTGAAAAGTTGTTTTTTTTTGTGTTGGTTAGATTCCGTTACCGTTGCGTACGCTGCGAAAGGATGCCTTTAAGATACCCAAAAATATGTATCAAATAATGATTCATAAAATAATCTAACTAAACGCCCGCGACACTATATGCCTGTCTTTTAAGAACCTCGCAAAAACCGTTTATTATAGTAATCAAGTGTGGTCGAAATTTATGCATTACCGATGATTTGTTAAGGTTCACGAAACCACAGAATAGAAGGTTCGTCGTTTGGAGTTGGTTTGGCCACCTTTGTAAACGATGAAGAGATTAATTAACTTGTTACTAATAAAACGGCCACAGATATGTATCCGTTCCATGTCACACAGGAGACGACCTTCACGTTTGACGGTGTCGTTGACAGGAAACTCACGTAGGACTTTGTTTTCTTGATGTGCTACATTACATTGTTGCAGATGCTTCTCATCGTCAGCTCGATCCTGGCGGTGGCGTCGTCACATCCACAAGTAACGGTGGATCAAGGTTTATTGAATAACATTTTTGGTACACCACCCACTACTGCTACTGAACGAACAAATTTGGAAGACGTAAGTGTAGAAGGGAGATTTTGCACTAAATTAAAACTCGACTATAGATTTTAAAAAAAATCACGTCCCTGTCAGACTTTGAACCGCCATCAACAGCGTACCATGCTGTTGCTCTAACCAATTGAAATACCGTACCGTGTCGTATTAATTATTCATTCTATAATCTATCTTTTTATGAAGAGATTTTAATCACTTCCTTTTTATTTATTAGAATTAGAGTTCTTCATTTATGTATATCACAAGGTCACAGTTTCAATTTAATGATAAAGATATTAGCGCCTAGATAGATCCAAACCACGATCATAATGATTCCCACAGTTGGGACTCGAAGCCAATTTCATGTAAATTGTGTGTTTTACGAAAAATGCCAAGTAGGAAAAAATACACTATCGTGAAATTTCTATCCGTCTAAAGTCGATTTTTCAATAATTATCTTTTCCCTTTGAGTGTTAGCAATTTGACATATCTTTTTAGGTCTAGTTATAGAATTTTTTTTTGAACGCACTAATCTCATGAACTACGGGTTCGAATTTAAATTTGTGTGTTGGTTAGAGCATTTATCGAGGAAGGCTGTGATTAATACAAGCGAAGATACAGCGAGGAATGTAAAAAAAATGGATTCATCATTATGTGTTTCCGTGGCGTAGGCTGAAAAAATATCAACGAAAAAATGATTCCTCTTCAAATGATCTAGAAGACGTCCGCGACGCTATCTTATTGTCCATCTTTTACACCATCGTGGACATCGTGGGTAACAGTTTAAGTTTATAAAGATGCAGGGGTTTGAAGTAACGAATTTGGATGCCCAAAATAACGATTTTTGCGGACGAAGTCGCTGACACAGCTAGTGATAAATATAATTTCTCTTCCAGTTCACAGTGAAGCCAACCGAAGGACCGATCTACTCCCAAGACAAAAAAGGAGTTCCGTGCCAATGCGTCCCTTATTATTTATGCGATAAGGATCGGAATGGCGTAAAGATTAACGATTCATCCCTCAATGGTTGGGGAACTCTAGATATTAGGTAAAGGATATTTTTACTTCTATGGGATGTAAGTCCACGGATCGGGGGTTCGATTCCGACGAGATCGAACATGTTTCTAATTATTTAAAAAACTGAAATATTAGTAACATGGCATTATATGCATTTCTATTTTATTTTATCTAACTAACCCAGTAGTTCAGTTGGTTAGAGCAACATCATGGAACCCCGTGAATGCCGGTTCAAGTCTTGCCCGTGTCGAAAATTTCTTCTAATCCAAAATCGTTATTTAATTTATACAAACGCCACCATGTACAATAACACGTGAAAAATATTAAAGTTCCCAAACCTACACCAGCTTTAGTAAACGTGGCAAGTTTAAACTAAACACTTTGATGTTTTAAAAAGCGATATGTATTCGTTACATTTATTTGAAAAATATTTTAACTATGGCCCGACGTTTCGGATACCTTACAGCAGCCTTGGTCAAAGGGAGACGGACGAAACGTCGGACCGTAGTTAAAATAATTTTCAAATAAGTTTAACTAATAAATATCGCGTTTTAAACCGTTAAAGTGTTTTATTTAAATGTGTACTCGCGTAAACTACAGAAAGTATTTTAAACTTGGTAAGTTTAAGCTCAAACTCCACGCTGGAACATGGTGGTGGGTGGTGGAAGCTAATACTTTATATAAGTAGTCTCCGATTATACAACGGTAGTACAGTATGCTTTTATGTTTACAGATTCGGGACAGACGATTGCCAAGAAACTGTTGAGCTCTGTTGTACAACGCCCCAGGACCCAGCCGAGGTCCCAGTACCAAAACCAGACCCCAAGAAGCCTTCTGGATGTGGCTACAGCAACCCAAAAGGCCTAGATTTCCAAATCACTGGAGGAAGTGTATGTATAATTAAATATATTTCGTAATAGTGGAGGACAGACGAGCATGTTACTCACTTGATGGTAGATAAAATACCCAAGTCATACAACATTTGGCTTTGGATATTCGGAAATTCGAACGCGAATGAACTTGACGGGTTTTTCATCTGTAAGGTTTCGTGACGTATGGAATTTCGATATTTCTACCCTCCATTTAATATCCAGGTTCGCAGACAAAATGTTAAAACATGTTTCAGTAAAATTATAAATTGATTAGGAAGATGTTACACCCGGCAGGGATCGAACCCGCGACGACCTCGTCAGCTGTGTATATTTTTTCAGATAGTTATAGTTATATAGCAGGCACATTATTGTGTTTGCTTTACTTATAGAGTTTCAAGCAAGCTCTTCATAACTTCTGCTATTGCCCAGGTTTCGTACTTAGGCTCAACGCAATGCAATACATTGAACTATTGAGGCATATTATATATCTACAACATATAACATTAGCAAAATGGTTTGTTTGTAAGCATAAATATGAAAAACTACCGATCTGATTCAAATAATTTCCTTCTGTTTTATTCTTTTTATTATTTGGAATAGCTAGATGTTATATATGGTAATATTACTTTCCTTATACCACTGATTTAATTGACCCGACACAGAATCAGTAACCACTGCTGAAAACCGAAACGTCGTTAAAATCGGTTTTAACTGTTAAAATGCCTTTGTTTCCTTTCAGGGTTACGAGGCCCAATTCGGTGAATTCCCTTGGGTAGTGGCGCTGTTGGACGCTTTGAACGGCAGTTATGCTGGTGTAGGTGTTCTGATCCATCCCCAAGTTGTTATGACCGCTGCTCACATTGCTGCTAGGTAAGTATTAAAAAAAAAAAACCATTTCAAAATGTCTACTACTCGCGTAAACTATAGACATTATTTAACTACATATCTGCGATCTTCTTTATGCTTAGTGGGTAGCTATTGTAGGTCCAGGTGGTGCAGTGCACCACGGAGCTTAGATGACCATCTAACCTCACCTTTGAAACGAGATAATCGTAATATAAAGGAGGAAAAAGATTTTTTTAAGTTTTGAGTTGAGTCTTTTTGCTATCAATAATTATTTTGGAGACTTAATGAGCTAATTTTAGGTCGTTTGGTCCATTTATAATCGATATTTATTTATCTCTGTGTCATCTGTGGCAAGAACTTTACTCTATAAAAAATTATCACTAGTTCTCCATGGTTTGAAATCGGTCATATTTGTTTTGGTCTTTTGCCAAGTAAGAAAAAATACATTGTATCTACGCTACTGCATATGCTTTTTAATCTTAGTTCATATTTTTCAGATATGGTCCAGATACTCTTAAGATCCGCGCTGGCGAATGGGACACACAGACGAACAAGGAAAGACTACAACCTCAGGAGAGAATCGTCAACCAAATCATTGTTAGACAAGGCAAGTTACGAAAATTCTTATTATCCGTAGGATAGAAGCGTGGAGGGGTTAATGATAAAAGATGGGGACCGTTGAAAGTATGAGTAAACTAATTTACAATGTATTATATTTAAACTGCGGCACGACGTTTCGGATGCTTTCTTGCAGCCGTGATCACAGGGGGACTGAAGATGGTGGGTGTCCCTAATATCGAAGTCATATTTGCTATACTCCGTGTCTTTCGTTGTAGTTGGACATCTGATTAGTGATAGTTCAAAGCGTTATGTGTGACCACGGCTGTTGCAAAGCTCCGAAACGTGGGGCCGTACTCAAAATTATTTGTAAACAAGTGTAACTAATATATTTCGCGTTTTAAATCGTTAAAGTGTGAGTAACTTCCGATTTTCTGTATAAAGCACTTTTATATGTAACCTCTCTATTTTGTTTTCAGACTTCAATCCAGCGAACCTTCAAAATGACGTAGCCTTACTCCATCTAGAATCGCCAGTGACGCTGGCAGAACATATAAATGTTATATGTATGCCTTCAGCAGGCGAAGACTTTGAGAAGAGTCAGAACTGCGTCGCCAACGGCTGGGGCAAGGATATCTTTGGTAAGAACATAAGGGTCACGAGGTCTTCAAATTGACAGCTAAATTCTAGTGTACTTATTTTTTCTAACTTGGCAAAAGACCGTAACAAATATGGCCAATTTTAAACCATAGAGAACAATTGAAGTTCTTTTATAGAGTGTAGTCTTTGCCATAGATGACAAGGGTATTAATTGTCAGGTTTAATTTGGTCATCAAAATTAGTATTTGCATATCCTTATAAAAGTCGTTACATTTTTCTAGGCCATTCAAAGAAAAATTATTCTTTCATACATATCTTTTGGTATCTTAAACCGTTTTCGTAGCGTACGCAACGGAAACCCACAGAGATGTATAATTTTCCCCGTTTTTTTCCACATTTCCCGCTCTTTCTTCGCTCCTATTAGCCACAGGGTGACGTTTTCTAGCCCTAAATCCTTCCTCGATGACCATACAGAAATAATTATTCAACTTGTACTAGTTGTTCTTGAGATTAACGCGTTCAAACAAACAAACAAACTCTTTAGCTTTATTATATTAGTAAAAGATATAAGTTATCCTATTGATTGTCTAATTGTAATTTCTATTAAACGTCAGAATCCATCCACCTTAATCTCGGTCAACGTAGGTCGACAACACATCTGGTTTACATTGTTCTGTGTCACCTTCTATCACGTGATGCTAGTAGTAGTATATCGTCCTTTGTCTCAAAAACATAATTATGATTATTTATATTTATGGTTGTTTCCTGTTTTAAAATTAATTATTTATTACAACACTGTTCATGTTCCGGACAGCTCGCGTTAGGTTTAAAGCATTGTAATATTACTGAGAGTATATAAATAAATAAATATTCATTATACTTAAAACATTAGGAATGCGTTGTACGGCCAAAATTGTAACACTAAATAGACCCTTTGTTTTGTATCCACTTTAGAAAGGTACAATTTATTGACTGTGTTATTGAATAAGTAACGTTAGTTTAAGGTTGACAAACGTAAGAAATCTTAGCATTAGTTTAAGTATTTGCTCTGAAAACAATAAAGTGTTTGTTTCCCATGAATCCGACCCCACGCTACACTCAATACCTGCAACCCATTTCTCTCTCTTATGACTGGAATAATGTACCATAAAAGAGGGCTCTGGGAGCAGGCCAAACTAGTTCACTTCTAACATCGACACGGCACGCATCGCGAGTACTTTGCCCACAGACGCCGCTCCTCTCACCGGTTCGCGTCGCAAGTACTTCGCAATGTATTGATAGATAGTTAACGCGGCCGTTGTAGGACTTTTCATTTCCATACTTTGTGCCACGATAAGGCGCGTAGCAGTAGCGTGGCAATCGGATGTCGTGGCATAGCGACATATTCGTTAGCGGCAACGTACTGGTAGTTTTATTTCCAAACCATCAAGACAACCGGTTATAATATAGTTTAGTGTAGCTATACAGTCCCGTCGTTCATTTGTGACATTTTTTTTTTTTTCAAAAATTCTGACACTGACACTGACACAAATGTCACGCCGTTTAGACGTTTATCTGTGCTTTCTGACATCTTCATTTATCCCGTAGGCAAACAGGGTCGATACGCAGTGATATTGAAGAAGGTGGAACTCGATATCGTCCCCCAGGGTCAATGCAATGATGAGCTGCGAACCACCCGACTTAGCCAATACTTCAAACTGCACAAGAGTTTCATATGCGCTGGTGGACAGCCAGGAAAAGACACATGCAAGGTAGGACGTAGTTTACGCGAGTAGTACACATTCAAATCAAACAATAACGGTCTCAAACGTGTAATATATTAGTTAAACTCGTTTACAAAGACTGCTGCAAAGCATCCGAAACTTCGGGCCTTAATTAAAATTATTTCCAATTAGGTTTAACTAGTATCGATATAGTGTTTTAAACCATTAAAGTATTTTAATTAAAAAAGAACCGTAGTCTCCCCGTGGTCGGGGCTGCTGCAAAGCATCCGAAACGTCGGGCCTCAGTTAAATAATTTTCAAATAAGTTTAATATATCTCGTTTTGCCCCCGTTAATTTAAAAGTTTTTAATTGAACCCAGTCTCCTGCTATTCTCTAGTTGGAAAAGCCATAAAGGAATTACAATTCCAAATGTTTAAATATAATATAGGTCGATCTAGTTACTATTTTTGTTCAACACGTTACACTTCGTATGGACAACCTGAATATTAAAGGCAGCCGGAAGAGAAGAGTCTTGAACTGTAATCGCGTTTCGGTTGCAGTCTGTGGATTTCAATAAATCCAAAGCCAAAATAGGTCGAGAACACATCTCCTTTATATTAAGGCAGATGTATTTCAACTCTCTTGTGAACCTCAAGTGAACCATGCTTGTCTGTTCTGAAGAAGTACTAAAGCTAATAATTGTATATTTCAGGGCGACGGTGGCGCCCCCCTCGCGTGTCCATTTGAAGAGAACCGGTACAAACTAACTGGCTTGGTGTCCTTGGGGTATAGGGTGTGGTACCAGCGTCCCGGCAGTGTACGCGCGAGTGTCCTTGTTCAGACAATGGGTCGACAGCATAATGACGAAATGGGGCTACGATATATCTGCTTATAATGTCTAATAAATTATTCTTACAAGACACAGTTTTATTTAACATCCTGTATATGCCATCCCGTTTACCCCACTCTGGACATACACAATTTTGTGCCCGTCTGTTTTAAATACTGTCTATAGTTTACGCGAGTAGTACACATTTAAATAAAACACTTTAACGGTTTAAAACGCGATATATTAGTTAAATTGATTTGAAAATGATGTTTAACTTCGGCCCGACGCTTCGGATGCTTTGCAGCAGCCGTGGTCACGGGGAGACTGTTTTATTTAGATTGAAAACATTTTTCCTGACGGAATTAATTGGATGATGGTAGTGTTGGACACAGTCAGGACAGCTGGTTTAAGACGCTGGCATGGAACGCTGTGAGTGTCGGTTCCCCCCCGAGTCTAAATTTGTTAATGGAGATATACTCTACACTAGCTGTGCCCGCGACATCGTCAACGTGGCCTATTTTGGCTATCAAAATTTACTTTTTAAAACAACCGCCTAGCTTTACAAGTTGTTAACCATGACGTCGACCGCGTCCTGTCTTTCTTGCGAGTTAATCTTAAAAGATAGATCTTAGAGACTTAAAAGATAGATCATTTAACGAGGAATCAGTCTTTAAACCTATTTTTTGGGTATCTTGAACCGTTTTCGCAGCGTATGCAACGTACACCCACAAAGGTGAATAATTTTCCCCGTTTTTTCCACATTTTGCTTTTTCTTTCTCAATTAGTCTCAGCGTAATGTTTTACCTATAACCTTTTACCTTTTAGCCTTCCTCGATACTTGCTTTAACGAACAAAAAAAAAATCAATTCCGACCAGTAGTTCCTGAGATTAGCGCGTTCAAACATACAAACAAACTCTTTAGCTTTATATATTAGCGTAGGTAGATTAAGATGTGCCAGTCAGATTTTAATACGTTACGTTATGTTTTTAATACGTTTTTTTATTTATTTTCTATCACAAAAGACTTTACGATATGGAAAACTACTAATTTATAAAATATTATAACCTAAAAATATTATCTAACTTAATTTTGATTATGACAATGGCTTTTTTACATAATCTTAAAAGATAGACATATACTGTGGCAAACATATTGTTTAATATTTAAAAGAGGAATCGTTCTTCTATACGTATATTCGATTTCTTGAACCGCTTTGACGGAAGATTTTCCGCGTTACACCGTGCGTCACATCGTGTCACATGTTTTATACCCTAAACCTTTCCTCAATAAATGCTCTAAACAACAAAAAAAAAATTTTGCATCCGAACCAGTTGTTCCTGAGATTAGCGCATTTAAACAAACAAACTCTTCAGCTCTAAATATTAGTATAGATACTGTAAAAACGTTACGAGCAATGCTTTATATTACCTTGAGTAAACATATAGAAATCATATGTTTTATTATCATTATAACATTTATATTGGAATTAAACTTAAGAGGAAATTTGAGAAGTAGCTTCCAGCATTTTCCATCCTAAATCCAATTTTAAGGTCATCTCTAAATAAATGCTGATAGTCTATCACTATATCTTACAAAGTTAGATGAATACACGTCGGCCTTATCAATACGTGCACTGTGTACGTATTTTAATAATCAGTAGGACGAGACGATTTCCAATGTTGAGACTATTGACCCTGGAATGTAAGGGACGTTAATCTATACTATTATTATGTTATTAGACTTATATTAGATATATATATGTTATAGACATTATATTAGACTATATATTATGACGCTGCAGCTAATAGAATAGAAGAGACTGGAAAATGTGGAACAAACACATTATTGCACATGAAAGCACTATATAATTTAAAAATCTAATTGACTCGGTAGCTCAATTGGTAGAGCAACAGCACGGAACGCTGACGATGCAGGTTCAAGTCCAAGTTATTTTCGATTTTTTATGTAAAAAATATTAAAGTGTTCAAACCAAAAATATGTAAAAACAACGATTTTTCTTCAAATATTCAGAAAAGAGTTCGCAACAGACTTTTCCTTTAAAGACTAATTCGCAGGAACGACGCGAAGCGGACGACGTCTTCTTCATTCTATTCTTTCATACACATTTTTGGGTTTCGCGGCGATTGAAAGAGCGATAATATTCCATGACTCTTCCACATTTCCCACTGTTTCAACGCTCCTATTGTTCACGGCGTGATGTTTTATAGCCTAAAGCCTTCCTCGATAGATGCTCTAACCAACACAAAAATAAGTTAAATTTGAACCAGTAGTTCCTAAGATTTTCACGTTTAATAAACTCTTCACCTTTATAATGTTAGTATAGATGCCCGTAACACACATTTTAAAACATACACTAAGAAGTTTACGCAAGTAATACACATTTAATTAAAATTATTAAAACGCGATATATAGGGGAGAGTTGGACAATACCGAGCCCCTAAGGAACTTCACCTATAATTATTTATTTATTTATTTATTTACACTTTATTGCAAAAAAAAAATTAACAAAAATATAAACTTATATACTAAACATATGGAGTGCAAGGGGGCCTTATCGCTAACGAGCGATCTCTTCCAGGCAACCCAAGATAAAGAGAAAAAATTTTACGGGAAAAAAATTAAGGTGGGCGAAACAAAATGTACAATGTTAAATATAATCTTAAACTTATCAAAATAAAACTTACATACAATTTCAAAACTTATCTAGGGAAACTAAACTAAAATAAGGATTCGTAAAAATATTAAAAGATATACAATTTATAAGATGGTAATTAAGTGACATAAAGTGTTGAAAGGAGCTTTTTAAAGGATAGGAGGGAAGACCCATAGTATGGAGACGGGTAAGGTATTCTATAACCTACGCAGTAATTTAAAGATTTGCTAATAGTTATTGGGAAGGAACTTAAAGTATAAGTAGATATGAAATGTAGCTACCGTAGGACCCATGAATTTAAACTTAATTTTAAAAAAATTTGGGGAAGATAAATAAAGAAGATTAAGGATATCGCATCTCGCCGAAAAGAATGGCAAATCCTACTTTTTAGGAACCGGATAATGATCGAATTTTCTCAAACCAAATAAATTATAAGAAGTTTTGTAAATTCCATTTATCCAAATTCCTCATTCAAATGGGACATACGTCGGATATAAGTGTAAAAAATTTGACTAGGATGTCTTATTATAGGAAGAATATATTTTAAATTATTTTTAGGAAACTGTTTTATATTAAAAGAAAAAAAAATGTAATTATTAGAACATTTATTCAGGTACGCGTTACCTTATAACGAGAATATATAAGTCAAACATATTTGAAAATTATTTTAACTACGGCCCGACGTTTCAGCTGCTGCAATAAGTAATATATATCGCGATTTAAACCGTTAAAGTGTTTTATTTAATTCGTGCATTATAAAATAGTGTTTTATGCTTGCTCATGTTGGGGCTCATTGGATTTAGGAATTTCTTGATTGTTTATCTTGTTAATTTGGCAGCTAAAGCCTCTATAAAGATTAGGTTCTGACTAAACTTACTTTGTAGTTATCTTTGAGTGTAACGAGGGATTAGATTTTAGAGTACGTGTGATTTGACTCGTAAAATTGTATTATTATGCGTCAAGCAAGTTTAGGTAAGATGGAAAGGGTTATTATGACGTTAATAAAAATCAAACGATTAAAATGTCTGACATTTGGAGTAACCCGCTCTAGCAAGAAAAATATATCTTCAAATTACGTGAAGGCGTAAATGAAACTTGGCGATGAAAGGAGTGGCGGCGAGTCTCTTGCCAGTTCTTCTCGTTCTTACTACGCATTTGATTTGAATTGGTGGTTAAATTTTAATTTAGTCTTTATAATTTAACTGTTGTGACGTTTATAAATATGCCTAGTTATCTACAGGAATAAACGATTATAGACATTGACAATCATTAGATGTATACTTTTTATCTATAAGTACTAATATTATAAAATTAAAGAGTTTATTTGATGGCGCTAATCTCAATAACCACTGGTTAGAATTGAAAAAATACTTTTTATAAGAGACAGGCTTTAGGCTATATCAGGCTGCCACTAACATTTTGCCATGTGAAGTGTTTCGACGAAATTTTATTACCTTTAAAAACAGACATACGGACACAACGCAGCGGACATTTTTTTTTTGATTACTTAAAAAAAGAAAAATCATAAGTACCTATTATATAAAGTATAAATAATTTAGTATATCAGTTTGAATAATTTTCCCCGTTCATTGGGGCCCCCGCAGAAAAGAGAAGGGGGGTTTTTTTTTTTTTTTTTCCCCCCCCCCCCCCCCCCCAAAAAAAAAAAAAAAAAACCCCTCCCCCCCCCCCCCCCTAAAAAAAAAAATTTAAAAAAAAAAAAGGGGGGGGTTTGGGGGAAAAAAAAAAAAAAAAAAAATTTGGGGAAACAAACCCCCCCCCCCCCCCCCCCCCCCCCCCCAAAAAAAAAAAAAAAAAAAAAACCCCCCCACCCCCTATAGTGCTTACGTAATACTTGAACGATCCCATTCCACATTTATTCTGTTTCTTCGCTCATAATAGTCACATCGCGATGTGATAGCCTATAGCCTTCCTTGATAAATACTCTAAACTACAGAGTTCTAAAAAAAAATTTCGATTAGAACCACTAGTTCCTGAGATTAGCGCGTTGAAACATACAAACTCTTCAGCTTTATATATAAGTATAGATTTATGATACATATCTAAACGTCGAACGAGTTGGTTATGTTTTATACATTAAAACAAAAAAGGTAGGCTAATTAAATATTTATTTCCAAAAGAACTCAAACAAAATAGAAATTTGAACTTAAATTAAAAAGTGATTTGTATGCCAGTGTTAATTTATTAAAAATATATAAATGGGGTATTTAAATTAAACAAAAATATGGCTGACTTACTAATATATCACACATATTTGTCTTCGCTACGAGCAAAAGATACATCTATATATTCTATAACAGCCTATGCTTTGTACAAAATTTGGGAGAAAATATTACTACCATGGAAATACTACCAAACGGTAATTATTACTATTATCTATTTTTGTAACCAGTAATCATGAGTATAAAGTAAATGTGGGTAGTTTTAAATTTAGACAGTTTTTTGAAGGTACTCGTCGAAGAGGTACAGGGCAATGGACAAGTCGTTTCCGTCATTCTGTACAATGAATTGCTTGAGATCAGACGTGTGTCCAGCCAGGTTCCTGATAGTGTCTGCGTGGTCTTCGATGAATTCTTCCTCTAGGTATTGAGCAATCTAAAAAAAAGGAAATCATTTTAGTCAAGTGTGAGTTGACTCAGGTGCGGACTTCGTGGACTTTAAATAACAGCAAATAGAGGCTTCTCAGCGTATTTAGTCAAGACTGTAATCCTAAATCGAATAAAATAAAAATTAATATGTAATTTAAATGAAACACAAACGGTTTAAAACGCGAAATATTTTAGTTAAAATTGCAAATTATTGTCACGTGACCGCGACGACTGCTGCAAAGCATCCGAAACGTCGGGGCACACTTAAAATAAATTTGTAATGAAGTTTAAATACATTTCGCGTTTTAAACCGTTAAAATGTTTTATTTAAATGTGTTACTCACGTAAAGTACAGACTGCATTTGATTCATATATCCCTATGAAAAACTGAAGACCCTAAAATATACCTCAGCATCGTGGGTCTTGTGGTTGTTCCTGGTGGCCTCCTGGTGGATGTAGAAAGCACGTTCAGCAATCTCCTTCTGAGTGTCAAGGGCGTGGGCAAGGGATTCTAACTCTTGGAGCTCAATGGTGCTGTTCCTGGTGACTGTCTCTTGAACGCTGCGACGAGCAAAGTCCATGGAACCACCTTGACAAGAATGTCAAACATATTTATGGTCTGAAATATCTCTTGCTACAACGATACACATGTAGGAAACTAGTATAGGCGGTAGATTTTGAAAATATAAAACTACCCTCCTCGAGAAACATGACTTAATATTATTATAGTAATTGCTGGGATAGTGCAGTGCCATATATAGTGTAGTTTTCTAGGCAGTTACTGCAACCTTGACAGTTTTTGTAAACAAACACAAAATTTTCATGAAATCGTGATTTAAACGCAAGGTTTACATTGATTAATACTAAAAAACCTCTGCGACACTGGATTATATATATAAAACTTCGAAAAATATAAGGTACATTTAAAAATAAGTTAAATAGCCCATTGCTGGGATATAACAGTGTCTCTCTTACTCACCTCTCTTAGTGATGTGTTTGATCAACTCAATAGTCTTGTCCCAGGTCTCATCGGAGAGCTTCTGAAAGAGTTTGCTGAAACCCAAACGGTTCGTCTGGTAGTTGTTGTAATAAGCGGCTGAAAGGAGGTACTCGTACGATCTGCGCATGTGCAGATTGGCGTATGCTTGCATCTCGTTCGCTACATTTCCTTGGCGGCTGAAGTGGCCATAGATGGCGTTACAGCTTGGCAAACCTGAAAAAACTTTGGAATTGCACAATTTTGTTGATAGGCTTACTGTAACGAATATTTATTCTATGAACATTGAGTTTTCTTTGGATAAGTAGTTAAACTAGCCGTCCCCCGTGACTTTGTCTGCATGGAATGGATAATTTCTAGTATCATGTTTATTCATGTTTGTTTTTTTGATTTTTTTACCGTTTCCTCAACGCAAACGAAAGTCCTAAAAGATGAGTTATTTTCCCTGTTTCCCTCTGTTTCTTAGCTCTCATTAGTCGCAGCGTAATTTTTGATAGATAGTATGCCTCGATAAATAGTCTTAAAATACAAAAATAATTTTTCATTCATTTCGAGCCAGTAGTTTCTGATATTAGCGCCTTCAAACAAACATTTCTTCAAATGTATATTTGTAAATGTTTTTAATTACTTCACTTTGTAATCAAACAAGGCCTAAACTAAGAATAATTCAAAACTCATGATAAATACAATCTACCCACTACTACTATAGACATTTACTAAAAAGAGTTTAATGGGGCTCTGCAATTTGTTTTTATCTGCTTAAAATATAAAATATGATAGGTATGCCTTGTGTACATAACACTTTTGTTTTACACCCCTATTACTGTCCCACTGTTGGCATAGGTATTCTTGCCCACGAAAAAAAAGGATTTTAGGAGGATAGTCACACCATTCCATTCCAGTGTAGGACTGTCTACTGAAATAACTACTAACAACTAACAAACTATAAGATTACCCGAGCATGATTTAAACAAAGGACTTTGTCTGCATTTAAATGTATTACCACACATCTAGAGAGACAATCATACCATTATCTATACTAATATTATAAACGCGAAAGTAACTCTGTCCATTAACTCCGAAACTACTGAAGTCATTTAAATGAAATTTGGTACCCAGATATTTTAGAGTCTTTAAAGCCAAATAAGGGTTGATAGCGTTTAAAAAGGGGGATGAACGTTTTTACGGAAGTTCGTGGTTTTTGAAGCTAGAACAATGAAACTTTCTTCTTTGGTTTTATGGGAATAAGAGTGGGGGTGGGAGTGGGGGTGAGAGTGGGGGTGAGTGGGGGTGAGAGTGGGGGTGAGAGCGGGAATGAGAGTGGAAGTAAGAGTAGGAGTGATGTGAGGTAAGAGTGTTGCGGCAAAGTAGCACTTACAACATAGATTGGCTGCCTTAAATGCGCCCTTACATAAATTAATACACAGCCTCAATAATAAACTAAAGAAGTTGCAGGCACAGCTAGTTATATTTATATGAAATAGTTAACACTTAAGACAACATTTTGTCTGACATATGGCTTATATTATCTGTATGATAAGCCATAGATAAATCTATATACATAGATCATAAATAATCTTATTTCCAATATCATGTAGAATGTTATTTCAACATTGTCCTACAAATCAACAATGTAGCGAGATAAAATAATTTCTCAAATCTACTACTTCTTTTGTTGTTTTAGAAAAACTAATTGATTGTTTCAAATTGTTTGTATCTGTATGTCTATTATGTAAGTAAAATTATATTAACCACCTCTGAAATCAAGAACACAAGGGAAGCGTTGTGTTAAGCATTTTTCATCATAAGTTTTAAATATAAATCTTAAAACAATGAAAATATGTTTTTCTTAAGTGAAACAGAAGTTTGACTTAATTGTCCAATACTTTATATAAAAATATATTTGAATCGTAATTTTTATAGACAACACTAAAAAATATGAGTTAATGTATGTTGATATTAATAGAAAAACAGCACTACATACAGGTGTTAGTCGAAGTCTGTTAAGGCTATAATAGTTTTTTGTTATATACATACCAAGACTGTTTGACGCCTGTCCACAGTCCATCGAGACATCATTGAAACATGTCTCCGCTGAAACAGCGGACAACGCCAGAAGGCAAGATACTGCTAACGCAATGACCTTCATGATGCTGGAACAATATGTAGATAGTTTTTTGTAATCACAGTTTTAAAATGTTTGTAAATTTAAACTTTTATGTCCAATGCGGCAACATAATGTAGTAAGGTTAAAGTTAATTAAATAAAGATTTAAAAAAATTGCTGATACAATAAAATAGCTGTAAAGCTTGGGCAATATAATCTGTGTAGCTCATTTTTTTTAAGTAATACGAGACTACACTACTAGTAGATTAGATAACTTAAAATTCATAAAAAATTATAAATAGATAGGTGGGTAGTTAATCTTTAAATACGTATTTAGATGTTGATAAGGTGTATTGGCTATTAAACTCATTAAAACTGATTGATTGAGTTTGATAAAGGGATTTAGGTAATAATTGTATAATACAATGGTCTTATCTATTCTTGTGTATTGTTCAAAAAACGTCTACGGAAGACTTGCGTCTATAAAAATCGTTTTTGCCTTGCCAAAAAAGTTGCAAAATGGAATGTTCCAGGATAACTGACGATATTTACATAAATAATAACTGAATTGAACTTACCAATTCGATGCGTAATATGGCGATAATAAAATGATAATATTGAACGAGAAAATCGCTGGCAATCCGTCGAAAGTGCAGCCTTTACACACACTGGCGCAGAAGGCGACTCCGACAAAGAATACTCGTATCCAACGGGGACAAAACAAAATGTTATATACAATGACTTATCAATATTTTACGCGTAGTAGTTTGTCTGACAGCAAACAAGATACAAAGATTGGGAAAAGTGCCCGAGTGGTGCGTAGCAGTGTGGCCGATTAAGTGTACGAATTTTTGCTTAATTTTCATAAATCTCGTTGTGTTATTCAGTTTCTTTATCTCTTTATTGTTTTTTTAATCATAAAATATCCTTTTTAAGCAATAATTTAATCTGTCTTTTAGTTTAATACTGTGATTTTTTTGAACAGCGATGAAAAAATTTTAGCAAAATACAGGGAAATATTCTCAGTCAGCAATACTGTAGTTTACGCCCTCCGCCCCGCATACCGATGACCGTACTTGGAACGTTGAGGTTTTGTGTTTCGAGGAATTTCTCGATATTGCATCAACCGGCCTAAATCGGGAGTTTTTTATACATGTCGGTCCTTGTTAGGTACCTAAGAGACGGGTTCCATCGAAAATAAAAGAGAGACGGGTCAAAAACGGCTGTAAAACGGGCGTAATCCTCGAAAATATTCCACGAATCCCCCTCGGAACACGAAACCTCGACGCCCTAGAGTCATCTATCTCTTTCCCGCATCGTGTGTCACTGTATTTGGGACCACTTGTCATTACTGTATGATTTTATCGCGCAGTTTGAACTAAACTAATCGGGAGCCATATAAACGCGTATAAGTTTTTGTTTTTCGCTTTGATAAGTAGCCTTCTGCGCCAGTGTGTGTAAAGGCACTTCTCAAACGACAGTGTAACACTTTTGTCAATTTAATAATCGTCAAAATATCTGTGATATTGTAGAAACATGAAGATCCCGTCGCTCGTTCTCTTCTTGGCGATCTGCTCAGCTGCTTACGCCACACAATGTAAGTGTTTTTACTCTAGAACCGGAGCGGAAAAGTTTTTGTTCCCACCTTCAATTGTTTTTCGATCGTCTTTTGTGTGTACACAATTAGTTTTTTACTAAGGTCATCCAAATTCAAGGACATTAAGTTGTTTATAATATATTTTTTTAGGTATTTAGGTGGTAAAACGAAATTCAATATAAACGATGACTTGCAATTTTAATAAAGTTCAATAATTTATATTTTTTTCTGAAACTTGTTGGACGTCACCTGGAAATCTGGATATTAAATGGTTAGGGGGTAGGAATATCTAACCACCGTTCACAGGTGAATAAGCCATTTCGGTTTAAGTCTGTAGTCAATATCCAGTGACAAAGTAGGTGGATGTTGTATCGCATTTAGATGTTATATGGCTGAGTATTTCACCGTCCATAGTGAACCCCGAGCTGACCTCCTCAATCATAAATAAAAAAAACTGATTATTCTTGAGACCTGACGTTTTCAAACCGATTTATCTTCAGCATTAATTTCCAAATAATAATAAAAAAACTTGAATTGCCATAAATATATTAACAATGAATAATGTGGCACTTAACTAACAGTAATTATTATTTCTTATTAACTTATTCTTTTGTGTGTCATATAATAGGCAGCGGATTCTAGATCTTTTCGAGTGACTAAATCTTTGAAATTGCATTAGCAGTAAACAGATGTTATCTGTTGATACGCAGTACCTACATAAATCACTTTTATCTTAACTACCTACTTAAATACAAAATATTAGTTTTTTGTAGGTATTTTATCGAGTCAAAAAGGAGGTAGCATAAAAAAAATTTGTACCTACAAACAAGAGCTGTGTCTTTATTAAATCCTGTATCTTAGTACATAAATATTATCCAATGTTTCTATAAGAAGCTTAGATTATATGACACTTGGGTGTTTTTTAAATGTGTAGTGTATCTGGTTTGAAATATTGTCGGAATCATATCTGGTTTTTTTCTCCTTTACAAACTTACTAGTAAGTTACCTTAATTTAAAAAGCTTATTTTGATTGTATTTATCAATATTTTATAGAAAACCCTAACAAAGACAGTGCATTTACCTTAATTATCTGATTATTTTTATCTGACATCATCTTGAAGTATTTCATTGAACATATCAATAGATTAGATAGGAAAATCCTCTGTCTTATATAGATTTGATGAATGATTAATGCTGACGTTAAGAAAACAATAATTTGTAAAATAAAACACTAAAGGTATAAAATGCGATACACATTAGTTAAACTTATTTGATATTATTTTTAACTACGGCCCGATGTTAAAGATAATTTTCAAACAAGTTTAACGAATATATATCGCGTTTTAAAGTGTTTTATTTAAACGTGTTCTTCTCGCTTAAGCTACAGACAGTATTTAACATCTACTAAATGAAACTGTATTCTCATCTTTTTAACTAATAATGTACAAGATTGGTAACTATGACAGCAACATATCTTTAGAACATTTAGTGCTATACATATGAGAACTTTAACCATTTTTATTATCATGACCAGTCTTTTCTCTCATAGGCAAATGATATTCTATTCAGATTATTTTCTTTTGGGGACAACAATCGAAAAGTCTTCGAACGACAAGATGCTAAGAATCACATTCAACTAATCCAAATAACTCACATTTTTTATTTTTATATTTATATAACAACAAAGAGCATGTTGGATAGTTACATGAAGCGTTGGTCCCATCTCCATGAAACGGTCCGAACCATCAAAACACTATTCTGAGTGGAAAATGAAGCTAAAAAAATGTTGATAGACCTTCCTTAAAACAGGTGGACAAGCCATGAAGTGTAAATTCATGTCTTGGATGGTCTACATCTCTGAATGTTCAAATCCTAGTTACAGTCCTGTTATACTACCCCCATTTTGACCATTGTTTTGTTCAACAGACATAGATAGTATATAGATTCGGTTTTGTATGTGAGTTGCATTTTGTTGCACCATATAAAAAGAAACGGACGAATGCGACGTTGCCAAGTTTCTTCGAACTTTGCCCCTAATAAATTATTGGTGCTAATTGCAAATATAATATTCTAATCAATGTTTTTACTTAACGCATGGCTTGGTCACAATTTGAACTGTCATATCTCCTATCTAATAAACACTGGCTAGTCGGTACGTCGTTATCCTTGAACAATTAATGCTATATGGTCGTTGTTAAAAAACAAATGTCAAATCCTCCATCGAGGTCGTAAGACGTGTGGCAGACACACTAATATGTTCTATTTGATAATCAGCGTTTTGGGCTTCACCTTAGTTTGATGTAGAATTTTCTACAAATGGTTGAAGGATGTAGTCGGAATAATTTAATATTTTCTGATTTTATACAGAAAAAAAGGACGAATTTACTCATGTCCCTACAGATATCTACTCAACAGACATCTCTCATTTATATGCATAATGTCGTATTAGGAGAAACTCACAACATTCTACAGATGTGTTTAATACAACTTCTAATAAAGTAGAATATTATTTTTACTAATAAACTGAATACTTATTTTAGGCATCTTTGGATGGCCAAAATATTCTACACGATTTGTTTTTATGCGGGGTTTTTTTTGCAAACTGTTTATTATTACGTCATCGGTCGCGTCCCGTCCTTCTTGCGAGTTCATCTTAAGAGATAGACATATATTAATTATATGTCGCGAATATTTTTTTATGTATTCAACAAGCCCCAACAGGGTTACGTCCGATGCAACTTTGGTGCTGAAATACTGATAAAACTAATATGTTTTTTAATAAAACACTTTAACGGTTTAAAACGTGATATCGTCGGGCCAAAGTTAATAAGCGTTTTAAACCGTTAAAGTGCTTTATTTAAATGTGTACCACTCGCGTAAACTATAGACAGTATTTAATATTTACCCGCAAAACGTTATTTGGAATACAGCCACTGCCATCTAGTTACGAAACATGGAAAAACAACTGAAAGTCATGACTAATAAACACTTATTTCTTTGTTTCACTATCAAGAGGAAAATAAACACGAACTGTTAACCTTAATGTATTTTGTTATTATCTTTAATCTGTGGCAATGTGCGCTTTACCTATTAAAATGCGATAGATTAAAACATTTATATATACTAATATTTAAAGCTGAAGAGTTTGTTTGAATGCGCCATCCCAGAAACCACTGGTTCGAATTGAAAAATTGTTTTTCTTTTGATTAGAACATTTATCGAGGAAGATTATAGTCTACACAATGGTGCGAATTGAATTTTTCTTATATTGGTTAGAGCGTTTATCACATTATTTAAAACATTATACTGTGACTGATAGGAGCGAAGAAAATGTGGGAAAACGGAAAAAAATTACACACACCTAGCCATAAAATAAAACACCTTTTATGTTTAAATCTCGAACATATATACGTATTCGAAATTATTCTCTGTAGATTTCGCGAGTAGAACATAGTGTGCTAATCTTAACGGCTTAAAACCTGAAATATATTAGTTATTATTTGTAATCTATTTTAACCGGACGTTTCGGATGTTTTGCAACAGCCGCTCATCATCAAAATATCCAGAACATCCGGCCTTTGTTTAAATAAAGTTAATATAATATGTTTCGCGTTTTAAACAGTTACAAGTGTTTTATTGCAATAATTAAGTAATTAAGTTCTTTATTCTATTTGTTTTTCCTTTCTCTTAGGTAACGTCAATCCGGTGAACGTCCCAAAACAATGGATTACGATGTCCCGAGGATGCAGGGACAGTGTCAGGAGACAGATTCAGATGGAAGTCTCGGCTTCAATCCAGTACTTGGCCATGGGAGCTCACTTCTCTAAGGATTCGGTAAGGAATTGACATTTGATAGAAGTAATGCCGCTTAAATTATAAGAATAGGAAAGGAATGAAAAAGGTTAAAAATACATTGTGCAAATGGTACTAGATTGCAGGAATTGAACAATTTTAATAAAATTGTTTTAACGATTTAAAACACGAAATATATCATATTACTTATTTTCATAAATATACATAACTACAGCCCGGAGTTTTGAAACGTCACTACAGTACACTAGCAAAGCCTTCAAAGCTTTGCTAGTGTAGTGTAGCAGATTTGACTTTGATATTAGGAACACCGTCCATATTTAGTCCCCCCATGACCACAGCTGCTGCAATGACGTGGATGTGTCCGTGTATCGATTTTTTTATTACATCCTAAAGATATATAAGAGAAAGAGATAAGAAGAGTTAAATAAAACACTTGTACTTCAAAAGAAACCAAATATAATTCGCGCTTTAATCCATTAAACAAATATTTTATAGGTAACTAATAATTTTACAGACTGGTAACGCGTTACGAAGTGAAGCTACCTTCTACAAGTAACACAATCCTAATTTGATTACAGATCAACCGTCCCGGATTCGCGAATCTATTCTTCGAAGCCAGCAAGGAAGAACGGCAGCACGCCATGAAACTTATCGAGTACCTCCTGATGAGAGGAGAACTCACAAACAATTTAACATCTCTTATTGCTGTCAGGGTAAGTGGTACAATCTATAAAAGATATGGTCAAGTATATATTTTAGTAACGAACTAACTCGCAAAGAGAAATAATTTTGCCCGTTTTTACTTACATTTGCCACAGACACTTTGCTCCGATTAGATGCAGCATTTTACAGCCTATAAGCCTTCCTCGATCAGTGGCCTAAATGTTTTGAAAACAATGTTTCACTTCGAACTATTAGTTCCTGAGATTAGCGTTTTCAAACAAACTAACTCTTCAGCTATATTTAGGCAGTAAATAATAACTATCAGCGTTATATATGAACAATAATGTTACCGTTTATTTCCAGGCGCCAGAACGTAAGACCTGGTCAAGCGGCCAAGAAGCTCTCGAAGACGCGTTGAAGATGGAGACCGAAGTCACAAAAGCCATCCGTACTGTTATTGTAAACTGTGAAAATGATAGGTCAGCTGGTCCGGGACAAGACGACAACGACTACCATGTAAGTATTGGCTGATTCTGGTGTCTTCTAAATATGGGTTGAATATTGATATCACTGGTTTTCTGGCAGGAACCAACTGAGTCTACTTATATCATATGTATTTTTGCTACTTATGTCCCTGTAGACTAAATTCACTGAGCCAACGGACAACTCTTATAAAAATGTTTCCAATAATGGGCTATTTGACAATTCGAAAAATATAGTGTCAATTACTGTTATCAGTATGTATAAATAAATAATTATAAATTTAAAATAATAAAAAAAGTTAAAAGTAATAATTGATTTAAATAAAAAAATTAACATATTTAAATATCTGTGACACAAAACGCTCCTGATTGGTCGCGTTTATGACGACGTCACTTGCTTATAAACAGTGCTATAAACCACCGTTCCTAGTTTTAAAACTGTTCTATTCTCTATGCATTAATAAATAAATAAATTTGTAATTCATTTCATTACTGCAAACACGGTTAAAATGTAAATGTTTGTTACAAATGCACGTAGATCATTTGATCATGTGATCGACACACACCTGTGGCCAATATAAGGTCGTGACGTCACTAGCCGTATTGCAGCGTTATTTGACAAAATTAGCATTGAGGCGCGTAGTATAAATGTTGGATTTTTAATTTGATATATTTTAGCAATTAAAGAATCAGAATTAAATAAATATGTATTCTAGGTGATTTATGTAATAAAGAGTGCTACCGATTGAATGCAGAGCATCTTGCAAAGATACATAAGTGGAAACTGTCTTACCAAACCAATAATGGCACTTTTAAACGTTACAGCTCGTCGACTACTTGACTGGTGAATTCCTTGAAGAACAGTACAAGGGTCAGCGCGACCTCGCCGGAAAGGCTTCCACACTCAAGAAGATGATGGACCGCCACTCTGCCCTCGGAGAATTCATCTTCGACAAGAAACTCCTTGGCATTGACATATAGAGAGTCAATTGTCAACTGTCAACTTTGACAGCCATTAATAGATTTAAAATATATTCCATTATAACATCCTCTTTTCCAACCAGTCAATAGATTTAAACTATAACTTCTATAGAAAGTCAACTGTGACCTGTGTGTGTGTGTGTGATCTTTCTTTCTTACCAGCCAATGTAAACTAACCACAGACTAGTACAAAGTGTTTTTATTTCATTCAATATTGTAGTGTTAAACTCAACGTAGACTTAGGATGTACATTTTTTATTCCTAGCTCCACTATTTAAATATAGTTCTTGTTTCGAAGCATTTTTAGGTTTTATTAGATGAGTTCAAATTATATTCTTTTGTGATTATTAAATTTTATTGGAAACGAAATTTTTGTTTTAATTTTGTTCTAACAATTATTATTAAAAACTCTCCAGTTGTTTTATCCGAGAATTGAAGTCTTTTAAAGGTTTGCGAACATAGTACTAATTGGTTCAACAATCTTTAAAAGGGTACCTTATAGCATAAGTAGCAGCACGGATCTTAAGCGCTGAACAAATCCTGCGCTTCTGTCAAAAATAAGGTATCAAAGGGACGGAAGCGGGCGCGGGGCGAGTAAACGTCATGTGCTCTGGCATTGATTGGTTCCCAAGTCGTGTTGTCTTTCTCGGACCAATACGACGCTTCGCTTGCTTCTCGAGTACAGTCACGTTTTCCAATCAATTACGTGCGTGATTGTACAGATGCGCAACTATATTCGTTCACCGCTAAACATCCGTGCCGCGACCTATATCTTCTATCATGTTAATATGTAAAATACAAATCACTATATTATTTATCTGCACAAGTATAAACTGAAAATCTTATTTCAATGCGCTAATCTCAGGAACTACATATTTAAAAAAATATTTTTATGTTGGTAAGACTATTTATCGAGGAAGACCGGTTGCTTACCCAATAGCAGCGAAGAAACAGGAAAATTTGGAAAGAGCGCGGAAAATGGATAATCATTGAGGGCTACCGTTGTGTACGCTGATACGATTAAAAAAACGAAAAAACTCGTATCAACAAGTATTTCCTCTTTAATTTATCAAAAAAAAATGTGTGCGACAATATAAGTATGTCTTCAACAACCGGACGTCGTGGTTACTGCTATAATCTATACTAATAAAGCTGAGTTTGTTTCTTTGTTTGAGCGCACTAATCTTAGAAACTACTGTAGTAAATACTTTTCCTTTCTTACTTAAAAAAACGGGAAGCTGTCTGTGCCGGTTAGGATTACTAACGTGTTGAGATGAGTTGCAAATGTAGCCCGCTCCGACGATTATAAAAATTAGGTTTCACCAGAAACCAATTTTTTTAAATTTTCGGATATATTCTTTTACACAAGAACATCTTTTATTAAATTAATTACAACCGTTAAAGAAACCGTCTTGCTTTTAATGTGTACTGGTTTCAACGAGAACTCACGTCTATAAAAACTCTTTTAATTTCGAATTCGCGCTCAACCTTACACCATAGAGCCACGAAAGAAAGTTTAATCAATTACTGTGCGTAGACCGTTAGCTCTTAACACGTCTAATCTTAATGAGATTAAATGCGCTTGATCGAGTTTGGACCAGTCCACTCCTTCTCCAGGTACATCAAGTGTTTGTTAGTCCTCATCATACTGTCTATAGTTTACGCGATTAGTAAATATTTAAATAAAACACTAACGGTTTAACGTTAAACGATATATTAGTTAAAACTTATTTGAAAATGATTTTTAACTTCGACCCGACGTTGCGGATGCTTTGCAGAACGCCGTGGTCACGGCAAAGTCCTCATCATTCTAAGGTACAGGAACTGGTAATTATCATGGTTAAGGATCATGACATTTAAATAAATGTCGACGTTACGGCTGCTAGCATCGTACGTAAAATACGTCGGGCCATAGTTAAAATAAGTTTCAAATAAGTTTAACATATATAGCGTTTTAAACCGTTAAAGTGTTTTATTTAAATGAAAACTGGACCATGATAACATCTATATTAACAATTCAAACTCGATATACTAGTTTATTTTCTAAATAATATATATATAATAGATCATATTATTGTCTTTATGGTAATCATTACATTACAAACCTTGAATTTTAATCGTAAGTTGATACTATTTCAATTTGATCTATTTACGTATTATAACAGGTGTTATAAATACTCTAATTATAATATTACGTGTACATACAATATATATGTGAATAATAAAGCGAGTCGTGTTTGTTGCACCCAATTAAAGAACGGCTGAACCAATTTTAATTTATTATATAAAAAATTATGCGGTGGACATAGGAGATTTTTTGTGTGAGGTCTGGATCTTTAAAAACGATTTTTTTATGGTATGTTTGGGATGTTTCCGAGACGGAAGACAATCTTTGTAATTTGTCACAACGTTGGATTTTATTAATGCTATAAATAACGATGTAGTTATAAATAATATTTTTTCCATTTATGCTTTTTTCCTAAGAAAATAAAAAGTACTACGTGACGACATGCCGAACTATATTAAATGATTAACCAAGATGTATGTAATCGGTTGATCGTACAGGGTTCCGTGAAAACAGCAGAACTTCCGTATAATCAAGTTAGAGAAAGACCTTGCTTGTTTTCTTCACAGTCCTCCCGAAACGTTCATAAGAATTGTTGTAAACAAACTCTTACAATACGAACATGTTTGCTCTACTGCTTGTAAACTATCCAAAGAAATAAAAATCTAATAAAAAAAATACGACACGGCCTTAACGGAACTTGAACTGGCATCCACAGCTTTCCGTGCTTTAACCAATTGAGTTACCGTGTCCACACGCTATCGCCGAATTTCTCGAACGCATTAATACATGTCGCAATGTAATTTCAACCTTACAACTTACGCATTGAGGTTCAGGGTCTATTTTTTTGCAGCTAAGCTTCGCCATCATGTCAAATATAACAAAGTTTTCAAATTAATTTACTACTGAACATAGTCAAACTAACAATTCGGGTACGGAACCCAAGTAAAACACACGAAAACAGTAAATTATTTATTTAACTCAATACATATAAAATTGACTTATAATTTTAAAACAATATAATTTATTGCACGCTTTCTCTTGTAACAAAAACAAAATAATTGAACTTTTTTCCAGTGTATTAATATTACTTTACATGTCCGCAAAATAAATTTGACGGGCTAGTTGGTCTAATGTTAGCAATGATTTATAATTTTTTTAAACATGTCTGATGAAAACAAACAGTATCTGAAGCCAAAATAGTTCGACAGCCCATCTAGTGTAGATATTGTGTTGGTGGGCTATTTTACCTTATATCAAATGACCCTATTCTTATCTGTACTGCTCTATCGTAAAAAATCGCACTTACTGAGTAAAAATCCCGTTCCTTCTATATGTGGTACGGAACAGACACACATCTGTGTCTGTTTCATTTGTAGTGTAAGTATACACACATAAATCCATTCTTAATTTTGCATATTGCACTTGAACTGCTTTAGCGAGTACACAAATGTCCATCTAAGACTTTCAAAAGAACTTTTTCTCCATTATTGCTTTAACCCCCCCCCCCCCCCGAACTTCTTCCACGTACCTTACGTAGAGACTCGCAGCACGACCTCATCGAAATCTTTACGTTTCCAGCCTTACAGCATTTAATACAACTATTAACGGTTTACGACGTAGTTAAAAGTAATACATTTCGCGTTTCGAACGTCCAATAGTGCCTTATGTCATTTCATTAGTCCGTTGATGCACCTTAAGATGCCCTTTCAGTGTACACTTCTGCGTGAACGCCCTCCCGCACACCGGGCAGATGAACCGCTTATCGTTATTGTGTATCCGCATATGCTCTCTTAACGTCTTCATCCTCTGATACGACTTATTGCATATGCTACAAACATGGATCCGCTCCCCATCATGCTTGATCATGTGCATTTTTAGCGAATTCCTTGTGTAGAACGCCAGGTCGCACTTCGAGCATTTGTGGTTTCTCTCGTTAAGGTGATCTCTCCTCACATGGCTGGACAGATGACCTGGTGTTATATAACTCTGCGTACACGCCTTGCATTTGTACCTCTTCAGCTCTTCGTTATGCACTTCAGCAAGATGCTTTTGCCTCGCGTAGAACGACGTCAGGGAAATATTACAACGCTTGCAGACGTATCTGATGCCGCTCTTATGCTCCTTCGACACGTGGTTCTCTCTCTTGGTGACCTTATCGAAGACCAGGTCGCAGAATCGACAAGGGAAGTTCCCTATCTCGTGTGTGCGTAGATGACCTCGTAGTCTCGACCGGGACGCGAAAGCCTTCCCACAGCTTTCACATGTATGATTCGGGTAGTGCTCGTTCATGTGTGTGTTGAGTGTGACGAAGTTGAGGAAGGTCTTCTTGCATATCGGGCAGTCCAGCTGGTCCTTTTCCAGCTTGAAGGGCAGCTGGTTCCACCTGCAGCCGAGGCGAAGGCAGATGTCTATGTGGTGTTTCATTTCGTCGAAGCTCCGTATCTCCAGGTCACAGCTCTTGCAGCGGAGACAGTTCTTGTCCTTTTTGAACTTTTGCGAGGTGGAGTACGACATTTTTCTGAAGGCTGACGCCAGGTTCGCAGTGTTATGCTGGGTGACGTGGGATCTCAGTTCGTCCAGGGTGGTGGCCTTCTCGGGGCATATCGCGCAAGAGAAGGTGTCGTCTTTGTTCATTTTGAAGGGAAAGAGGCCCGTGTTTACTAAAGCCAGCGTTTCGTCGAGGTCGACTACTTTTTTGCAAACGCTGGAGTAGGTCATTTTTTTCTTTTTCGTTATCTTTTTCCGCGCCTTCCTCGGTTCGTACTCGTCGGAGTCTTCCTTTAGCAGCATATCGCTTAGAACTGTAAATGAAATCATACATTACTTCTATTCGTCATAATTCTACATGTTAATATGAAACTACACTGATTGATACGAGGGCGGGACTCGAACTCATGACCCGGTCCTTCATATGCGATTGAATTTTTTTTATTACTAGTAGACAGTATAGATTAACGCATAGCATACTTTTCTCAAACATGCTCGGAAATTTGAGCATTATTTTAACAAACCTTCTTCGAGAAAAAATCGATATTGCTGTGCTGGTGGTGCAATAATTGTATGAAAATTCATATCTATCGTGTTTCGTGGCCAAATAAATTAAAAAATGAAACGACCTACTCCCCAACATGGCGACCAAAGAGGGTAGTTATGAAGATTTAATTTAAATTTCGAACTGGCTTGCACATATAAAGAAGATTAGTAAAAAGAAGTTGATGTGTCAAAAACTATTGTTATGTAAATAAAACACTTTAACGGTTTAAAACGCGATATATTAGTTAAACTTATTTGGAAATGTCATGGATGTGGGTGTGCTGCTGCAAAGCATCCGAAACGTCGGGCCGAAGTTAAAAATCATTTCCAAATAAGTTTAACTAATATATCGCGTTTTAAACCGTTAAAGTGTTTTATTTCAATGTGCACTACTCGCGTAAACTATAGATAGTATTTACTATTGTTATTTGTTCGTCAACTTCGTCATTGGTTTTAAAGTTCTGAATTGTACTACTTAGTCTTTAATTTCCGCTCGTTATTTGAGAAAAGTACTATGGCCTTGGCCGCAAGTAGGCTTCGATGGACTTAGGTATGTGTTCGCGCTTGCCGGCCGCTGCAGTAATCTATACTAATATATAAAGCTGAAGGGTTTGTTTGTAGGTTTGAACGCTACAATCTCAGGAACTACACGTTCTGATTGAACAGTTTCCTGTTGGTTAGAGCATTTATCGAGGAAGGTTTATATAAAACATTGCCCTGTGACTAAGGCAAGCGAAAATATAGAGAGAAATGTGAAAATTATTCCTCATCAAGGGTTTCCGAGGCGTACGCTGCAAAAATGATTCAAGATAACCAAAAAATTGGTATGACAAAATGATTCCTCTTTAAATGAACTAAAAAAAAAGTGCTCGACGCTATATGTCTATCTCTTAAGATTAACTTGCAACGACGGGAAGGGACGCGACCGACGTCCTGGGTAACAGTAATTTATAAATATGAAGGGGTTCGTGAAAACAAATTTGGATGATCAAAAAACCGATTCTCGAGGACGAAGTCGCTGACACAGCTAGCGTACTATAAGTTATGGTACCTTTTCCACCGTGTACATGTAAATAAAACAGCCAAGCGTGAGTTGCAACCGAACGAAGGGTTCCATACCATCTTTTGGATGCATGGACTGTTATGTGCGGAACCGTATATATTTAATACTATTTTTAATACCGTGAATACTTACGGTCTTCATGATAGTCGCTGTCATTGGACTCTTGTTTGAAATGACTTAGAATAATATCGTCATCTGAAAACAATATACATAAAGCAAATGTTTATTCCAACAGATATACACGTGTTAACATATCTATGATCAAACGACACATGAATAATTCATTTTAATAGAATAAACCACGAAATTAATTAGTTAGAATATTTCAAACAATTTAACTTCTATCGGTTTTCAATTAAAGTTTTTTCAATTTGTTCGCATCCTTAACGTCGGGTCAGATTTTAAATAATTGGTTAATAATATAACTCGTTCAATATTGTATGTCGTTTACGCGATACTAAAATAAAAAATTTAAAGGTTTGAAACGCGAAATAATATATTACTTAATATTTTTTTACTTTGTCTGTGTTTTTGTCTTTGACATTAGGAACACTTGATCTTCAGTCCCCCGCGTGACCATGGCAGCTGCAAAAGCAACCGATACATCGGGCCGTACTAGTGGGCCCGACGTTATAATATAGTCGTTTTTAAACCACTCTATTTCGCGTTTTAAACCGTTAAATTACTTTTTTTATATATCGTTATAAACAATTGGAATTGAACTGTTTTATGTGTACCATTACATAAACAACAGATTTCAAAGCCACTGATTCAGTTTGATACAGAAAGAAATGTTTATAATACACTTACCACTAGCTTCATCGTCTTTGGACAATTCTTCTTTTACTTTATCTAGTGCTTCATCTGCCCCTTTAAGGAGATATTTGTCATTACATAAATTTACATGACTTAAAAAATATAAGTTAAAATTAGTCAGACCGCCTCTTTAGCTAAATGCTTAAACGTGTTGCCTAGCATTGGGTTGAGCGTGAATGGTCCTGGATTCAAATTGTTTTGGTCCGGGCAGGGCACAGAAGTCAGTGAAAGGGACACAGAAATGTGTAGAGGAAACGGGATTTAACACAAAATTATTTTAAAAGGTTTCTCGTAAGAACTATTTCTAATTATTTTCATCGAGGACTATAAGCTATAATAGACAACTAATTGTTTATGTAAACATATTTTCAATAACAGAATAAAAACAAGCAAGAGAAGAGGCTTACTTAATGTAAAGCGAAATACCCCAGCCATATAATATTTTTACAAGATGTGTTCCCTTTTTAGGCTTTGTACATTCGTAGGTTTACTAATAGGACCAAATGTATATAACCAACAGAGAAAATTAATCGCTATATAAGATCTTATAGGCACCTCTGTATTGAATTCCGGGGAATCAAAAAATTTTCGGAAGGTGGGACACAGTAATGTGTATAAAAAGTGACACCCCATGTCCCCTTATAGGGAGAAATGGCATTTCACTTTTTATAACAATGGTTCAGTATAGAAGAATAAAAAAATTATCCAAATACATTGACTTGAACTAACACCTTACTTATTTAGCTACTTTTAAGTCCTTTCATGCATAATTAATTTCATTTCGCTAGATAACACTTTTTAAATTTTTAACACTTGTGAATTGTATGAAAAAAACATAGTATTACAAAAGAATAGACCTAATAGGAAATCTACGACAAATACTCACTTTTTAACCTGGCCGCGGCTTCTAAAGACTTGAGAGAAGTGTCAACTTGTTCCTTAAACCTAACACATGTGCCCAATTGTTCTATGCAGGGGTTACAAATTAAACATTTTGTGTCTTCCACTTCAAAAATTGAAAGCTGCAGAAATAGGGGAAACAATAAGATTGTAAATATTAAATTATTTCTTTTTTTATTCTATATTCTCTTCTATATAAGTTCTCTACTAAGCAAGGCTACTTTAACATATTAAACTAAGTTTTTCTTTTTTAAATAAAACACTTTAACGGTTTAAAACACCATATATTAGTTAAACTTATTTGGAAATGATTTTTAACTTCGGCCCGACGTTTTGGATTCTTTGCAGCAGCCGTGGTCTCCCCGTGACCTAAGTTAAAAATCATTTCAAAAAAAGTTTAACTAATATATCGCGTTTTAAATCGATAAAGTGTTTTATTTAAATGTGTCTACTCGCGTAAACTATATACAGTATTTAAGTTTTTATTTCTTTTTAGTTATCAAACATATAAACATGTACAATTTACATTTTTTTAATTACAACTTCTTATATGTATTATATAGTTAAAAATAAAATTGTTATTTGATAAACAGTACATTATTATTTTGGGGAGGATTTTTATCTACTAATATAGGCAGAGATTATTTTAAATAAAGTCCTATTCAAATAAATCATACAGTTTAAAAAAAATTGCGTGTGGTTTGCTCATATAGAATAATTTTTTGAGACTTTACATAGAAAGTTATAAAAGATTACTTACGTCTATGGAAAAACAATTTAACAGCATATCCGAATAACTTTCCTTTTGTTTATCTTTAGTTTCTGGCACCAACATGCTTTTAACAACATCTAATTTAAGGCATAAACAACAATTGCCGAACAGTGGTAAAGGTTCCACTAGAAGGCCGCTATCCATCTTGTAAATTCAAAAAACATTAATCTTAATCTATTATTACACACAACTTTTCAATCAACTCGAATTTACATAGAAATTGAAAATGTATCACTTCCGCATTTCTTTGAAAATTGAAAAACTAAACAACTAAAAAAACAACCCGCAACCAAGTCCATTTGACGTTGACTTTTGAAACGTCAAGTGTTTGACACATGACATTTCGTATAGTTAATGCACGTTTAGTTGGTAATATTTACGACCACAGATAAATATTTCGTTTCCTCTTTATGAAACACTCGACTTAGTCCGCTTGAAATAATTATATTGAATACTGTCTTAGTTTACGCGAGTAGTACACATTTAAATAAAACACTTTAACGTTTAAAACGCATATATTAGTTAAACTTATTTGAAAATGATTTAAAGTGTTTTATTTAAATAATTATATTGGGCAAAAAAAATTGTTGGAAACCTCCGTATCTTTATATATTATAGTTGTTACCCACGACTTTGTCTGCGTCCCGTCGTTACTGTCGCGGACTTTTTGTCGATGATTTAATAAGGAATTATTATTTGATAACTGTTTTTTTTTTGATTTCTTGAATTGCACCGTTTTTTTCCAAATTCCCTAGTGTTTTTTCCGTCCTATTGATTGCATTGCGTAATATTTTATAGCCTAAAGCCTTCTTCGATAAATGCTCTAACCAACACAAAAAAATCAATTCGTAGTTCTTGAAATTAGCGCCTTTAAAAAACGATACAATCTCTTCAAAGCTTTATGTATTAGTATAGATTATATTTTATAAGAATAACTATGTATTCTGTTACAACTCACAGATTAAAAAAATACATTTCGAACATATTCATTTATTTTAATTTCTTCTTATTCTTTTTACCAACTACGTCTTTCTTTACTGTTCCCCGTTTCATTAGTAGCTCTTGAGGAATTGGCATTTGTCCACACAAGTCCACACCTGGACCTGGTTTGAGTTTCATCCTATGTTCAGGATACCGGTAAATCGACTCCGAAGGCAAAAATCGGATGCAGCCATTGTAGAAATGTAGATCTCTGCGAATGAAAAAAATAATTATTAAAATTTTAAATTTAAATAAAACACTTTTACGGTTTAAAACGCGATATTTTAGTTAAACTTATTTAAAAATGATTTTTAATTTTGGCCCGACGTGGTCACGGGGAGACACGGCTGCTGCAAAGCATCCGAACGTGTACAATCATTAGACGTAGTAAACATAAACGTAATTACAATAAAAAAATAATAAAAGTAAAATAATAATACTACGACAGGATTGAGTTAAATTTTGTTAAAAATAAAAGCTCGTATCAAAACAAAAATATGTTTTCAATTTGAACCAGTAGTTCCTGAGATTAACGCATTCAAACAAAGAAATAAACTCTTCAGCTTTATATATTAGAATAAATAAACAATTACTTTTTCTGTCTATAGTTTACGCGAGTAGTACGTACACATTTAAATAAAACACTTTAACGGGACATATATTAGTTAAACTTATTTGAACGCCAGACTACCAATCGCGAAGACACCGTTAGTCAATTCTGCAAAGAACCCGGCCAGTTTCGGCTTAGCAGTTTTTTACTTTGACATCAGAGACACCTTCCATCTTTAGTGTCCCCGTGACCACGGCTGCTGCAAAGCATCCGAAACGTCGAGCCGTAGTTCAAATACTTTTAACTAATATATATCGCGTTTTACACCGTTTAAATGTTTTATTTAGTACTACTCGCGTAAACTACAAGCGGTGTTTATCTCTAAACCGATCTTACCGTATACATGGAAACTGGAAGGGCGCGAAAACCCGTTCTTCAATATTCTTCTTATATAGCAACCAGCGACACTTTAGTAGTTCGTTCGATTCGAGCGAGTAGTGCCTCTTGTAAACGTAATCAAACAAACCCTTCTCGAAAGCTGGTAGAGTTCTGAAGTTGCTGCCGATTTCCTTTGCTATTTCTATAAGATATCTCAACATGAATATTATTTGAAATATTTTTTTACTGGTGCGCCTGATAACTTATACATTAACAACTGATTTAGTATTGGCTGTAGTTTACGCGAGTAGTACTCATTTAAATAAAACACTAACGGTTTAAAACGCAATATATATCCGCCATCTTTAATATCCCCGAAACCACGGCTGCTGCAAAGCATCCGAAACGTCGTAGTTAAAAATAGTCTTCAAATAAGTTTATCTAATATATATATCGCGTTTTAAACCGTTGAAGTCTTTTATTTATGCGCTAAATATCATTTTCACTACTTTTCGACATTTAGATAAGAAGTTTTTTGTTGAATGTTTATTTACGACCCGACCTAGTTAGGTTTAATTATTTATTAAACTTATGTCGCGTATTACACCGTCAAAAGTGTTTTACTTAATCATATTACTGTACGAAGCGTCAGTTATCAATTTTAAATATACAGTATTAAAGTGAAATATGAAAGTTTTCCATTTGAAAACTTTAATATTTCACGTGCTGCCTTATTATCCATTAAAAATCTATTTTTGTTTAAACGAATTTAATCAGACGGCAGGAATTGGACCGGCATTCACGACTGCTGCTCTAATCAATATTGGTTAGCCCGACCACAATATATTTTTTTTAATTTATATAATAAATCTTATTACCTTCAGTAACTTGGACGTCCGGCTTGGTTCGTTTGATATGGTCACATATAGCATACATATTTTTATTATCTTTCGCCATTCTATTGTATAATAATTATAATGTACCATCAAAATATATGAAAATCATTAAACGTCAAAACGTTGTCTCGCGGTAAAAAAGCAGTGATGCCAACTTTACGAAAATGACAATTTTGAAATCGGAAAAGAGGTCAAATATTGTCTGTAGTTTACGCGAGTAGTACACATTTAAATAAAACACTTTAACGGTTTAAAACGCGGTATATTGGTTAAACTTATTTGAAAATTATTTTTAACGTTAGAGCATTTATCGAGGAAGGCCATAGGCCTAATATAAAACATCGCGCTATGAATAATAAAAGCGAAGATACCGCGGCAAATGTGAACAAAACGGGGGAAATTATTAATGTTTGTGAGTTTTGAAAAGATACCTAAGATATTTTACACTCCATATGTATCAAATAATGATACCTCTTTATTTATAAGAAAAAAGTGTCTGCAACTCTATATGTCGATCGTCTAAAGTTAGCTTGTAAGAACGACGGGATTCGACCAACGTCGTGGGTGTAACAGTTTAAATTTATAAAGATTAAAATTATTAAAGAAGAAGGAGTTTTGCGAAAACTAATTTGGATGCCTAAAATGGCTATTCTACATGGATGAAGTCGACGACACAGCCAGTTGTTTATACTTCTTCGTAACTTCTTCTTCATTATTATTTTATACGTGTAATAGTTGCTGTGTGTAAAGTAATAAATGTTGGTAAACTTATCAAAAAAATAAAGAGATGTGTTTTAAATTGGTTTTAATTAATAACAGAATGCGTCCGTCTAGCATGACGCCTTAAAGAGTCCTTAGTAGCAAAAGGGTTATTACATAAGTTACAAAGGAACTTCTTCTCGCCAGTGTGAGTTACTCTGTGCCTTGCGACGTCAGACTTCGTGTAAAATACGCTATCACACAAATCGCACTCTTGGTTCTTCTCTTTCAAGTGCACATACCTCATATGGTTGTTCAGCAAACTCCTCGTGACGAAGGTCTTACAGCATATCGCGCATCTATGTTCCGGCTTCTCCAACCCATGCTTCTCCACCAGATGCAGAACCCTGAAGTTCTCCTGGTAGAACCTCTCGCTGCAGTACGGACATGGGAACCTCGGTTTTCTCTCAAATTTAACATTGTGACTTGTGACATCATGTTTCCTTTTATCACTGCGACATTTGAACTCAATTTTGCATTCGTTACAGTTGAACGGTCTGTGGTTCCTCGTCTTGTGGAGGTTGAGGAAGACCAGGTTCGTGAAACCGGCACCGCAAATATGGCACACGTGGTTCTGGAAGTGTTGGTTCACGTGGATATTCAGTAAGCGGAACATGTTGAACGTCTGTGAGCATATTTGACATTCCAGGCCGCTGCTCTCGATTTTAAACGGTATAAGTAAATTGTCTTTGATGTTTAACGAAAACTCGTGTAATATTAAGTGATTGTATAAATCGTTCAGGTCTGTTAGCGTCAAATTACATCTCTTACACTTCAAAACAGATATTTCGACCTTCAAGAGTTTATTTTGCTGGGATATTATAACTTTTTCTATATCTTGAATGTTGTGCTCGTTATTTGTGTGTAAGCGCAGTTCGTTGAAGTTGGAAAATGGTTCTTTGCAGCAGAAGCAGCGGTAGCGACTTCTGTTCCACTGGAATACGACCATGGTTGAGTTTGCGAGCAGTTTTAAGGAGTTCTCTCGTAATATGGCCGCTATACCGCGGCGATCTTTGTTCATTGATGTATCTGTGGAAATAGATAATTTTTGATTTATTTGGTAGTTGTTAGTATGACAGAAGATAGATAAGCTTGGGGTCCTGGCATCAAGCAACGTGTATATAACATCTGTAGCTTATCGCTGTCGACTTATTTTGGTTTTAGACATTCGGAAATCCTGACTAAAAACAGTGACGTTGCTAACGTAGCGCCAGGTGGTTTAGTGCACCAGAGCTCCGAAACTTAGAAAGTAGAAGTATTTTTTACAAATAACCTACATAGCTTTTTAAATTATAGCTCATCGTCATTTTAGTCGTACGCAAGCAACGGAAGCCCTCAATGATAAATAACTTTTCCCGTTTTTTCCACATATCCCAGTATCGTCGCTCCTATTGGTCGCAGCGTGATGTTATAATAGCCAGTGGCGAAACTATAGGGTGGCAAGTCGGCAAAATGCCACGGGCCCCAAACTCGAAGGGGCCCCCGGTCAGAGGAAATCTCAATTGTGGATTCAGCTTCTTTATATATTGGGGAAGTGGGAGAGCCCATTCGATGAATTTGCCACGGGCCTCGAACGGTATAGTTACGCCGTTGATAATAGCATACAGTCTTCGTCTATAAAAGGTTTAACCAACACAAAAATATTGTTTCAATTAGGACCAGTTTTAGTATTAGGCTTTATAATCCCTACTAATATTATAAATGAGAAAGTAACTCTGTCTGTCTGTCTGTCTGTTACTCTTTCACGCCAAAACTACTGTACGGATTTGAATAAAATTTGGTATACAGATGGTCTAGACCCTGAGAAAGGCTGACTTTTTATTGCAAATAGGGGATTGCAAGGGATTAAAAGGAGGATGAAAGTTTGTATGGAAATACGTGGTTTTTGAAGCTAGAACAATGAAACTTTCTTCTTTGGCTTTTTCGGAATAGCAGCGGGAGTGGGAGTAGAATTTATGAGAGGTGAGAGTGTTGCGGCAAAGAAGCTACCATAGATTGGCTGCCTTTAATGCGCCCTTACATAAATTAATAAACAGCCTCAATAATTAAAAATTCTACCCTAAGTCACTTTCACGCGAACGAAGTCGCGGGCACAGCTAGTATTAGTATAAATATACTCAGTGGCGTAGTCAAATTTAATGGTGCTTATGAAATCGGCCCTGCAGTACTTGCAGTAAACATTAGTTTCAAATCTATCCGTTAGTGTATCGTTGAAATACCACAGGACTATAAGCGATCTGTAAATTAAATGCTAACGTCTTCAGTATAGTCAGTCAACGTTGGTATATTGACTTACTTATTCTCAAATACGGTCTATAGTTTACGCGAGTAGTACACATTTAAATAAAACACTTTAACGGTTTAAAACGCGATATATTAGTTAAACTTATTTGAAAATGATTTTTAACTTCGGCCTGACGTTTCGGATGCTTTGCAGCAGCCGTGGTCACGGGGAGACTAAAGATGGAGGATGTCTCTGACGTCAAAGAAAAGTTAAAAATCATTTTCAAATAAGTTTAACTAATATATCGCGTTTTAAACCGTTAAAGTGTTTTATTTACTTATTCTTACCAAGAACTACAATGCATTGTTGATTGCATTTTATATTTAGATAAATAAACAAAAAACAATAAATAGTCGAAGTATTTATTAGAAGTAACATTGATTACAAGGCTGGTATCTACACATCGAATAAAACTTTCCACGAATCCAAGTTAAAAATAAATAACATAACAATATTTTAAAACTTATACTTTTTCACATATCCATTACACAAATTGAAAAAAATTGAGGACACGGTAGCTCAATTGGTTTCAAGTCCCGCTCGTGGCATTTCTTTTTAATCTAAATAGTTATTTCATTGATAATATATTACATAAATAAAGTCCTAAGTGTCATTAGCTCATTGAAGGGTTATAACCATTTTATTGATCTCTATGTCCCTTCAATTACATGACGGTTTTGAGTCATCTTGCAATTATTGAAAAATATATTTGATCATTATTTTACCTTCTTTGGAATTAATCGAACTTGCTGTACTGGTCGAAAAGCGGCTGGGAATAGTTTTGTCAAAATTAATATCTGTCTTGTTAGCGGCCAAATAAATTAGATTAATGAATGGAACAACTTCTACTCCGCAACATGGCGACCAAAGATTATCAAAGGTAAAATTTAACTCTTGAAGTGGCTTGCACATACAAAGCTATTTAGTGAAACGAAAATAGGGTTTTAATTTCCGCGCGTTATTTGAGAAAAGTACTATACAAGTCTTGGCCGAAACTAGGCATTGATGGGCCTAAGTTCGTCCACAATCCATCTCTTGCCGCTACACTGTACTCTTCAACATTCCTTAACGTGCGCATTATAATCGTTCCTATTAAGAAACCCACTCCCGCACTTGTCACAGGTAAACCCCTGCGCAACCGGCCCGTGCGCAGTCATATGTTTCTTCAACGACTTCTTCTGTTTATACGCCTTTTGACAGATGGAACAGACGAAACTCCTCTCGCCCGTGTGACTCATCATATGCAACTTCAACACCGAATTATTGCCAAAGCATTTATTACATATCTTGCACTGTATACTGAGAGTATGTAGTTTCGTCGTGTGCTGCGTCAGGGCCTTGCGCGTGGGCAATCTGGCCTCACATATTTGACAGTCAAAAGCAAAGACAATGCTGTGGACCTCTTTCAAATGCGTCATCTTCCGATAGTGTTCAGAAAACCGCTCCAAACAGTGAGGACACTTCAAGCGTTTAATTCTCTTCTCACTAAAGTCATGTTTCCTATTGGCATGATATCTCAACTTCAGTTTAGTCGGAAAGACTTCGTCGCACACTCTGCACTTGAACGCCCCTGTCTGATGCACGATCATGTGGTTGAGCAGACGCTGTTTCGACATGAACCCAAGGCCACAAGTCTCGCAAACTACCGTCGAATGTTCGTTCATATGAGTGTTCAGAATGAAGAAGGAGTTGAAAGTTTTCTTGCACTTATAGCAAGATAGCACACCGTTCTTCTCCTTCAAGTCGTAAGGTACCAGGCCGTTGTTGGCGTTATAGAATTCTTTACCATGAATTTCTATTAAATGACTCTTTATGTCAACGAGGTCTGAATACGGATCACCGCATAACCTACATCTGAGGTTAGATATATCTACTTTGACGCCGCTGGTGCCTTTTATACTCTTCAGGAGTTTTGGTCGATCGGGTGCGGGATGTTCGTCTGTGTGTTCAAGGACCGAGGCAACAGTATAGAAGGTTTTTAAGCAATAGAAACATTTGTAATCTGGCGCTTTGTATAGGAAGGGCTTGGCTGTTGTGTGTTGGAGAAGGGTAGCCGCGTTCAGTCTCTCATACATATAGGATTCTCCAAGACTGGTTGCTGTAGTTGGCGAATCGGCTGCTGAAAGGAAAATAATGATCGGATCAGCCGCACTTCTTGCAACGTGAAAAATTCTAAAGATAAAGGAGAGATTCGTTCAAATTCATAACTTAAGGAGGTAATGAAGTACTTCGTTCTTACTTCAAATAAGATTTCACTGAGTCGGTAATGTAATATTAGGCACTAGCAGCGCCCGCGACTTCGTCCGCGTGGAATCAACAACACAATTGTTTGGATTTAGATTAATATTATTATGTTGATGTAAATTTAACAAATACCTTGTAATGTTGCTTTATTTGATTACTATAAAGGATAGCTTAGTATTGTCGCCGACATTTTTTGAATGAATTTTATTTTACACCTATTTTATTTCTTGAACCGTTTTCGCAGTGCACGCAACTGAGCCTTCAAAGATAAATAAAATTTTCTGTTCTTTTCACTATTTTTTCGGTTCTATTGATATTATGTAGGCCCTCCTAGATAAATGGTTTATCCAACACAAAAATATTTTTTCTATTCGAAACAATAGTCCTTGAGATACGCGCGTTTACACAAACAAACAGTTGCCTGTTGTTTACGCGAGTAGTACTTACACATTTAAATAAAACACTTTAACGGTTTAAAACGCGAAGTATTGTAAAATTATTCACGGCAAAGTTCAGGCCGTATTTAAAATAAATTGTTATAATAAATTAACAAACATCGCGTTCTAAACCGTTAAAAGTGTTTTATTAAAAGTATAGATACTGGTTATCTCTTTATATTTATTAAGACACTCTTGTTAAATAAAGGAACATCGTTGTACCTGGAATATTTATAATTTTCATATGTACACTTAACGGCCTATATAATTAAAGGATCTATGTAGATTGAAAAAAATCGAGGCGGGATTCGAACCGGTATCTGCAGACATCCGTGCCCTAACCACGGTAGATCAAACCAGTGAAAGTTAGTTAATTTATCACGTTTTTTATAACCCTCTATTAAAATAAGTATTTATTTTATAATTGGGTATTACAAAGTCATACTATTTTCATATATGAGGCCGCTAGAGGCAGAGTAGCCTAACTGTAATTTAATGACTTGTGTTATTTATACTTTAATAGTTTACATTTGTTAATCTACAAGAGCACAGTGACCATTTGTCAACATAACAAATACTAGTACAAATTCGTTTTCGCCTTAGTTGCGCATTTTTATTTCCCTCCTTATTGGAAATCATGTTTTTTGTTGGTAGGCCACTCTGTATGTATAATTTATGTATATAACTCACCATGTCCTTTCGGTTCCTACAGAATTTGTTAGAAACGGTTTTTAATAAACTTTTTGTCCATAACGCATAAAGAAAGAAATTCTTTCACACCTCATAATAACTCTGACTTTCTCTTTCTAAATTTTTTAATACTAAATAGTAATTGATATATTCAATTACTATTTAGTATTGAAATTTTAATATTAATTTTTAAATAAAACACTTTAACGGTTTAAAACGCGATATATTAGTTAAACTTATTTGAAAACTAGAGACAAAGGTCTCCCCGTGACCACGGCTGCTGCGAAGCATCCGAAACGTCGGGCCGAAGTTAAAAATCAATTTCAAATAAGTTTAACTAATATATCGCGTTTCAAACCGTTAAAGTGTTTTATTTAAATGTTTACTACTCGCGTAAACTATAGACAGTATTTAGTATTAATTATTGTATAATGTTTTTATTTTATTTTTGTGATATAGTAGTTTATTTTAAATTTATAGTTGTGTTTCCCTTATAATTTCTGTTTTATTGTAATATGGTTTGGTGTGGAATAAATTATTTCAATTTAAAAATATTCCAACATAAATTTAATGTCAACCTTCTACTGCCAATTCCTATTTCTATCGCGATTGTTAAAATCATTTAGAATTATTAGACAAATCATTGAGTTGTCAGGTAAAAATAAAATCTCGATTATTCGTGACTGTTTAATAAATACGAATTATCTTAAACTAATGAGATCCGTCATATTAAAATTTCTATATCTGCATCTACTACTCTTTACTCCAATCACATTCACTATTAATCCCGCTCAACATCATCACCAAAGTTTTTGACGATCTTCTTAAACTGCCACTGGGGATGCCACTGCTTCATATGCTTATTATAATCGTTCCTATTGAGGAACCCATGCCCGCATTCGCTGCACGTGAACTTCCACACCGCTCCATGCACGCGCATATGCTGACGCAGCGTCCTCTCGTGCATATACGCCTTCTGACAGACGTCGCAGAAGAAATTCCTTTCGCCCGTATGCCCCCGCATATGCATCTTCAACAACGACTTAGTACCGAAGCATTTACCACAAACTTTACACTGGATCTTCTGCGTATGCTGTTTCGTCGTATGTTCAGTCAGCGCTCTCCTCGTGGGAAAGACACCTTTGCAAATTTGGCAGTCGAACGTAAATGTGATGCCGTGGACTTCCTTCAGATGCGTCATCTTACGATAGTGCTCCGCGAAACGCTCTAAGCAATGAGGGCATTTCAAAGGTTTCACCCTCTTTGCGTTGGTGACGTCATGCTTCTTAAACAAATGGTACCTCAACTTTAACTTTGTGGGGAATATCTCCTGACAATTGCTGCATTTATGAATCCCGTTTTGATGCACGATCCTGTGGTTGATCAATCTTTGATGCGACATGAAGCCTAAGCCACAAGTTTCGCAGACAACGCTGAAGTGGACGTTCATATGCCTGTTGAGGAGGAAGAAGGAGTTGAAGGTCTTCCGACATTTGTGGCAAGATAACGAACCGTTGTTCAACGTCAAATCGTAAGCCATCAAACCGTTCCCGGCTGCGTTAAAATCCTTCTTATGTGCTGCTATTAAGTGCTTTCGTATATCCGTCAGTTCCAAGTATTGGAGTTGACAAATTCTACATTTGAGATCAGATATGTCAACTTTAATTACCCTTTTCCCTTTGCGCAAATACGTTTTCAATAACGTCGATCTATCCGGCAACGGGTGCGAGCTGGTGTGCTGTAGGACAGAGGAAACTTCTGGAAATATTTTGTTGCAGTAGAAACATTTAAAATTCGCTTGCTGATAGTAAAACGGCTTGACGGTAGTGTGTTCGAGGAAGGTGGCTGCGTTAAGTCTTTCGTAAATCGTCATTTGCCAAATACTGGTGCGTGGTGTTGGCGGTTCAATTTTCTCCGTTACTGAAAATAAAATATTGGTGTAAGATCCCCTTGCATCAAGTTACGTGCACTTCACTCTTTAAAATATGCAGGCGGTGGCGTTTGGTAAGCTATGCTTGATCGATAGGTGATTTTGAAGAAACTAAATGTTGTTTTGCTTATTTATTAATACTAGCTGTGCCAGCGACTTCGTCAGCGTAGAAAAGTTATCGTGGTCTGGTACTCCTCTTTATAAATTATAGCTATTACACACGAAATCGGACGTGTTCTTGCAAGTTAATCCTAAAAGATAGGCATATCGCGATCATTTAAACAATCACTATTTCATACAAATTTTTCAGGTTTTAAGACATCTAAACAGAAACCCACAAATGTGAATAATTTTTCTCGTTTCTTCAACATTTCTCACCTAAAGCCTTCCTTGATAAATGCTCTAACAGATACAAATATATTTTTCTCAATTCGAACCAGTACTTCCCGAGATTAGGTCATCAAAGAAACTCTTCAGCTTTGTAATATACGTATAGATATGCCGTATATTTTAGTCTGTATTACATAAATCAGTTGATATGCATCCCGAATCACATTCCACCCCAATGCGACCCATTGAAAATAGGAGGATAAATTTCAGAAACGGAAGCGCATCTGCGCACGCGCCTCATGGACGTCGACATTCCGCGTTTCAAACTACTAGTTCTACATTAGTAGGCGTAAATTTTTTTGTAAAGCATTTTTTTATTGTTATTAATAGTAATTAGTGGTCTAGTGTGTAGGACGTCAATAACTTTAAGTACGCACGTCATTATTTATGTTACGCTAATTAAGTCAAAATATTGTCGTTTTTTTAAATCATGGTATTAATTCAGCGCGTTGGAAATAGAGGAAACTTTTAATAACAGAGACTATAATTATTCTAGGTTCGAAGTAACGAAACTTCACTGTATCCAATTTTAACTCTTAACTAAGACTCTTGACTGTTTGAAACGATGAATTTGTAAATTGACTATATAGGATCGCTGTTAAAAATAAATTAATATTTCGCCTTTAAATAAAACACTAACGGTTTAAAACGCGATGTGTTAGTTAACCGTTAAAGTTTTTTTTTTATGTGTACTGCTCGCGTAAGCTATAGACAGTATTTAATATTTCGCCTTTTAAACCGTTAATTGCTTAATGTGTACAACTCCGTAAACTACAGACGATGTTTCTAATTCTTGTGAAATAATAGACAATTATATATAAAACTCATTTATTATCTTACACTACTTACATATTGAGATTATTTATTGTAAAACAAAATTAAAGCCCGTTTGTCTTGTGATGATAATTTATCTAAATCTCACTGAAGTAATTAAATGTTTGAGACTCGTTTCGTTTTTATCTGTACAAATTAGTAACACTAGTATATATATTTATATAACAGACTTAATTCATACATAATACATCGCATGTTTCACAAGAGCTGTTGAGTGAAGTTACAAAGAAAAAAATATTCTCGTGTGTTTGGTTAGGTAATTTGTCGGACTACCCTCGTATGTTATCGAAGGCAATTCTTAAAATCAAGGATTAACGTCGACATATGTTGCAAGTTTTCGGATATCAAAGGAAATGGAGACAAAAATTTACGTTAAATGCCAATTTTTTTGAGAACTGCCCCAGGTGGTCTTAGTGGTAAAAAATGCCAGGTGTATAGTTGTAACTTGTACCCTTTCGCTCTAAAACATGAAGACGCTAGGAAATTTAGAATTAAACCATAAATAGTACACTACTTTTTTAATTCTAAATTTCCTCAAATACAAAAATTCTATTAAAACAAAAAATTGATACATCCAAACATAGTCACTTTGAAAAGTGTTAAGCGTCTTAGTACAATAGTTTTATGCTTATTATAAACATTTCACCATACTCAGCTTAATGGATGCTATTATGCCTTTTTATCAAATTGATATTATTACTCGATACAACTCATATTCGATTTTGTAAGCTTTGGATTCACTTTTAACTCGTAAGTTAATCAAAAGCTTTCGATCGTCCTCAGCTCATAATTTATAAACCAGCTATCACCTATAATTAATACAATCAGTCCATTACACAACAGCAATTAAGAGTTTTTGTTGACTACATCAGAATTGATTACCGTTGGATCTTAATGGGGGGGAGGTAAAATTTGGGGATGATTGATTTGGACTAGACGCAATTAAATTTTCTCAGTGTTCGTAATAAAGAAAGAATATTAAAGGCAAGAATAGGCATAAGGAATAGTTAGACAACATCATGACTTCGTAGATGATCCTTCAAATTCTTGCGACGCAAGAATGCCAGACCGCAAAAGTCGCACTTGTGATTCTTTTCGCCAGTGTGTATCACCATGTGTCGTTTCAAAGTCTCCTTGTTACAAAACCTCTGCGTACATACTTTACATTGATGATTTCTCTCTTGCAAATGTACAGAACGATTGTGACATATCAAATGGTACTTCAAGTGAAACGCTCGCCCGCACGTCTCGCACTTATGCACCCTCGTCGACTGATTATGAACATCCTGTAGATGTATCGTCCTGCGGTAGTTCGAATTGAACCTCTCCGGACACATAGGGCACCTGCGCGGATACTGCTTTAAGTGAACACCCCGTATATGTATAGATCTCTTGTGCGACGTACTGAACACCTTGTCGCAGCGATCGCAAGGGTAATTACCGCTCTCGTGCGTTTCCAAATGCGTTTTCAGAAGCCTCAACGTCATAAAGCCAGTTCCACATATCTCGCAACTGTAGTTGTTAAAGTGAACGTTCATATGTATCACCAGGAGACGAACTTTGATGAAGCTCTCCTCACAAATAACACACTTGTATGACTCATCCGGGTCTAGTTTGAATGGTATCATGTTGTCCTTTAAATCCGGATCAACCGATTTCTGGTGATCGTGTTTTAAATGATACTTGAGTTGCACTAAGTCGTGTGGTTTCATTGGGCACAATTTGCATGTCAGTTGGCTAACATCCACCTTTAGGACATTTTCTCTTTTATTGTTCAGTAACCTTTTTAAGGGGGAAAACGTGTGCGAGCTACTCATGTGAGCTCTGAGCAGAGATATTTCTAGAAACGGCTGAGAGCATATAAAACATTTGAACTTATTGTTACCATAGATAAACGGATATGCTGTCGAAAATTCGAATACTGTCAAGGCGTTTTGTCTATTCCCCGGTTGATTTTTAGGTATATGTGCATCTCTTTTCACACTGCTCACTTCCTCCAACTGTGGACTACTTCTATCCATAGACACCGGCGTGAGGCTGCGCGATCTAATATCATGTCCGATAGACGATAAATTATTGGTCTTAAGGCGAATTTTGCTGAAGTCGATGATGGTTCCCAAAGGTTTGCAAAGGCTTCGATCGTATGCCACTTGAAACAGTGGTGTTATCCTTTTTGCGGGTGCCTCTATCGCAGTTTCTTTTCCTAGAAAATAAACAAATTCTATGTATATCACGTAACTTGCATTGCAGTGCTTAGTGCATTCCATTAATATTTTGTTATTTGCAGGTATGACACTGGAGTATGGTTATTTAAATTATATTTTCATTCATTGAAGTTTTCAAAAAACAGTTTTAGAGTCAGATGTACTACGACATTGGGTGAAATTCGATCTTTAAAGCGGACGGATGGTTAACTTTAACATGATGATTCAAACTACACTTCTGAACGAACGAACCGCCGCAGTAACTACAAACAAATCTCCTATCGTTCTCGTGTATGCGCATATGCTCTCGCAACGTATATTTTCTGGCATATGCCTTTTTGCAAACGGCACAATTATATTTGCGCTCCCCACCATGCCGGACCATATGCTCCTTCAGTTCGGATTTAGAATAAAACTTCCATTCGCAAAGACTACACGCGTGCCGCTTCATTTTCAAATGGACCGTTCTGATGTGAACACCTAACTTTCCACTCGTTGTGAACACTTTTGGACAGACATTACACTTAAATTCTTTTAATTTTAAGCCGTGTATGGTCGCTATATGTTTGTTTTTCTGAAAGTAATTTCTAAAAGCTTCAGGACAATGCGGACATCTGTGCCTCTTAACCTGTTTGTGTACATTTGCAAAATGCTCGTTTTTTGCGTTCATCGATCTGAAAATCTTGTCACAAGACTCGCAAGGGAAAGAGCCGCTCTCGTGTGAGAACGCGTGCGTGCGGAGTCTCTCAGGCGTTATAAACCCGATCCCGCACTGTTCACACATAAAGTTTTGGAAATGAGTGTTCATATGTTGATTTAAAGTTTTGAACTCGTCAAATTTGTTTTCACACAAAGCGCAATTAAAACTATCTTTCGTCACTTTGAAGGGTAGAACTTCGTGAGTGCTGACGTCGTTAAGTGTTTTCTTATGGTCCGCTACTAAATGTCGCTTCAGCTTGTTCAAATTAGGACTTGGTTCATGACACATCTTGCAGCACGCGTCAGTTATGTCGACTTTGACCAATTCGTGTCTTTTTAATTTGGACATCGCGTATTTAATATCGGCGTTCTTGACACAGTTGTGATCGATAAAGTTGTGATGACGTAACACCGCCGGATCCGTGAATTGCTGATCGCAGTAGAAACATAGATACAGGTTCTTCATCCACCTAAACGGGCACAGCGTAGTATGTTCTAGGAGTAATATGGCGTTCTTTTTTCTTGCTTTTATGGCGTCTAGGTCTTTAATATTCCTAGCGTTATCTTTACGCGTTTCCATCTCATCGCTGGCTGCGTCGTTACTTTCACCTAAAATTATAAAATACTCGTTCAAAGGTGATTTATTTAATCTTCTTTCTTCCAAACTTCCTTAGGTATAGAAAAGGATTGATTATGGAAGTATTTATTTTGGAAACACGACTTAAACTAGTAGAATCAGAAAGCGTCTTTAATTTGAATAGGATGGTGGACACGCACGTGTTGTTTTAAGCTACATTTCTGTATAAACGACTGGCCACATATAGGACAAACGAATCTCCTATCATTATTATGTATCCTCATGTGTTCCCGCAGGGTTTTCAAGCGAGCGTAGGACTTCTTACAGACATCGCATTGGTATATCCTAGCACCGCCGTGTTTTATATTATGCTCTTGCAGTTCGTAATTAGAGAAGAACTTCATCCCACAGATGGTACAAGCGTGATTTCGCTCTTGCAAATGCTGGGACCGGATGTGGGCAGTTCTTCGGCTGCATAAATCGAAAACTTTAGGACAAGACGGACACGGGAACAGCGCGGTTTTTTCACCGTGAATCGTTTTTAAATGCTTCATCCTGTAATTATAGGATGAGAACTTTTCGTCGCAAATAGGGCATTTGTATCGTTTATTTGCCTTATGGATTTTGGCTATGTGCGCGTACAGTGCGGCGTAGGATGGTAGGTTTTCAGTGCAGTGCTTGCAGCAGAAATTGCCCTTTTCGTGTGTACGCGAGTGGTTAAGCATGCGCTGTTGAGTAGCGAAGCCTTTACCGCACGTTTCACATATATAGTGTTCGTAATGGTTATTCATATGTTTGTGGAGACTAAGGAACATTTCGTATCGCTTGCCGCATATTTGGCAGCAGTATTCTTCTTTGCTCAATTTGTAGGGCAGTACACTTTCCCCGAACGAACAGTCTATGGACTCGCCGTGATTTCTAACGTGTGATTTTAGCTCTGTATAATCCGCGATATTAACGCCGCAAAGCTTACATATAGTGTTGGAAAAATCCATTTTCAAAGAATCATATTTTCGCGGTTTAAAGAGTGAGTCGGTGTGGAATTTTTGCGAATGCTCTCTCAACTTTTCCGGCTCCAGAAAACTGCTCTTACAAAAGAAACAGAGGTATGCCCCTTTTCTGTACTTAAACGGGTAAGCGGTACACGATGATAGGATAACTTTGATATTCTTTCTGAATATTGCTCGACGAGCGTTCCCTTCCAATCTCCGGTTAACAAGTTCATCATTAGCGATCAATGACGTATATTCGGGCACAATCTCTTCGTCTTTTATATCATCGGCCTTCTCTCCTAAAAATAGAAAAACATACATATATCTTCTTACATAACGCTGATATTCTACCATAAGGCAACCGTCCCATGACGACTACGAAAAGTTAGAACTTAAGATAGTTAAAAGGAAGCTTCTTGACGTCAAGAAAACCAATTTTAAAGCGTTGAAACCATTATTGATAGACCTTGTATGCGTGTTATGACTGTATATTTATTTAAGAAATACCCTGTATTCGTGAATTATTACAAAATTCCTACAAAACTACCAAAATCGAATTAATTTAGACCAGTAGAGTCTGTCCGAATTAATTTTGAGCACTTTCGTTAGGATGATGGATGCGCAAGTGGTTCTTGAGACTGCATTTTTGCACGAAGCCACTATTACAAAACTCGCAAACGAAACGCTTGTCGTTATTGTGTATCCTCATATGTTCCTTAAGCGTCTTCATTCTCGCGTACATTTTCTTACAAACTTCGCACTGAAACTTTCTTTCGCCCACGTGTTTCACCATGTGGTTCCTCAATTGAGCGGCTGTACCGAACTTGTAAGGGCACTGTTCGCATAGAAACGGCCTATGCTTTATATGGACCTGCTGGATGTGCCTAGTGCGCTGGTTATACATGGAAAAAATTCGAGGACAAAAGTTGCAGGGATATTCGACTTTCTTCTCGTGCGAACTCTTCAGATGTTTCAATCTAGCTGAGTAAGTTTTGAATACCTCGTTACAATAAGGACAGCGGTATCGATACTCCGATTTGTGATTCAAATAAACGTGTCTATTAAATTGAATTCTAGTTTCGAATACTTTATCACATCTAGTGCACCTTGTGTGCGACTCGTGTGTGACTTGGTGCGCTTTCAGCCTATGCGCAGCCGAAAATGCCTTTCCGCAATGACAGCAAATGTTATTAGGATAATGTTGATTCATATGAGTATTGAGTTTTGTGAATTGTAGAAATCTTTCGCCGCACTTCGTACAAATTAACTCTTTGTTCATAAGCAAGTACGGCAACACACCTAATCCGAAATCTTTGACAATTGGTTTTTCGTGATCAACTAAAAGGTGGTCTTTCAAAGCTTCTAAATCTGGTATTTTTCGATGGCATATGTTACATTCTAGATCGGTAACTTCGACTTTAACGTAGTCGAATGTACGGGCGAATTTCAGAGCCTCAATTTTATTGAGATGCTCGGCGGAATGCTCCTTAATGCTTTCGAAGTCCGCAAACCTGGTGGGACAATGCGCGCACGTGTAACACCCCCGCCTCCATCTAAATGGACAAGCGTTAGAACACTCTAAAATTATAGCCGCGTTGTCTCTCTGATCGTTAAACTTCCTTTTCTGTTTCCATAATAATTTCGTCGGTTGTTTATCGACCGGTCCTAAAAACAAAAGAAAAGCACCGTCAAGATCGAGAAGTGGTTGTGTGTGTCATTTACAAAATAAATATCACGTGGTTTATATAGATGATAAGGCCGCCTTTGCATGTTTATATAAAGAGCTAGTCTTTGTTGTTTTCCATCTATTTGTTAATTTGTTTTTAAATGAAAGAGCTTTATTATTCTAATATATTGCTTCTTTAAATAGTTTTTACTGTATTATTATAAAATGTACGCGATCTAGACACTCATACGGTACGGTTTTAGACTCTCATACGAGTTCCCCCTTCTTCTTTTTATGAACGGAATGAACGTGCGAGTAGATAGCTGTCGATGAACCAAGAACTGCCGGGCAGAAGTTGCATGGATATTCTGATTTTTGCCCGTGAACTCTATCAAGATGCCGGGTCCTGGAATGATGGGATTTGAACGACTCGTCGCAGGTGGGGCATCGGTAACGACGCTTCGGTCCATGGACGAGAGATCGGTGCCTCTTTTGAAGACTGTACGTGGTAAAGACTGAGTCACATTTTAAGCACTTAAACTCTCCGGCCTCGTGAATTTTCATATGAGATCGAAGTTTGTGCTTTGCGGAGTACCCTCTGCCGCACGAGGGACATATGTATTCCGAATAATGACTGTTCATATGAATATTGAGGAGCATAAAGGTTTTAAACAGCACACCGCAGAGAGTGCATCGAAAGTCTTTTTCCGTTAAGATTAAAGGCACGACCCCATCGCTGAAGTTTGAATCGATTTTTACATTATGAATGGTAGTTAAATGTTGCTTTAAAATCGGGACACTGTCGACACGTTTCCCACAGACAGTGCATGCCAAATCCGTCACATCAACGCGGAGAGGAAAACAATTCCTAATTCCAGTATTTCGAAATAGGTCCGTTTTTCCGTGGAGCCTTGCATGTAACCGCATTGTTTGCATGTTAGTGCATATTTCGGGGCAAGTTCCACACATTAGTTTGCCACGGAGCCACCTAAACGGTACCGCATTTGAATATTCCAAAATGGCAGCGGCGTTTGCTTTCTCTTCGCGTAAACTTCGTTTCTTTTTCCACGCAACTTTTATGTTCTCCTTTATATCTTCAGGCCCTAAAAATAAAATTGTGTAAATTGGTTAGATACCCATAGTTTCGAGAGTATATCTAATGTTTATCAACAATCGCATGTGCGAATGGACTATTATGGATTACATTGTTTAAAGTTTCACCCACTTTATGGGTGACGCGATGATGCGCTGCTCTTTTGCAACTAGTGTCAAACTTTTGTCCACAATTAGTACAGGGATAGTCAATCTTCTGTTGACCATGTTTATCGACTAAGTGCTTGACTCTCGCGTAGTATTTCGTGAAAACTTCGGGACACCGGGGACACCTGTATCGTATGCCCCTATGGTGGATTTTGGACTTATGGCAGGTACGAGCTGCCCTCGTCTCCAACACTTCATCGCACAGCCCGCAAGGAAAGCTACCGATCTCATGTGATTGAACGTGAGTTCTAAAACGCGACTTGGACACAAAAGCTTTACCGCAAGTGTCACAAATGTAGTTTCTGTAATGGCTATTCATGTGTTCGTTCATTTTGGAAAACGTCAAAAAGTCTACCGAACATTTTGGACACTTATATTTGTTCGGACTCAGTTTAAACGGTAGGACGCCATCACAGTAGTCTAAATGCAACTTTTTATTGTGATATGAGACTAAGTGCTCTTTTAAAGCGTCTATCGATTCCGAATTGACTCCACAGAGTCTACAATGCAAGTCAGATATTTCCACTTTGACCATGTTGTTCTCTGTTAGTTTGGAAAACACGCCCTTAGTAGGTTTTTGATTCAAATGGTTTCTGTGCACGTGATCGCGTAATATTTCCGGTTCTAAAAATCTGCTATCGCAATAGGAGCAATAGAAGGCGCTCCTGAACCAGCGGAAGGCCCACGCGGTAGAACATTCGAGAATTGTTATAGCGTTTCTTTGCATCATCGTTTTAGCGATGCGTCTTTCGGATTCCTCCGGCAGCTCGTTGTTAGCCCGGCGGCGCCTGCGCATTTGCCGATCGCTGACGTGTTCTTTTAACTTTCTATATACTGTAACCCCCGTATCCCCAGAAATCGCATTTGCGGAACCTAAAAAAGAAAACAACTACTAAGAATGATTCAATTTCGCGGAAATAAATTAGTAGAGGCTTTTGTAATTTCAGTTATCGTCAACGTTTGTAAAACAGGTTTGAAACTTAACATTTTTCTTTGAATTAGCAACTGCATGAATATATTTAAATGGGAATAAATAGATCTCGTGGTTGCGCGTGATTCGTGGACATATGCGTCTGTAGACCGTGCTTCTGCTTAAATGTAACACCACAAATCTTGCAGCAAAGCTCATCGTGAGTCTTTAAATGCGATCGCAGGGCGTTACTACGCGGAAAGGACTTGCCGCATACACTGCAACTGAAGGTCCTTTCACCGGAATGTTTCACCATATGCCTCTTAAGCTCATAGGGCGTTTTAAAATGCCATTCGCACAAATTACAATCAAAACTGCGCTGTTGGGGTATGTGTACAGTGCGCACGTGCGACGACCTTTGCCCGCTGGTCTTAAATGATCTGTCACAGTGTGAACACTCGTACTCCACCTCCTTAACTTTGTGGACGTCTTTGAGGTGTTTCATCCTATCGTAATAACGGTTGAACCTCATGTCGCATTGGGGACATTCGTATCTTGGGCCTTTCGCGTGGGTGTTGGCTTTGTGGTAATCTCTAGCCGCTCGCATCGTGAACGTACGTCCGCATTTATCGCACGGGAATAAACCCTCCTTATGTACTTCCGAATGCTTTCTCAATCTCGGCGCAGTCATGTAACCTTTACCGCAATTCGCACATATGTAATGCTGGTAATGTGTGTTCATGTGCTCGTAGAGTTTGAGGAAGTTGTTAAACTTCTCACGGCATATGAGACAGCACCATAGCTCTTTGTTCAGGCTGAAAGGGAGGACGCCGTCGGGGTATTTACTGTCAAATTTCAGGCCATGCTCGATAACATGCTGTCGCATGTGAGGGACGCTATAATAGGGACATGCGCAGAGCTTGCATACCGCGTTCGTGACGTCAACGTTAATGAGGGGCATTTCTTTGAATTTACTGTAAATATCTTTCATGCTGTGATGAAGGGAACACAAGCTGACATGTTCTCTAAGATCAGTGCAATTGTTGAAGATGCTTTCACAGAAAGCGCACTTGAAATGGTTCTTCTTCCATCTAAAGGGCGTTAGCGTCCAGCATTCTAATATAGACGCTGCGTTCTTTTTGGTTTTAAAGCGCGCTTCGGATCTCGCACTTCTCTGATATTTCTTCTCCGTCTTATTACTAGGCTCTATTTCATCATGTTCTGTGCTACTCTGGTTTTCGTGGGTCCCTTGCCCTAAAAATAGAAAATCCTTGTAAGATCTTTTCTCTTCCGGCCTTGTTTCTTTCTATGTTAGAGTTTAAGTTGAGGATCAACCAATTAATTGACAACGCCGAGTTTTGAATTTCCCTTCGGTTTGGCACTAGCCACAGAAGACGTGATAGTTAAAATCTAGCATTTCTACGATCTGGACATGCAAAGATATTCGTAGAACAACAGTTATACTAATATATAAATAATATAACTTATATATATATATATATATATATATATGTATTACTGTATCATAATTGACTCGTGGTACTGAAATTCATGAACTCACAAGTGTTAAAGTTTAAGGGTGGTAATTTTCTTTTAAGAAAAAATCCAGTACCATTTTATCTTGTACTAGAATACAAAGATCATCACATGTGAAAGTGTTTCTTAGCGATATGTTTATCCAAAGACAGTTTCGACATAAACGCCCTAGAGCAGCTGCCACAAGGGAACCCATAATCGGAATCCTTCTTGGACCTGTGCGACTTAACATTATGGTGGTACTTTTGCGATCGAGTTTTAAACGTCATGTGACAAGTGGTACATTCGTACGCATCAGCGCCCGGTTTAAAATTGTGAACCTCCATGAAATGACGCTTGCGCAACTCCCACGTCGCAAAACGGGGCTTGTCCTTACAGTGCATGCACATGTAAGGCATTGTTGTATGCTGAGTCTTCATGTGAATCCGTCGTTCTTCCAGGGTAGAAAAGGTCGCGACGCACCTGCTGCAATTATATTTATTGCCGTGTGGTATTCTTTTATGCGCTCGAAGTGCTCCTTCTGTTATAAAACCCTCACCACACGTGTCGCAAACGTAATTCTGGTAATGTTCTGACGTGTGCTTCTTTAATGATATGAAGTCTGTGAACTGCATCTTGCATAGCACGCAGTTCCAGCTCGAACCGTCGTTGAGCTTAAACGGCAAAACCCCTGGCTGAGCGTCGAAATTGATCGGTTGCTTATGGTCGTTCTTTAAGTGGGAGAGCAAGTCATCTAAACTCTCTATATGCAAAAAGCATAGTTTACACTGTAGATTCGTTATATCTACTTTTAAAAACTCTTTGTTAAGCCGCCTGTTAAATACGAGACCTATTTCAAAATTAGCGTGCCTCGACGCCATATGGGCTCGCAGTCCGTTGGGGTTGCCAGCTTGCACTCGACAGAACATGCAGTTAAAGTTTTGACCCCATATTCGAAACGGCAGAGCCGTGGAGCACTTAAGAATAATCTCTGTATTGCTTCTGTGTTTTAGCGCTTTGCCGAAGCGCGGCTTATACGTGGCGGTGTAGCATTTGAAATTCTTTTCGTGCTGTCGTAAACCGTGGTCAGAGAGGAAGGTGGCGCCACATTTGTCGCACGTGAATATTTTAACATGAGACCTCAAGTGGCAGTTGATTTGAGGAAAATCGCGAAACAACTTATCGCACTCGAGGCACGTCCAGAGGCCGTTACCGTCTTGCTTGTACGGCAAGACACCAAACGGTGCGTCATAGTTCACAGATTTTCCGTGGCTACTCGATAGGTGAGACATAAATCTGTCTACAGCGTCAAAACTCTCTGAGCATAAGTTACAAATAAAGTTAGTTATGTCAATTTTTAAATCATCGACTACTTTGTAGAACGCACTGTTATAGTCGGCGTTAGCGTGGTTTTCATTCACGTGTTTCCTCAGAGCCTCCATACTATCAAGTTCGTCGTGACAATAGGAACACACGATTCTATTAAACCTAGTTTTAAATGGGATCGCAGTGGAATGTTTAAGAATAAGAACCGCGTTTCTGCGCTGCGGATTCTGATTAACGGAACGTTCGAATAATCTCTTTGGGTTTTTCCGCTCAATTGCCTTTATCTCTCTTCCCAGCCCTAAAAACAAAGAAAAGAACGACATCATTATTCCATTCCACACGGTTCTTGCACATACACTTTCAAATTCGGATACGGTAGCCCAATCTCATAGAAAACTTCGTGTGCCTTTTAGATTTTGAGAGCATTGATACTAGGTATAAAAAGACCGGCAATAAATCGAAGGTTTATTTCTTACAGTAGTATTCACATTTATGTACAATATCGTTTTAATGAAGTAACAGAAGCTATAATATGGCTATAGCGATATAGTAACAATAAGTAGTTCTACTCATTAACTTTCAACGCTAATTCTGGATGGTGGGAGCGCATATGACCCTGCCAACTCACTTTCTGTGAAAACTTTTTCAAACAAATCATGCAACTAAATCTCTTGGACTCTGTATGAATCCACATATGCTGTTTCAGACCTCGTACTCTAGAAAATCCTTTATTACACTCGATACACTTGTACCTCTTCTCTCCTGTGTGACTAATAGCGTGCTCCTCCAAACGCTTCTTGGAGTCAAATTTCATATTACAACATGGGCACATAAAAATATCGTCCGAGTGTTTCAACTTGTGATGTGCGTAAAATCGTTTGCGACTTTTAAAGAAAATGTCGCACTCAACACACCGGTAAGAGAGACCGGGTTTGCCGTGCACTTCCACTATATGTTTGTGTTTGTGGTCCCAGGACCTGAATCTCTCTCCACAAGTAACGCAGCAATAGAACCAGCAGGCCTTCGTCTCTTGACAGTGTTGCTTTCTGAGTTCCTCAGTGGGAAATTCCAGCCAGCATTTCCGACATTTGAGCTTCCCAGAATGGCTGCAGCGTATGTGATACCTCAAAGATTCGATTGCCATGTAGCCACGACCGCATGTATCACAAGTGTACTTCAAGTAATGAGATGACGTGTGTCTGCATAGCTTTGTCAATGAGGGTAGTTTTTCGGAGCAGAGAGCGCATACGTACTCCTCGTCTGACAACTTATAGGGCTGAAGCCTCATGTTGCAGTCCACATCAATTTTACTACCGTGTAAATCGCGCAAGTGTTTAGACACTTCTTCGATATCATTGCATTCGGTATTACAAAGTCGACACTTTAAATTCGTGCAATCGACTTTCAGATACTTGTACAACGCCTTACCGCAGTGAGCGAACGCAGTAGAGACAGTAAACTTTTTATGAGCGTCGTCTACATGAAGTCTGAACTCACTAGGCAATTTGAACTCTTCCTGACAGTATACACAACTTAAGGACGAGCCTTTCAATCTGAACGGATACACAGTGGAGTATTGTAATAGTTCTTTGGCGTGTTGGAATGCCCTCATATTTTCGTCGCTCGTTTCTAGAAAAGAAAAAAAACCCGTGTCATTGGTCAGTGGTTCTTTGTCACCGCAATTACGTGATAGGGAATTTGAAACGTAGTCGGTAATACATAATCAGTTTCAACTAATGTTATGGAAACTAACCTGTTTTCACAGCGGCAATATGACGAAATGATAGGCCAACAGCGCATATAGATGTCTTTTAATAAATGATTTTTTGTTCATGAGCAAATGGACACTAAGTCATCAATTCTCTTTCAAAAGACAAACAATTTTATAAAGACCGTTAGGTTAAAAAGGTAATTAAGTACGAGAGTAACTAACCATCGACAATTTGAATACGTTCTACATATCAAAGTGTTTCTTAGCCACGTGTTTGTCGAGAAACAACTGTGTCGTGAAGGCCTTGGGACAGCTGTGGCACGGATAATTCAATTCGGAATCCTTCTTCATCCTATGCGTCCTCGCCATATGATTATACTTCCCAGATCGAGTTTTAAACGTCTTCTGGCACGCAGCGCACTCGTACTTATCCGCACCGGTTTTAAAGTTGTGAACTTCCATCAAATGTTTCTTGCGCAGTTCCCAGTTGGCGAAACGCGGTTTATCCTTGCAATAGACGCACATGTATGGCGTTGATGTATGTTGAGTTTTAACGTGAACATTCCTCTCGTGTAACGAAGAAAATGTCGCTATACACCGACTGCAGTTATATTTATTCTCGTGCGGGACTTTCGTGTGCGCTATCATAGCGGATTCCGTTATAAAACCCTCGCCACACGTGTCGCAGACGTAGTTCTGGAAGTGCTGCGACGTGTGTTTCTTGAGAGAGACGAAGTCCTTAAATTCGTTAGGGCACATTGTGCACTTCCACACGGATCCGTCGTTGAGTTTGAACGGTAGTACACCTATCTGAGCGTCAGTGTTAATCGGCTGTTGGTGGTCGTTTTTCAAGTGAAACGTTAAAGTGTCGAAATTCTCTATCGGCATAAAGCATAGTTTACACTGAAGATCCGTGATGTCAATCTTGAGGAACTCCTTACCGAGCTTTTTGTAAAACGCCGTTTGGACGTCGTAATTCTCGTGTTGTGTTGCCACGTGAACTCTTAGGTTACTGGGGTTATTAGTTTGGATCCTACAGAAGACACAGTTGAAATTGCTCTTCCACGTCCTGAATGGGCAGGCTGTGGAGCACTGCAGAATAATTTCTGCGTTGGTGCGCGGTTTGAGCACTCGCCCGTTGCGCGCTTTGTACGCAGTCCTGAAACATTTGACCTGCCTCCGGTGGTCTTTCAGAGCGTGATCGGAAACAAAAGTGGTACCGCATTTGTCGCAGCTAAAATTCATAAAGTGCGAGAGGATGTGACGATTGAAATGCGAAAATTCTTTGCAAACTTTTTGACAATACACACACAACCATGCGCCGGCGTCGTTATATTTATACGGCACGACGCCAAACGGCGCGTTGAATCGGACAGGTTTTTTGTGCCCCCTAGATAAATGACTCATCAGCGCATCAACATCTTGTTCGACTTGGTCACATAGATTACATTTTAAGTTACTGATATCAATTTTGACTAAATTATCCTTCGCTCTATAGAAGACGTTCTTTAAATCGGTGTTAATATGATCCGCTTTCATGTGTTTACGCAAGTTATCTAGAGTATCGTATTCTTCGTGGCAGTACGCGCATAATATTTGGCTAAAACGCATTTTAAAGGGATAGGCGGTTGAATATTTTAGTATCAGCTCCGCGTTACGGCGCTGTGGTGTTTGATAGACTAGTATAATTTTCTTTGTGTCATTACGCCTGGTTATTTCCAATTTGGACCCTAAAAACAAAAAAGAAACTGGTCAGTTAGACAACCAACGTGGAGCTGATTCGGGACAGAACAATCCATGCACCTACTTCTAGCCTAACCACAAGTTATCAGCTTTCCGGGTGGTACCACTAGAAACGTACAAAACTAGTTTCAAATCGGTAATTATTTATTATAAAAAAAAAAAAATTTTGATTAAATTTGAACATCAGGATGTTGTGTTTTCATATGCGACCGGTAGCTTATTTTCTGATTAAACTTCTTATCACATAATTTACACTCGAATCTCTTATTGTCGCTGTGAGTCCACATGTGTTGCGATAGATTCGCTTTCCTTGGAAACGTCTTAAAGCAAACATCGCATTCGAACTGCTTCACACCCGTGTGTACCACGATGTGCTCATCCAAGTATCGTTTCTTGCTGAACCTCTTGCTACAATAGGAACAAACGTAGCACGCCTCCGCGTGCGTCGTTGCAAAATGGTTCCTATAAGTTTCACGTGTGAGGAACGTCTTCGGACACTCCGGGCAGTCATGCGTGCGTTCCTTTTTCCCGTGAACCGTCACCAAATGCTTCTCTTTCTCTGTCCATCTCAAGAAGCGTTTTGGAGGCGAGCAGAACGTACAGTGATATTTCCAGCAGTTGACACTCTTTTCGTCGTGCTCCCGTTTTTCAGCTACTGTATCGAATGTGCTTTTGCATTGCCTACAGTACTGTATACCGGAAGACGCGTGGGGGAATTTTATGTGCTGCTGGAAAGCGCTGTTCGTCGTATACGACTTTCCGCACTCTTCGCACGTGAAATTCTGGTAGTGTGTTGTCATGTGTCTACTCAATTGACGGAGGCACGGAAAATTCTTATCACAGAGCCCACAGAGCAACTTATCGTTGGGGAATCGAAACGGCTGGACGCCGAGGTGAGTATCAAAGTTAATCTTCTTATCGTGGTCATTGTTCAGATGCTTAGCGATGTCTGGTAATTTCTCAAAGTGCTCATCACAAATTTTACATCGGAGATGTGAGCAATCCACTTTTATATACCCTTCATAGAGACAGTGCATGAAAGCCACTTGGAGGGAAGTGGTGGGATGCTCCTTGACCATGTGAGGGCCAAATTCAGATGGGTTTTTGTATTCTTCGCAGCAATAAACGCACATAACCCTGTTCTCGGGCAAACGAAACGGATACGCAGTCGAATATTTAACGATATCTGTTCCTTCTTGGATGGATAAAACACTGGTCTAAAACAACAGAAATTATCCAAATTAATGAATTCTTTTCGGAATTTAATTTTTGTTATAAGAGGGTAGACCGCTTTGTGGCGTGAGTGTTTCGTTCCTGACTATATTAGAAGTGAGACCTACCCTAGGTTACTCGAAGTCAATATTCAATCTTCGTTTAGTTTACGACAGGCGTCCTATGCCGTGTTTTTATTTTTTTACCTTTAACTAGGTTTGACTAGTAGACTCTGTAATGCTAAGACATCTTTTACATCGTGATATGCATCCAGAATGTTTCATAGATTTAGAAACTAATATTCATGTTTTAAACCGTTTAAAGGTGTTTAACGTAATTATTAAGGATTTCCGCATATTGTCGTCGACTACGTTTATTTTCATTCTACCCTTTATTGTAGCTATACGGTAAGAAACACTTTAATAAAACAATTACTCGAAACAAATGTATTTATTTAAAAGTGTAAACAAATTACCATATTTATAAATAAACGTAATTATAAGTATTAAAAACATGTATTTATACTCTGTATGTATGTATTATATTTAACTGATTTGAGCAACAAGTGATTTTAACTAGGCAATCGCCTATATTGCTTTCCCAACGCAAACGATAAGACGTTTATAACTCAGTAGAGATATTTTTCTTCTATAAACTTCATATTTAGAATAAGAAATTGCTCTTATAACTTAATTTGCTGAATATTCGCAGTAATTATTGCATTCAAACGAGTATTTATTCCAAACATAATTATATTGGAAAAATAAATAAATTAGATAGCCGATATTGGAAGAGATTGGAAGATGTTATTTAATTGAAAACAAGTATATTTAAAATTTGAGAATAATCTACGCGTTCATTGGATCTAATTTTATTTTTATCGATTTTCAACTGCGGCGCAATGAAATTTCATCCTAAAAACAGTAGTTATGAGGTTCAATATCCTTTACTTTCTAAAAAGAGACACATTTACGTTTTAAACCGTTTGAGAAGTGTTTTTTTTTAATATGTCATATTTTATTTTCCCAAAATCACTTCACCCATGTAAGCTTCGTGTGTGTTCAAATTCATCTCATATCAACACGAATGTCAAAATTATGATCTAGAAATTAAGATCAAAAGAACGTCGAACCATTTTCATAATTTAAAGTGAATCATGATTTAATAAGGCGGGTAGTTATATAATATGTAGTTCATCTGATAGATTATACTAATCGTCATTCTTATTCACGCTGAGTAGAATTTTTACATTCTTATTAACCATATCCTGGTAATCTTCTATATCTGGATGGTAGGATTTCATGTGGCTCTTCCAAGTTACGCGCTGATTGAATTGCTTATTACAAAGCGTACAACCGAAACGCTTTAGTTCACTATGAATCCAGAGATGCTGCACAAGATTCTTCTTCCTAGGAAACGCCTTCGAGCAAACCGGACACGGGAACAACTTCTCCTTGGTATGAATTACTCTGTGCTCGTCCAAGTTCTTCTTCGTATCGAACTTGAGGCCGCAACACGTACACACGTATATATCCTCCGTATGGGACAGTTTGAAATGAGTCCTATACTTTTTCCTGTCCTCGAAAACCAACGGACATTCTGGACAGATATAGGTCTTCTTGGACACGCCGTGCACCTGAACTAGATGCTCTTGCTTTGTCTTCCAGTTGAGGAAGCGTTCGTTGCAAAAGTTGCACATGTTTGTCCAACACTTTTTCGAGGAATACACGTGTTCTCGTCTAGCCTCCAGGGTATCGAAGGTGGCTTTGCACTTCCGACAGCGTTTGTTACCACCGCTGTGCGAGTAAGCGATGTGGTGCTTCAAAGTAGTAATTGTGGAGTAAGACTTCCCACAAGCCTCGCAAGTGAACTTTGAGAAGTGGGATTGGGTGTGCCGACTGAGTTGCCGGAGACATATAGATTTGGCCGAACACAACGCGCACTGAAGTCTATCACCATACAGTTTGAACGGTTGGATGCCAAGATCCAACTTCGGGTCTATAGGTTTCTGGTGAATATCGCGGAGATGTTGGGCAGTGTCCTCGAGGTTCTCAAAGGGGGTGAAGCATATGCGACAATTGAGTTCCGTAATGTCAGCTTTGATGAAGCCTTCCGTGACATGCGCGAACGCCATTCGAACTTTGAAGGTCGGATGCTCGTCCGTCATATGCTTTCTATAAGATGGACCGTCACTGATGCTCTCACAGCAGTAAACACAGACCATGGCCTCCTCCGGCAGTCTGAACGGGTATGTCGTTGAATATTTCACCAATATCTCCGCGTTGCGCTTCGCGATGGTATATTCATTGGACACTTCTAGAACAAAAAGAAATGCCGACTGTCATTTAATCGTTCTCTGGAAGTCTTCTTCTTCGTCTTGCTGTATAAGTTTAATCCTATTCTTAGTTTAATGCCTATTTAATTAATCAACGGTTTATAAATATAGACGTAGTCAAATTGAAGAACGGCAGGTTTGTAATCTTATTGGACTATATTATATGTGGGTTTAACGATATATTTACATACTGAACAATAAAAACGTCTTAAGCTCGCAACATAAACAAGTAAACACCAAGTTTTCACTAGTCATCGATAAAAATGTCCAATTTAAATATAAAGGTTTTGAAGAGTTATGAAGAACTCCGACTTAAAAAAATCATATGGATATATTATCGTGGTTTCTGCCTATTTAAAGTCAACTAAGTCGGGGTGATGCGATTTCATGTGAGTCTTCCAACTGACTCGTTGGTTGAATTGCTTCACGCACAGTTTGCATTCAAACCTCTTCACCTCACTATGAATCCAACTGTGCTGTATCAGATTCTTTTTCCGCGAAAACATTTTGCTGCACACAGAACAGGCGAACAGCTTCTCTTTAGTGTGTGACACGATATGCTCTTGGAGGGAACTCTTATTGTCAAACTGTAGATCACAATAGGAGCAGGCGAAGACTTTATCCGTGTGAGTCAGAATAAAGTGGGCCCTGTACGGCCCCCATTTATCGAAGACCATGGGGCACTCGGGGCACTTGTACTCCTTCCGCGCTTGGCCGTGCACCTCTATATTGTGCTCACACTTGTCCCTCCTCTTGATAAAGCGAAGGCCGCAAGTGGAACAACGAAACGGCCAACATTTCTCCGAGGACAGCATGTGCTCCCGTCTGGCCCCAGTATTGGCAAATATCTCTTTGCAGCGCACGCAAATCTTCTCGTCCGTATGCGAGAACTTCCTATGTTTCTTCAGACTCTCCAAGTTCACGTAGGACTTGCCGCACGTTTCACACGTGTATTTGTGGTAGTGTTTGCTCGTGTGGCGACTCAGCTCGCGTATCGTGGGATGCTTTTCACCGCATAGGGCGCACTCCCAACTCTTATGGTCGAATTTGAATATTTGTATGCCAATCTCGTAGTCAGTTTTAATCTCTTTATTGTGGTACGAGGCTAAGTGTTTCGCTGCTTCGACGAGAGTGTCAAGCGGCGTTGCGCAAAGCCTGCACCGCAAGTCGGTACAATCGGCTTTGATGTACTCCGTGTAGTTCGTGTTTATGTGAGCGAAGGCTGTATTTATATTGAACGTGGCGTGCTCTGAGCTTATATGATTGCGGTAATCCTGTGAAGTTTCGAAACTATCACAGCAGTAGACACAGACCATCGCCAGGTGGGGTATCCTGAACGGATACGCCGTCGTATATTTCAAGACTACCCTCGCGTTGTGACGCGCCACGACAAGCCAATTCGCGAATTCTAGAACAAAGAGATATTCGTTGACTAGAGCTTCCGTTTAATTAGTTCGTCTATTGATTAGTGTTAGATACTTGTAAGATGAAAATTAGTGTTGGTAAAGGTGGGATAGTTACAATTTATTACGCCTCGTACCCTAGTATCAAAAACAGTTCAACCGATATTGTCTATCTTTAGAGGAATCGTTAAACCATCAAAAAGTTATTTTATCATACACTTTCACAATGTAAACAAAAATAATCCATTTCTCGCTTACGTTTATTTTGTTGAATAAATTACGAATTACCTGCATCGCGGATATTATAATAATGAAACCATTACTCAATTCCAAATTTAATTTTATATGGGGCATTGACTACCCTCGCCGTGTCGCCGATCGGTAAAGAGTAAGTTATACGTATGTCACTTAAATTAAGAATGAAAAGGCCCCAGTAAGAGTTTGTCAAAGATTATTATTTGTCCGAAACTGATTCAGCTGCTTTACAAAGAGTGTTTACTCATATGCCGTTGCAATCGGTACCGCGTCGCAAATTTCAAGCCACAATGTTTACACACAGCGCAATCCCCAGAATGGTGTAGCTTAAAGTGCTCGTAATACGCCGACCCGGACGTGAACGTCATATTGCAATCAGCGCAACGATCCGTCCTTTTATTTACACCGTGTTCTAGTTCCATGTGCCTCTGCCGGGCTTTGAAGCCGTGAAACCGCTCTCGGCACTTGTAACAGCTGTAAAGCATACATGACTTCTCAGTTCTATGATGACGGTCCTTCGCTTCCATATTTGGGAATATCTTCCCGCACCTCCTGCAGGGCACTTCGTACTGCTGGTGTTTGGAGCGAAGGTGGCGTAGGAGGCCCGTGGTGGCGATGTAACTCTTACCGCAGACGTGGCAGACGTAGGTGAGGAAATGGGTGATCGTGTGTCGGTTCAAATGGAAGATTGAGGGAACAGTCTTCGAGCAGACGGCACACATGTAAACGTCCTTCTTCAATTTATACGGCATCACGCCGAGTTTGACGTCGAAATCCAACGGCTCCTTGTGAACGGAAACCAAATGTTTCGCGACAGTTTCGATGGCGTCAAATTTTTCCGAACACAAGCGACAACGCAAATCCGTTAGATCGGCCTTAACGAATTCGACTTTGGGCAAATTGTGGAAGACCACTCTAGCGCTGAACGTATCGTGCTCCTCGTTCATATGAGACCGGAAGACGTCCGGGTCTTCGAAAAGGTCCTGGCAATAGACGCACAGTATACACTTATTGTTAACCCTGAACGGGTGGGCAGTCGTGCGGCGCAATAAAATTTCCGCGTTATTCCGTACAGGGTCTTCTGTTTCCGCTAAAACAGAAAAAGACCAACTGTACTGGAGAATAAGTGGAATAGCGGAACACCGCGACTTAACGTTCAATGAAACTCAACAACAGCAGGCAAATATACATGGACACATTTCTGTATCGTGTTTAATTGATTGTGTGGCTGAATCAGCCAAGGTTATAGAGGTGCTGAATAAAATTCAAAGTATAAATTATCGATACGAGCATTAAGATTTATTTAGTGGGAATAAATTGATATTTCTTAAGTGCTATAGTAAACAGACACACACAAATAGTAACATGAAATTAATTATCATTGATTACTGAACCAATTTTTTGAAAAGCTGTCTGAAAAAGATTTTTTTTATTGTAGTATGATCTTGTCCTACCTTGGTCTACACAAAATGGAAACATATATATAGGCATATTTTGAAATAGTTTTATCTATTAATTTATATGTACATTAATATGAAATATTGGTTTAATATATTAAATGGATTGAACTAGAAAGTTTTGAATTTGGACTACTAGCGGAAACTACTTAGAGAACATGACTGGGAAGCTTTGAAATGACCTACCTCCTGGAATATTAGAAAATAGATAATTTAAACTAATAATGTATTCTTAGAAGTTTTTGTGAAGTTCCAGCGACCTGTTCATTTAAAAATCCTAATAGAACTTTCTCATTACTGTCTACATCACTATTTACATAAGAACCCAAAATCTGTAGTTCTTGGATTCCTTTTTAGGTTTTTTGAAGCAAAATAACAGTAAATATGACAATATATATGTAACATATATATGCTTATCATAGCGATATGTCTAGTGCACAAATTGGTGCCTAGTGCAATAGTGTTTAAGTGAAAATTGGTTCAAACAGAGTCTTAATTTCATATTACTAATTTGAAAACTACAAAACTTAATGGACGATATTTGGTATCGAGTCTTGATTAATAGAACTAATCAATAAAGATCGACGTTTTAGTGACTATTTCAAAAACCCTTTTAACGGTTTTATACCACGGAATATTGTAAGTAGACCATGACCCAACGTCCGACGCTATACAGCGACCGAGATCGTGATCACGGTCACGTGCGGACAGAAATAAATCGAACGAATATATTTTCACATTTTAAACCGTTAAACGTCTTATGCAACATGTACCAATTAGCTTGAAAATCGATATACAACAATTTAAATTGTTTTATTTCCTTAAATGTCCATTAGTTTATTCGCCCATTAAGTTTCAGATATAAAAGTATGGACACAATTCCCTCAGTATGTAATTGGAAAATGCAAGTTTCAAAATAAATAATTTAAAAAAAATGTTTCCTTTGCATACGATGAAAATCCATAATACAGGATCTTCATATACATAGGGGGGAGGACTTCCTAACATAATATTTTTTTATATATATTTTATGAGCGTTGGTTTAAATTAAACGCTGTGCAATTTTAAACGTCAATTTACTTTTTCGGTTGGCAAAAAGAAGGACACGCCCTAATGTAGAACGGCCCAACACTGCCATATTATGTGAAACGTACCTTAGGTATGCTTCACATAACATGTGTTCTATTGACGGTTGTATACCGGTCATTTACTACCTCACTAACAAATTTTAGTTACCACCACTATTCACCAATTTTCTGTCAAACTGGGATACATAGTGCATTTTTGGTAAAGTAATCTTACATATAAAGAAAACCATGTCCATACTTTTCTAAGCATTCTATATAAAGCAAAAAATTGATATGAATTCTTCTGGTTTTAACATAAAAATTGACCATCGAAATCGACTAAAATAAAAAAAAAAACGTCTTTTCACTGTGTACTAAAACAACTTGAAAATGAAATATTACAAATACTTGTACTGTTTCATTATAATAAAAAACTCAAGTTCTGTTAAACCAGAGAGATACATAACAATCAAATGCTGATATTTCAAGCTGCTGTGAATGTCACTGATATTGTACAAATATAAAATAATGACTTCTTAAAGGTTTGAGGGAAAACACTTCCTCAGATATTTAAAATCGTAATTTTCACCGATGGAAGCTGGTCAGTCTATATTATCTGCTAACCATTTCACCCGTGTCCCCATTGCCCCCCTTTTTTATATTACATTGAGTTATCCATTATTGCCCCTGTAACCCCTTTAAACCTTCCGGTTTCTTTGCTCAATCTTTGGTTCAATCAGCGGTTTGTCACAAGTGTACCTCAAGACTAACTACGGTCTTTAGTTTACGCGTATAGAACACATTTAAATAAAACACTTTAAACTGTTTAAAACGCCAAATGTATTAGTTAAAGTTATTTGAATAATATTTAACCTACAGCCCGTTGTTACGGATGGTTAGGAACAACCGAGGAGACCACAGCTGCTGCAAACCATACATTTCGCGTTTTAAACCGTTAAAATTGCTTTATTCGAACTCGATAGTTAAAATGTTTACGTCGTGTGTGTTACAGTTGTCATTGTAAAAACAAATACAAATAAATGTTCATATTTTAAACATATTTACAATATAAAAGTTAAGTTAAAAAACGCTGTTAAGCAAGTCCGACACACACTTGGCCGGTATTATTTATATGTCAGTTTGTGAATGATTTTAAATACTTATTTACTTTTATTTGAACCCTTCCATAGGATGGTATCTTTTTGTAGGTTGTATGTATGTATACATTCACAGCAACTAAATATACCAACACATAGAAAAACATAGTTTAAACCTACCTTTCTTCTTTTTCTCCGGTTTAGGCTTGCTCGCTGATGGTTTGTCGACTTTTAGCTTCGTTTTCTTAGCTGGTGTGGTTTTACTTTTAGCTGTAGCTTTGCGTTTTGGTGCTTTTGTTATATCTAGTAATTCCATTACATCCACACTTTCCTTTTTAGGTGTCTTCGATGCTAAGTTCATAAGAGGTTCGTCGTCGACTGAAAATATAAAATGTTGCCATAAATGTGTATAAAATTTAAATTTATAATTGTACATAACAACTTAGCTATAGTAAATAAAGAAGAGCTTAGTTATTTAAGTGATAGAGTATCAGAACATTTAAATACAGTTTTAAACAAAACAAGGTTTAAATACTGTCTATAGTTTACGCGAGTAGTACAGATTTAAATAAAACATTTTAACGGTTTAAAACGCGATATATTATTTAAACTTATTTGGAGTGCTAGCCGTGGTCGGGAACCCGGGTCTTCGTGACCACGGCTGCTGCAAGGCGGGCCGAAGTTAAAAATCATTTCCAAATAAGTTTAACTAATATATCGCGTTTTAAACCGTTAAAGTGTTGTATATAAAAACAAGGTTTAGATATAAATATGTAATCACATTCTCAACATTGTTACTATTTACAACACATATGGGAACTGACAAAATATCATAACATCAAAAAAAGGGAGGGTTTGAAGGGGACACAGTAAGCATTGGATAACCCAAAGTCTTCCTTAGGTAGAAAATGGGGAAATAGAGATTGGACTGGAATTCTATTGGTGTCCTCAATAGAAAATAATAATACAAATATTTCTTTATTGATGCTTTAACTATGCTACTATAAGTTTGAGTAAAAAACTGGTTCCTCCTCGTGGGACATAGGGCGAACACATTTCTGTGTCCGTTTCACTGATCTGTTCTTCTAATGAGCAAGTAGTTGATCAGACTTCTGTACCCTGCCCGAGTGAAACAATTTTATGTTTCCCTGATTGAACCAGAACCTCTCAGGCTTAATGCAATGCTAGGCAATACGTTTAACCATTTGGCTACAGAGGCGTAAGTGCTTATGAATTATTATTTCTCTATCTAAAACTAAAGCAGCAATGTTGTTTAGATGTAATATAGGATATTGAGATACTTACGATCATCATCATCGTCAGCATATCCTGTATCAGCTACATCATCATCACTTAGGGGCAACTCCTGCTTCACCACTTCAATTTTCAGTTCTTCCTTTTCCGGAAAGTTAGCTGGAACTAAAAATGTTATATTATGCCATTAAGGATTGAGACATTGCTAAAGCATCTCAACATAATTTCTTTGTCTTTAAAATGTTGTTGAAAGTGTTCAGAATAATGGTATAGTATAAAATGAACTATAATCAAGTATAACTAATGAATTTTGTGTTTTATACAGTTAAAATATTAAAATAAATCCATCAATAAAGTGAATATAGAAAAATCTCCATACAGTACATACTCCTCACCAATCAGAGCATGTTAACATTAATAACAATAAAGCTAGACTTTAAGTTCTCACCTGTTGTATTAATAGAGGTACTAGGGTTCAGATACTGCATAAAGGTCTGTTCACATTCCTTAACCTGTCGCTTGAAGTCGGAGGCATCTCGAAGCCTTGAGATACATGGCTCACAAATTAATCTACTATGGCTATTAGGACCTCCCGTTTGTGCATATTGAATCTGAAAAGGGATATTTACTTGTATTTTAAACTGATTATAAGATACAGATATTACATGTCCCCTTAGCTTTATTGCACAAGCCTTCATAGATAATTTAAGACGGTCAATATTCAACTGCTAAGAGGGAATGGGGAAATGGTAAGTAGATGATGTGGACTGCTCCCATGCCCTTCTATCTGATTCCCCAATGGAAAATAATAATAACATACACTTGTATATAACCTAATGACAGTTGCAGAAAACATATCTACAGCAAAAAATTCAGCTTCCTAAGGAGATTTAGTTATGTCTTTATGTAGATATCTAGTTTATTATCTAATTTTATCATATTATATTTATATATAAGGCAAGTATATCAAATTAAAAATGTGTTAAGTTCTTTAATTATTAAGAAATATATTTTTTTAGTCCAAACTGTAAGTTAAAAAAAAGGTATTGTTGTGACTCAACAAGAATCAATTTAAGTTGCCTTTGTTAAAGTTAAGGGGGAGAGGGCCTTAGGTTGAAACCCCGGGAAACAATAGAATGTTTGGGTTCGGCTAGACACATTAGTCTGATCAACTCACAAAAAAACCGATCAGGCAAAACACACAGAAATGAATCGGCCTCATGCCCCACGGCAGAAAAGGGGGGGTTTAGCTTTTAGTTAAAAAAAAAACAATATTATTGATCTTCTAATATAAGCCGGCCGAATAGAATATACCTAACTCAGTTACGATTGTAACAGAATGAGATACATTTTAATTTGGTCGCGTTATAAAGCTAACAGCGTAGACGCCATGTTCCCTGATGCAAAACTAAATGTTTGGACTCACAGTTAGGTCCAAGGTTTCTGATAGCATATCTGCATATACTTCTTTCTTCCCCATCCAGAAGTATTCAGTAGAAATGTCTTTATAACACCCTTCAGATAAGCAACACCGACACACAGTTGGACCGGGCCGCCAATCACTTTTATTATCCATTTTTTTATTATGCAACTTTAACGACACGTACAAATATATCTAAAGATCCTAACTTAACAATATTATAGCATTCACTCCACACATAATTAAAGAAGTTCTATTTTAGTTGGATATTAATCAAGTTCACGAACGCCTTACGCCATTGTTGAAAGTCGCAGTTTGAAAGCTCAAGACTCAGATTACAAAAAACTGACCACAGATATATTTAAGTCTTTCACTCGAATAGTAATACAACTTAGAAAGTTTTAGGTATAGAGCTTACAATTATAATTTACTTACTTTTTCTTATATAAAAGGTAAAAATTAATTAAATTGTAAAATATATATGGTATTTATTATCTATACAAAATATATCATCTGTGGTTAACGTTAGTCGAAACTCGAAAGATGTTATCAGCACAATCGTATTATTTGTTTTGTCTATACAGTTGCATTTTTGCTTTCTAATTTTAATAACTTAAAACAACTATATCTAACTATTTATTGGTGCATTTACGTTCATATTTAACTAATAGAGTTGTATGTAATATGGCCAACACTGCCACTAAAGGACCCACACTGGACCCAGCGTTTTGTCGATGTTGTCGATCTATTAAGCGTTGTCGGCTTCTTACGACTGAATATGACTGGAAAGGTCGTAAAGAAATCTATTCAGATATGTTCATGGATGTTTTTGGACTACTAGTGAGTAATTTTCGTCGCTCATCTACTAACTTGTGCTAAAAAACAACTAAGTATTGCCTGTTGTTTACAGGAGTATTCCACCTTTAAATAAAACACTTAACGGTTTAAAACGCGAAATATATTTGCTCCAAAGCCATGGGCCGTAATTTAAATAAAATGTAAATAACGTAACCAGTATATATCGCGTTTTAAACGGTTAAGTGTTTTACTTAACAGTTAGACTATTATCCTATATACTAGTATTATTATGTATTTTATAGGAAGATGAAAAAAACTTGTAATTTATATTTTGAGTCAAAATCCATAGGTTTTGCATGCCAGAGCAACAAACATTGCACCTCCGTCATCTAAGTATTTTAATTATTACAAACCATTTCTATTCATAATCAACTTAGCTAAAAATGTTGCCTAGCATTACATTAACCTGGTTCTATCTTCAAATCCACAGGAAAAGTATAAATAGGTTGGTTGTAAATGAAATTGTTTGTTCAGTTGTAACCTATTTTTAGAGACTTCAAAAAGCAATTCTATTCATTATTTATTACCTGTACATATATTTTACAGCTTTCTCATCTGGACGGTGAAAGCAAAGACAGTTGCATTTGTGCTACCTGTGTTGGTCGGCTCCGAGAAGCGAATGCGTTTAGGCAACAGGTCTTGATGTGCGAGCAACTTTTTATAAGCGCCCAGCTGCAAAATAAGGATGGTGAGATATTTATATACTTTAATTATTAAATACCATTTACTTTAAAAACATACAACTGTAATAAAAGGTTACTGGTTAAAAATTTTGATGGCCTTGTTGGTGTAATGGTAGCAAGCGGTGGTGGTGGTGGTATGGCTATAAAGCAATGGTTCGTGAGTTAAATCCCCGCTGAGTCCAAAATTTTTTTCAATTTATATTTTCTATATACTAATAATTATTATATAAGAACTTTATTTTAGAATATACATAGTTGTATGCTGTTTTGATAAATGTCACCTTATATTTACATAACGCTTATGTTCAGAAGCTGAACAAATTGAGGTGGAAGTGAAACGGGAAACCCTGAGCAGCGATGGGGATGATAATGATGATTTGCCACTGGCCCTGTGCGGTAAGCGATTGGTTTTTACTAAATACATTTTTGCGAGGTACTATTTGACTTAGCTTTTTGACCATTGGGTTTATGGTTAAATGTGTTGCCTAGCATTGCTTCAAGCCCGACAGGTCCTGGGTTCAAATCCCTCCAAGCCTTAGAGCATCCGACCCTCACTGGACCAGTGTGGTGGGTCTTATCTCTTTAAAAAGCTGCAAAGCCCAGCTATGGGATCTCACTAGGTAAAAATAACATCATTTAACTTGTATTTTCAGACACAAAAAATAATTTTGCCAAGCAAGAAAAAGAAGAAGCCAATGTGGATAATAGTGCGACGGAAATTCTGCCTAAAGTGATAAAGAAAAATGTAAAGACGAAAAAATTGTTATCTAAAACTAAGAAGGTGCAACGGATGACAAGTAAATTGGATAGAATACTTGCTAAGCGAGGTACATGTTTTGACAATAATTACATTTACATTTTTGTATTAAAGCCTGCCCTGTACTGTCTGCAGTTTACGCGAGTAGTACAGATTAAAATAATATACTTTAACGGGGCAGCCGTGGCTAAAAATAAATCTCAAACATATTGAACTAAAATATATCGCGTTTTACACCGTTAAAGTGTTTTATTTAAAAGCCTGCCCTATCCTTTAAAGATTATAATTATATATTACTAGCTGTTACCCACGACGTCGTCCGCATCCCGTCATTCTTGCTACTCAATCTTAAAAGATATACATATATACATATACTCGCAGACATTTTTACACGTTAGTGTTTTACATAAATACTACTCGCGTAAACTACAGACAGTATTTAAACAAAAAGTTACTCTATCGTTTTCATTATATTTATTTGTAATTTAACTTTCCAGTACCCGCTAAAAAGAAGGATATACAAACAGATCAAGATGAGCAGGACATGGCCTACAAAAACACTATAACTATAGTGAATAATTCATATGTCTGTCCGTTCAGAAATAGAATAAGCATATACTATTGTTACTACTGCCGCGATCAGTTCACAAATCCGGTAGAGCTACGTGAACACACCCTCTCGCACAATCCCAAAGAACTCTTCCTACTGTCCATGGAGAACAAAAAGGTTCCCAAGATAGACATCACTAGAATCGATTGTCGATTGTGCGATAAGAAAATCGATGATCTGGACACATTCAAGAAGCACATCACTACCGTCCACAAATTGACCCTGTTCCCTGTCAAAAATGAGTTCTTAAAATTCCGTTTGACGCTAAACAACCTGACGTGTACGGAGTGCGACAATGTGTTTCCGTATTTCGACTCCTTGAAGAAGCACATGATAGATCACTTCGGCACGCACACCTGTGATATGTGCGGGGCGTGCTTTTTGGAACAAGCGTCGCTCCGCACTCATATAAACTCCCATTTTAAGGTAGAAATGAACTTTCCCTGTGAGGTTTGCGGCAAGAATTTAAAATCTAAGTATAGTAAGCGTTTGCACATAGCGACGGTACACGAAAAAAAACCTACCGTCAATTGTTACAAGTGTGACGCTTGCTTCCTGTCGTACGCGCTTCGAAATCGTCATTTGATCGAAGTGCACGGCGACAATCGGACGTTCCCTTGCAAGCTGTGCGATAAAGTGTACAATAGGCGAAAGACATTGATGGAGCACCATAGGAGGAACCATTTGAAGGTGTTTAGACACCAGTGCGATTTGTGCGACCAGCGTTTTTATCTACCCTCGCGCTTAAAAGAGCACATGGCGACTCATACTGGGGAGAAGAACTTTAGATGCGACTTTTGCGACAAAAGCTATCCGAGGCTTCAATCCTTGCAAGAGCATGTCCGATCACATAGTACGGAGAGACGGTTCAAATGCAACGTTTGCAACGCGAACTTCACTCAGAGCAGTAGCCTGAAAAGTCACATGAAGAGTCACCATCAAGACTTCGAAATGGAGGGTAGTTTTACTTGAACGGTATTACACTTGGAGTCATTTAACTTATTGGGAACTGTATAGATGATTATACTTTTCGTTGAGATGGTTGATGATTTTGGAACATGAAAAATCATTTCATTTATTCATGTAGCGGTGTAATTTCTACTAGCCATAGAATAAACAAACAGAACTGGCAAGAAACTCGCTGGGCTGGAGGACGAGGCGTAACTAGGAGTAACTAGGTTCCCTCGGTAGGACGATGTTTTGTTTCTTTCTTTCATTTAAGGCGAGGGTTGAACTCTTAGCGTGCATGTCAAGGTCTGATCGCGATGTGAAATTTTTCAAAAGCTATATTTTGAGGGTAGTCGCAAAAGTTTTCAGCAATGGTAAGAAAATGTTCAGTATTAGTAAGAAGATTTATAGTATTGTTCTCTGGTAGAAAAGAATGTTGGTTTGGTAGCGAAGATTCTCTTTTAAGGGGGAGTTGGGAAATGGGTGCAATATTCAACATAGTGTGGTTATAAGCAGTCGAGTTCAGCCTGTTTAAAATAAATTTTATGGGTTCTCATTTCAATAAAAAAAAACGTTTCTACATATATTATACCCTTTGAAGAACTTAAAGAATAGAAAGGTTTAAACAAACCCTATTAAAACACATTAATAGGGTTCCAAAACGCGACTTTGTGGAGTATGACGTCACACGAGGTGTACCTATAATTGTCTCACGAATGGCGTCACGCGATGTAATTGATGTTTTACTTCAAATTAAAATATTTAAGTCATTCAAAAATCGAAAATAAATTGAATAAATTTTCGACTCGGGCAGGACTTGAACCGGCATCGTCAGCGTTCCGTGCTGTTGCTCTACCAATTGAGTTAATGTTTTCAAATATTTAAGTGAATTAAATTACATTTAGTGCTGTGCTTGTTATCAATTGTTATTGTAAATCTCCATCTTTAAGGTTGCCTGGAAGAAATTGCTTTTTAGCGGTAACACCGCCGCTTCTCGCTATTTTTTATAATTTATTCAAACTGAATCCTATATTTGTTATGTTTTTATGGTGACAATAAAGTATTTTTCGTTTTGTACAGGGATTACTAGCTGATCCCGCAAACGTTGTTTTGTAACCACACTTACATTTTAATTACCACGGATTTTTTCATCATATGTAGAGGAATAATTCTTTCATACATATGGTTTCTTGAATTGTTTTTGCAGTGCACGCAACGTAGTGAAGATAATTTACCCCGTCTCTCTACATTTCCCACTGTTTCTTCACTCCTATTATACTTCTATTATATTCTCTTCCTCACCTTTTCAAGCAAGTCATTAAGAGCACCCGCCCCTAACGTTTCATAGTCTGGGCTTTCCGTTACTCTAGGCTGATCATCCGCGTTGGGCGACACCGGATTCGTCCACGTCTCACTTGGGAATTTCGGTCCGGCTTCCAGTTGCTGTTGATAATGTTCCGCACCATTTAGTACGTACTTTGGTCTCTGTTATTTGGTGAGGAAAACAATGTTTCGTCTCTCAACATTGCTCATGTACCTCTGAAGTAAATACGGTGTAGTTATTATGGTCTTTGCCGATGCCGGTCAGGGGGCGACCGAGTAAGAGAGTCATAGTTCCCCCCCCCCCCCCCCCCCCCCCCCCCTGGGGGGGGGGAAACCCCCCCCCCGGGCCCCCCGCCCCCCCCCGGGGGGGGGGGGCCCAAAACTTTCGCCCAGAGGGGGCGCGGCGCGCGTGTGCACACCTTATCCCATTACACTCCAGCCACTAATAAGCATAGCAACCAGCGGCTACTCAAGCGCTTCGCCTATCGACCACCCCGAGTTTGGTTTATCGACTACCGGGGGGGTTTTTTTTTTTGGGGGGGGCCAAGGGCGCCGGTTGGCCGTTGCAACGGATCTTGGGTTCAGGTCTAAGATTGTAAGACAACCAAATTACCTTTGCCAGGGGGGAAAACCGCGGCGCCGCCCCCAAGGGTGGGGGGCGGGTTTCGGGGATCCGGAGAAACCCGGGGACAAGCCTGCCGGAGCCTCCGTCGACTCCGTCGACGGTATTTAGGATGTATGAGTTCTTACTGTTTTTGTAATAAGACTGATTGTATTTATAATTTCATTTCAAGAATAAAATGAAAGTCATTATTTTATTTCACAAAATAAATTATTATTAATCATATCTGCTATGTTGTTTGATTTAAAAAATCTTATTTAAATTGTCTACAATTCAATTTTGAAATAAGAAACCGATATATTTAAAATAAAACATATTTTGTTGATAAAAAAAAAAAAAAAAATGGTACCAAAACTTTACAAAACGGATTAGAACATTTAAATTCAGACTTCAATTTCAATGGTTTTTGATACCTGTTTACATATTTGTAAATTATGTAATGCCTGTAGTTACGGACTAATACCTGTTTAAATAAAACATTTATAACGGGTTAGGATGCGAAATATATTACTTTTATATATATTTAGCTTCTGGCTTGAAGTTTTGCACGGTTTGCAGTAGCGAGTGGGACTGAAAATGGTGTCTCTAATATCTAAGTCAAATCTTCTACGCTAGCGCCATCTGTTTCGACTTAGTTTACTAAATATCAACAAATTTCACCTAAGCAAAAGGTTTTAAATAATCATTGAGTCGCAAAGGTAATTTTCGGATATGTGGTAAATAAAAACGTTTCTCTTACATAATTACTATATATAGATCAACAATAACTTATAACAGAGTGATTAAATGAGTTCATATGTACAAATAGTTGTGTGAACATTACACTGTTTTAAATATAACACTAACGGTTTAAAATGCGATTTATATTTGTTAAACTTACTAGAAAATTATTTTAACTACGGACTTCGGATGCTTTGCAGCAGCCGGGGTCACAGGGGGACTCCTCCAAATAAGTTTAAAATATATCACGTTTTACACAGTTAAAGTAATTTATTTAAATGTGTACTACTCGCGTAAACTGGACACTATATTACACTGTGTATTCCGGATGCTGGCTCTTCATATGTCCCTTCAAACTGCAGTTCTGTATAAACGCCTGACCACAGATGTGACAGCGATACCGCCTGTCATTAGTATGGATGCGGATATGATCTTTCAAAGTTTTCAAACGAGGGTAGGACTTCTCGCAGTATTTACACTTGAAGTTCCGTTCGCCGGTGTGTACTGGCATATGATTGGTGAGTGCTGCCCGCGTGAAGAACTTTTGGCCACAACACTGACACTCGTATCTGAAAGTATTTCCAACATCATCATCGGCTTTCAAGATATCAGAAAATGGCAACACTAGCCGAATAAGTTTTGACAGATGACACATTGAATTTTTAGTTCTATATATATATATATCTATTGATTTTATATTTTCCGTCCAAACTATTCGACCGATTTTGATCATTTTAGTATTATATAATAGGAAGTTACTTCCAAAAAAGCACACAAGGAAATCTTACTGAAAATTAAATTAAATTATTTCTTATATATTAATTTACCTCTATATTATTCTATCTTTTCTTATATATTAATTAACCTTTAAATTTTTAATATATAAACATTTGACGGGTCGTGGGTTCAATGTGTTTCTAATCCATTTTATTTAAACATGGTTGGAATATCTAAATTCCGAACCGCCGTCCATAAAAAAAGCCTGGTTTAATCGCGTTTCGGGTTTAGTCTGTGGATTCCCGAATATCGAAAGCCAAAAGAGGTCGACAGGGTCTTTCGTTTAGAACGGAATTTTAGTAGGTATGCCAATAAATACCTATTCAATATGCCATAAAGACAGAGCCATCGAAGCGGAATCACTGACCTGAAATCCTTCAAATGCACCTTCCTCTTGTGTATGGTGAAATTCCGCCTAGTCTCAAACACTTGATTGCAAATATTACAAGTGAACGACAGCGGAGTCTCCCCGTGCACCTCCACCAGATGCTTCAACTTTTGCGGGTAGCTCATCAAAATGACGTCACACTTCGGACAAAATACCCTCCCCCGTTTATTGTGGACTCTGTCCACGTGGATATCCTTATACGATGCGACTCTAAACTCCTTACCGCACACTTCACATGGAAATCTACCCGACTCATGTTTCTGCCTGTGCATCACAAACCGATTACGATCCACGAAGCCTAAACCGCACTGTTCGCACACAAAATTACTAAAATGCTCGTTCATATGTCTGTTCAGAGCGTGGAAATAGGGAAAAGTTCGGTCACACAGCGCGCACTTTGTGTCTTCCTTGGACAAACGGAAGGGCAGGATGAAATCCCTGATGGTAGAGTAGTACTTCTTCTTGTGAACGGCAGTGATGTGTTGCTTGAAGTCATCCAGGTTGTTTATCTTGGTGGGGCAGAGCCGGCAGTCGATCCTGGTCAAGTCCAGTTTAATGGAGTTAGTTCTCTCGGACATGTTGAACTTTTTGGGGTTGTGGGCGTTCACTGTGTGGTCTCTGAGTTGTGCTGGGTCCGTGAAGTTCGATCCGCAGTAGAAGCACAGGATGTTATTGTGCCGACACTTGAACGGGCAGGCGTAGGAATACTCCACAATTGTGAAGATGTTTGAATCCTTCATGTATGTCGGGTCACGTTCGCGGATTCTTTGTTGCAGCATGGACATTGGTATTTCTGTAACGAGATACATTATTATTACCTGAATGAGATTTTGTTCACACTTTTTTATGTGTTATTACAAAATGTGTACTGTAATATAAAAAAAATTGAAGAAATGAAATGAATGAACAAATGTGGACTGAGTTTACTGACACAGATGTGTCAGTAAAATTTATCCCATTTATTTATTCATTCTTATTCTGCCAAGGATATAAAGTATACCATAAATTATTGATGCTAAGACATATTGATAAATCAGTAAAAGAAAAACAATATATATATATATTGTTCATTACTTTTACAAAATAATGGCGATGTTTCACATCTGCCAGGCGTCCCGTGACGGCTCACATTTTTTATATAATTATTTTGTAATGGTTAAACATCGATATGGTATACAAATGATTCAGCTAGTTTAAAAAAATACTTTCTTTTTCAGTTCCTACCAGAAATGTTCAAATACAAGATCGCACCATTGAAGAAGATCAACGAACTATTAAAAACAAAAATACTGCACTTAAAGAAATAAAAGTCACTTTTAATTAACATGTTTTATTTAAAAAAATCTTTTACCGTCCCGTGACGGCTCACATTTTTTTTCTGTTAATTCGATGTTTGGAGAAGTAGATAATTCTGTAATCACATCTGCATTTTGTAGACGCCTCCTTCTTTCCGCTTCACGTTGTTTCAATTTATCTCTGTTCTGCTCCCTGTATCTTTGTTGACGTTCTCTTTTTTTTTTGGAGAGCATTTAGTTCATTACTTTGATCATTTCTTTGAATAGATGATGGTTGTATTTTTTCCGAACCAGATGAGCTTTGAGCAGTAATTATTTCTTCATTATTCAGTTCTATTCTATTCGTCTTTGAAGAGGTAGATGGTCCGGCAATACTTTGTGAATGTTGTATGCGTTCTCTTCTTTCCGCTTCACGCTGCTTCAATTTGTCTCTGTTCTGCTCCCTGTATCTTTGTTGACGTTCTCTTTTTTTTTTGGAGAGCATTTAGTTCAGTACCTTGATCATTTCTTTGAATGGATGATGGTTGTATTTTTTCCGAACCAGATGAGCTTTGAGCAGTAATTATTTCTTCATTATTCAGTTCTATTCTATTCGTCTTTGAAGAGGTAGATGGTCCGGCAATACTTTGTGAATGTTGTATGCGTTCTCTTCTTTTCGCTTCACGCTGCTTCAATTTGTCTCTGTTCTGCTCCCTGTATCTTTGTTGACGTTCTCTTTTTTTTTGGAGAGCATTTAGTTCAGTACCTTGATCATTTCTTTGAATGGATGATGGTTGTATTTTTTCCGAACCAGATGAGCTTTGAGCAGTAATTATTTCTTCATTATTCAGTTCTATTCTATTCGTCTTTGAAGAGGTAGATGGTCCGGCAATAATTTGTGAATGTTGTATGCATTCTCTTCTTTCCGCTTCACGCTGCTTCAATTTGTCTCTGTTCTGCTCCCTGTATCGTTTTTGACGTTCTTTTTTATTATTATTTACTCTAAAAAATATATATAAGCGTTAAAAGAAGCTTAAATAAAAATTAGTATATTCTGGTACTATTAGATTTACAAAATCTTACATAACATTAATAGTATGTCTTGTGTTTAACTGATCTTGGTGATGTCCAGTTTCAATAATAATATTTTGTGACCCCTGTGATGATTGTTGGGTTCTGAAATATTTATAAAAAATATGTTATTAAAATGTACAGAAAAATTTAAATTGGCTTCAATATATTAGTAAACTCAAGAATCTTAGCTAGTTACTTCAATATATATTACTAAAGATCGTAAATTATGAATATCAATAATGTATGATTCACTATAAATGCCACTATGATTAGAAAAATGAATTAATTTTTTAATGTTCATATTTATAACAAATAAGAAAAAACTTTCGTGCACTGCACGCCATCAGCTGATTTAGAAATACAATTCTGTCAGTCTTAATAAATTTATTCTCTGAGCAATTGTTACATTGCATTAATTTCAATAAGAATATAATTAAAATTAATTATTAATTTTAAAACTTTATATGCAATGAAATTTATGTGAATTTTAATCTACCAAGCTAGTAGATTTTACATTTACTGGTGCTCAAAACAAACCAAATATACGCGTGCTTAATGCACAGATAAATGCATACTTTAATAATTATAAAAATATAATTAACTTACTGATGACTTGATGGTGTGTCATAGAGTGATTTTGCTTTCTTTGCAGGAGGCTGATCACTTTCATATTCTAAATTATCACGGTCAGACATTTTATTATCAGAAAAATAATTTGTCTTCAAGTAAAACATAGGTTATGTTTACTGTAGTAAACAACACTGTGTACACTACGGAGTATACACTATAGGTATTCGAGCTCAGTGTAGCGAGAAAGATGGCTTAACACCAGATCGAGTGGGAGAGAATCGCACAGTCGATTGCGCATGGCGACGCGTCGCCACACCGTACACACTACTGCATATAGACTGTATATATATACCATCGTATAGCGTGGCGACGCATGCCGTGGCGATGCGTCGCCACGCCAGAAATCGGTTTTACGTGCGGCTATAGATGTTTCACATCAAAAACACACATAAAAAGTTAGTATATTTGGGTAAATTAACGGCAATGAATCACAAATTGTTAGAAGATACATTCTCAAGTGATAGTAGTTCTTGAGAGCCTGGTGTCTGATAGACACACAAAAAGGCTTAGAATGCTATTTTCACTTTTTGGGTGAAACCTTAAAAACTTACTCGATTTAACAATTGGTGGTGGTTTTTTTCCCAAAACAATTTGTTTTTTCTGTAACCTTGTTGACTTTAATACTGGTTTCACATCACTAGCTGTTTCCTGTGTTTTGATAATATTGTTAGAAGAGCTTGTTTCTTTCTTTATGACACCTGAAAGATTACATAAATCGTGTTTATATTATAAAGAACCTTTTACAAAGCGTAACACTCTATATCTCCAGCTTACCACCAACCAGCTTATGTGCCATTTTAGGAAATCTGTCTTCTTTGCTATTTGTGAGAAAAAAGATCTTTGTTTTTTTTTGTAATTGGAACCTTGTAACTGTAGCTAAGATACAGCAATACAGAGAACAGATTTGTATGTAATATATACTAATATGTAATATGGACAAATGCCTGTTTAATCATCCATGATATATTTTCTGCAATCATACAATCCATTTGGGAAGCGATACCATGTAATACTTACTTAATGGCATATCTTCTAATATATCTTGGCAAGGAGATGGAGACCGAATATCGTCTTCAAGGATTTCATCTTTAACTTTTATTTTTGACTGTTCTGTAGTTGAGGTTACATCTGTTAAACATAAATTTCAGACTATTAATGCCTTCTTAATCTAAAAAAAGGCTTCATTTATTCTCAATTTATTACTTCGTGAGGTCATTGATGCTGGTCATTCAGGTTTAATTTACCAACAAAGACCAAGCATGTTTGAGTGTGCTAGTCAAAGAGGAAGCTGTTTCTGGTTACTTATAGAAGAATTTGTCAGAGAAATTTGACTTCCACACAAGGAATACATTTAGTTTAGAAAAGAACACTAAAAGACTATATAATACTAGAATATACAAACCATTAACATCATCATTGTCATAAATTTTTGCTTGCAGAAATGCTTCTTCACATTTTAGCACTTGCTGCCGAAAAATATATGCATCCCTGATTTTGTGCACACAAGAGGCGCAAACTAGGCGCTCTGTCGGTAAACTGTCTAGATGTGAAAGCTAAAAAATTCGATTTTTATTTATTAAAAATTTCAAGAAATCATAAAAATTAACTATACCTGTTAGCTGTCTTACTCGTGCTTGTTTTTATGTTATAATCAACAAAGAATTGTACTACTTGTAAGTTAGGTCGTATTTAAAATACATTGTTAATAAGTTAACTAATATATTTCACGTTTTAAAGCGTTAAATATTTTATTTAAACTAATTTTAAATTCGTGTTGTTTGAATTGATTCGTGCACTCACCAACAATCCAAAGCAATCCATTATCATATCGGAATACACTTCTTTTTTTCCAAAACAGGAATATTCAACATTTAAAACTCTACATTTCTTCATAGACCCACAACAGCGACATAAACCCGGATCAATAACAGGACCTTTGCTACTAGTCGCGGACATTTTAAAAACTAATATTATATATTAATATTCATAACATCCATCTATTATTTAAAAATACATTCTTAATTTATTTGTATTGTAAATACACTTTTTATGTATATTTATTGACAAAATGACAATTGACATACACACACAAACAAATGTGGACACAGACTGCCAACGCGGCTGTATTGCGTCTATAATAATCTGTGATCTCAAAGGCATAGTAATATTACTGTACCAGCGACCCGCCCCGGCTTCGCTCTGCGGCTGAGTGTTGTATATAAAAATCTCTCTCTTGAATGACAGTATCTATAAAAAAAACCGCATCAAAATCCGTAGCGTAGTTCTGAAGATTTAAACTTACATAGGGACATTGTTTCATACTATGTACTGATTTTGTTTGTTAATGTTAAATAAAAGGCGTGAATCATAATATAATACCGATATATTGTCGTAAATTACCAAAACCCGCGACCTCCCGGCGGGCTATCTTCTTTAGCTTTGCACCTATTTCGACATCAGTAGCGACTCAAGTGACAGGTGTCAAAAAGGGCTCCACCTCGACGTCCATGCCGCCGTGCTGCCGCTTCATGTGGCTTTTCAAATTGAAGTTCTGCGTGAACGCCGCATTGCATAACATGCATTTATATTTCTTCTCCATGCTGTGCGACTGCATATGCACCTTCAAACCCCTTAACCGAGGATAACTTTTGCCACAATATTCACAGCGGAAATTCCTCTCCCCGTTATGACTGGCCATGTGCTCTTTTAACCTGGACGGCAAATAGAACCTCTTATCGCATAGCATGCATGCATGCCTCCGGATTTTCAAATGAGATCGCCTGTTATGCTCCCTCAGAGATTTCCTACTATCATAACTCCTGTCGCACTGATCACATTTGAAAAGCCTCTCCACTCCATGGTAATCAATCATATGCCTGTATCTTAGGGTGTATGAGAAGAAAACCTGGTCACATTTACTGCACAGATACGCTGCCTCTTTCTTGTGAGTCCTAGCTATATGAATGTATCTCGTATACTTGGACTTGAAACTCTTCCCGCACTCCTTGCAGTTGAAGACCTCGTCGTTGCGCTGATGGGTCTTCTGGTGCAAGACCAGCATCCGCTCCTCGAAGTAGTGCGCACCGCACACATCACATATACATGTCCCAAAGTGCTCAGCCATATGTTTTTTCAGAGCGTGGAAGAAACTGAACCGTTTTCCGCATTCGAGGCAGCACAAATTCTCCAGATCCAGTTTGAATTTCAAGAACTCGTCCTCCACGTCGTGTATGACTATACCATGTGATGTAATGTGACGTTTGAATGCGTCAAGGTCGTCCACTTCTTCGGGGCATAGACGACAGTCTATCTTCTCTATGTCGAGTTGAACCTTTTTGTTATTTGAGTATGTGTAGACTATTTCCCTGAAAGCCCGAGGGTCATGTGTCAGTGTGTGCTCTCTTAGTTTGTGTGGGTTGGTGAAAACCCCTCGACAGTACACACAGAAGTAGTCGCTGAAGGATGTATCAAAGGGGCAGACGTAGGAATTTTCCACTATAGTGACCGTGTTAACGTATGCTTTACAATCCGAATGAGACTTTGATTCCATCTTTTCAGGAGCTGGATCTGTAAACAAGGACAGGATTAAAAGAGTGTAAAATTTGGAGCATATATGAGACTAGAGGCAAAAATGAAATCCCGTTTCCCCCTCGTGGGGCGTGGGGCGAACAGATTTCTGTGAACATTACACTGATCCGTTCTTTTAATGGGCAAAAAGTTAATGAGAATTCTTTGCTCTGCCCAACCCAAACAATTTTTTGTTTTCCTGGGATTCGAACTCAAGACCTCTCGCCCTTTACCACAGGAATCCGTCAAGGGGCAAAGTGAACAAACAACAAAAAAAACGATTGTCAATAAGGAGGAAAATAAAAATGCACAATTAACTTAGACGAATTTATGGGGAAATGGTCAGCTGATAGTGGACGACCCCGTCCTACCAAGGGGTGTCCCCGAAAGAAAATTAATAATAAACTTAGACGATGAATTTGTACTGTTGTTTGTGTAAGAATTATGTTAACAATTTTTGGTCACTGTGCTCTTTTAGATTAACATTTTTAGACATGAAAATTAATATAAAATATAACAAGTCATAAAAATTGCAGTTAGGCTACTCTGTCTCTAGCGGCCTCATATGTTCTTAACTAGCTTTATTTAATAGATTTAAGACATGGAAACTCATTTCATGTGTTAAGGTTGAAATTACATTGCACATGTATAAAGGGATTAAAAGAGTCAGTATGTGTAATCAAAACTTTAATACTATTAATAATTATTATTACTATTTACTATTGTTTTTATTTATTTATTAAATTAAGGACTATCGACATTTATCACAGTTACTGACATATTTGGTTTAACATAACTTTAAATAGGTAGAAAAAAAAACACAAAATTGTGTAATAACAAAACAAATAAAAAAAATTATAGACAGACACAGAGTAATTTGTACAAAAAAAGAAAACATTGGGAACAGTTATTACTAAAATATATAACTATTTACAAATGTATATAAATGGATCTTACATATTATATTTGATAATATATAACATCCATTTATTTCTATAAATGGATGTTACAATACAGTTGTATAGTAAGGATGAGTAAGTTCTAGTAGAAATGTACGAGATTGTCCTAGAAAGAGCTGTATCGAACTGGTGGTATGTTTGGTGGTTCTTATCGACACTTGCCTCTGAGGAGGGTGTTGTTTCATTTACCACTCTCGCCATGTTACAAATAAAATCCCATATTAAAACAAAGAAGACTCACCAACATGTTGCATTTGTTCCAATTTCTCATCCATCCTTTGTATTTCCATGAGCATGTCCTCTGTTACCTCGCTGTCAATTTCCTTGGAGACTTTCCTCTTTTTGAGCTTTTTTCTCTTTTTCAACTGAACCTTAGACTTTGGAATATCTGAAATTTGAACATGTATAGAAATTAGTGGTAGTGCCACATAAAAAAAAACATAACAATCTTAAACATTTAGGATAAGTATTAATATATATATATATATATATATATATATATATATTTGTTGAAGGACAGGTACCAAAGTACAGATATGTTCTTAGATATTTTTTAAGGCAGAAAAGTTTAGGCTCTACGTTCACTTGATAGAAGGTAATAACATCTTAACAAGATGTGATACCTCTATCAAGTGTGCTGTAACCCTATGTCATTCCACATTCGAAGACTAGTGTAAAACTTAAATATGATTTACTTAATCGCTCAACATATCAAGAATTTTCTAACGAAGTCTAACGTGTTACCAAAATATAAATTGTGTAACACGGTGGACCTGGTTACACCCACAACCTATTGATCATTAGCCATACATTACACAAAAAGATGAATAAATAAAAAAATTACCTACAACAAATGAATCCAGAACCCAGAAGTAAGGTTTAATACAAAACAATTTCTGACATAAGACAGAAACATTTTAAACAACAAAAGTATACTTGCCTATAGTATCGTCATTTGAAATGCCATCTTCCTGATAATCTGCAATACTTTCTTCATCAGCTTCTTTCTTTATACTTCCATCTATTTTTACATCACAAAGGTTTTCTGAAAGTTTAAGAACAAAAGAGTTATGTATGATATCTTTATTTTTCATAACTGCACATGAAGGCATTGCTTGTCTGTATTTAAAATGGAATAGTGGAATAACAAACCATTTAGTTGCACGGTGAGTAACTTCTCCTCACATTGTAGGACTTGTTTTCTGAAATTATTTGCCTCTCGCAGTCTTGACACACACATGGCACATATCAAACGATCTTTTGCTTCACCGTCTAATTGTGATAGCTGAAACATTATTATGAATCTGAGTGTCTATCAACAAACACCAAAAATTAAATATTAAGGGTTATTTGAGAATATAGGTCCTGACAAGGTTTGAGAATGTCCTACAATTACATGTGAATGACAATTCAACTCACATTATATTGGTCTTGACTTCCCCTGTAGTGAAATAGTTAAAACTTTAACATCCTGGGGTCTAATCTCACAGGAACAGGGAGGGACGTAAATCTGATCAACTACTTGCCAGTACATAAAACTGATCAGTGACAAACGATGTTTGCCCCATGCCCAACAAGGGGAAACAATATTTCAAACACACATATTGGTCTTGGCCTTTTAAAAATGTAACATATCACTACAGTAATGGCTCTCTAATATTAAAAAGTGACTTTGCTTAAAGAATTTCTCCTCTTTCATAGATCAATTCTGTAGTAGTGTCTAATATTTATACTATCAAGATTATTTACCATAAAGGTGTAAGATATATCAAGGTATAGCAGTCCTGAAGGAATTTAACTGGATCTGAATGTATAAATACTTACGACTAAGCCAAAACAATCTAGAAACATATCGGAATAGATCTCTTTTTGGCCCATATGATTATATTCTACATTGAGAAGGCGACACTTCTTCATCTCATTACAGCATCTACACTGTCCGGGATCGAAGATGGGACCTTTGCTTTTTATGTTTGTATCCATCGTAAATAGTTTAGATGTTAACTTTGCATTGTCAATTACTGCCGACATGATGTTAAGATATTAGAAATTAACTTAAATTCAGTTTTTTTTTTTATATACACTTCTATTGAACGATAAATTTATATTAGATTTTCAAATGGAATTAACAAAATACATTGGTTTAGTACCAAAGTAAACAGTATTCCACAGATATCAGACAGTACTCAAGAACCAAACATTCGCCCACAGCCGGTAATTGACTACAGAATTACCGGGTAGTTCATCTTCATACAAAAAAAAACAGTCTCCCCTTACCACCGCTGCTACAAAGCATCCGAAAGTCGGACCGTAGTTAAAATAATTATCAAATAACTAATATATATCGCATTTTAAACCGCTAAAGTGTTTTGTTTAAATGTGTACTACTCGCGTAAACTGCAGGTAGTAATAAAAAAATCTAATTAATAAATAAGAAAACAAATTATTATTATCATGTTAAGATTATTTTGTATAGTTCATTAAGTAAACAGTAATTAAGATGTTGCACGTTATTACGTTTGCCTTGATTTAGACTTGGCTTAAAGGTCTCGTTACCAGGCCATTAAATATTTAAAAAAATGACTTGATTGATAAATCGATGGAAACTTTAGAGTATAGTCTGTAAATGGTGCGTTATCTGGTCATAGATTCAAAATATTAAACAAGTTTGATATTCTGTGGTTTTCCGCTTTCTCTACTACATCTGTGGCATTGCGGTTTATTGTTGTATTAATGAAATAAACTATGCATAATTTTCAAAGGCGATGTTACGATCTCTGTATAATTGAAATTATTAATAAATTTAATAAGAATATGCCCAAATAAGCTTTCTTACCGACTCCCGTGCTAAATACAGTGCAATATGGCGCAGAAGAAGAACAACGGGCCTATAATTGACCCAGGGCTGTGTCGTTGTTGTAGAGCGATTAAGAAATGCAGAATTCTTACCGCTGAATATAATTGGATGGAAAAGAAAGAAATTTATGCTGATATGGTCATGGACTGCTTCGGCATCGTGGTAAGTATAACACCATTTCCTAACGTTCCTTTAATAAATAGCTAGTGTATAAACAACTATAATAGTAAACAACACCAATTCTAATTGTTTCTATTACAGCTCTCCCATGTAGATGGTGATGAGAAAGAATCTGGTGTGTGTGCGACCTGTGTGGTTCGGTTACGTGACGCCTGTGCGTTTAGACACCAAGTGCTACAATGCGAAGAACTCTTTCTCAGTGCCAAGCTTGAAGATAAAGATGGTAGGTATTTCTGATCTATGCTAACTTACCTGTTAAGATCTGCGATACACTATCTATAGTCTTAGTTTACTTAGGCCTAGTTTATGTAGGATTGTTTACTTTTAGTTTATTTTATGTCATGAAATGACACAATAAAGAAATAATTTTTAATATAACATGTATATTTCATTTGAAGTGGAAGTAAATTTAAATAGAGTACTTCAACTCTGCATCGAAATTTTTCAATTTATTTTCGATTTTTAAATGATATAGTGCCTTCATGTGCAATAATATGTAAAAAATTATAAAGTTTACAAAGGAAGTAAATTTGTAATGTCTATTTTTGGTCCAAAACTTGTGATATCACTGAGAGCCCTAGGACATATGAGGCTGCTAGAGACAGAGTAGCCTACCTGCAATTTTATGACTTGGGTTATTTAAAGTCTATAGTCTAAATATGTTAAATGAAATCTATAAGAGCAGAGTGACTGAAAATTTTAAAATAATTTTTATTCAAATATGTATTAGTACAAATTAATTTTCGCCTAAGTTAATTGTATATTTTTATTTTCTCCTTATTGAAAATTTGTAACTTTTGATATTAGGCCACTCTGCCTCTAGCGGCTTCATATAATCTATATTTGGTTTACTATACCTTGATAATTTGTATTTTTTTCAGAGTCAAAAAAGCTTTCAGACTGCCTGGTAGAATTTGAGCTTAAAACTGAACCTAAGGATGATTCAGCTGAACTCAATTTGAATTCTGACAACTTAGATGACATTATTCGCTTGGATCCACAACTGCCCTTGTTGCCATCAATGTTACCAGCTATACAACCTGAAACTACCGGAATGGGAAATGGTAATTTCTTTAAAATTATATAAGAAATCATACTTTTTTTAGATCATTTAAGGAAGAAACATTCTTTCCTTCATATTTTTTAGGTATCTTAAACCGTTTTTAGCCTACGCCTTGAAAACCCATAAGAAGAAAAAATTTCTCTATTTTTTTTACACATTTTACGCTATATCTTCGATTGTATTGTTCAAAGGGCGTGATGCCTATTGATAGCCTTCCTCGATAAATGGTCTAACCAACACAAACATAATTTTTTAATTCAAACCCATAGTTCCTAAGATACAAACAAACTCTTCAGCTGTCTTTATTAGTATAGATTGAAGACATAAGGCCTGGTGATCAGTTCACATTGTCTGCTACCATTTCACCTATTTCCCCATTACCCCTTTGAGTAGGACATTGGGTTATCCAACTCCCACTAAATCCCCTTTAAACCTTCTGGTTTCTTTGTAAAGTCTTAATATTTGTTCCATTGTTATTTCTTTTATAATATCCTTTGTTATATAGACATTTCCCATGAGTAAATAGAACAATTATATAAAACATTAATTTAAGTTTCATCAAAAGGGATAGTTTTGTAAAAAAATGCTTTATCTTACAGAAGTGAAACCACCTAAGACAGAAGAAGAAATGACTGAAGCGAAGAGTGAAATAGGAAAAATTAATGATTCTGGCAATGATGAAGATGATAATGATGCCGATTATAATGATAATGGAAACTGTTCAGATTCATCATCGAACTCAGATAAGCCCATCAAACGGAAAAAAATTGAAAGGAAAGTCAAAGCAAGCAAAAGTGGTACAAAGAAGAAACTTCAGAAGAAAGTAAAGTCCAAAAAGAAAGGTACACTTTTTAGTATATTATCAATCAACAGGAATGTAAGTACATATGAAATGTCTTTGAGACTTTCACTCTTTGAGACAGTAAAGAGTAATATTCATGTGAATAGATTGAATATTTCTTGTGTTGATTTTCTCATTCTTTTAAGGATAGGATACATCTTTTAATTGACTAGCTGTGTCAGCGACTTCGTCCGCGAGAATCGTTATTTTGGGCATCCAAATTCATTATTGCAAACCCCTTCATCGTTATAAACTTAAGCTGTTACCTATGACGCCGTTCGCGTCCCTTTCCGTCGTTCTTGCAACTTCATCCTAAAACATAGACCAATACCGTCGCGGACGTTTTTAATATCATTTAAAGAGAAATTATTCTATCAAACATATTTTTTGGGTATCTTGAACCGTACGTCTCGAAAACCCATAATGATGAATATTTTTCCCATTACTCGCTGTATCTTCATTTGTATTAGTCACAAGGCTATGCTTTATAACCTATAGCCTTCCTCGATAAATGCTCTATGCCACACAAAAAAAAATTCAATGCAAACCAGTAGTTCCTGATTAGCGCGTTCAAACAAAGAAACTTTTCAGCTATACATTAGTATAGATAAGAATCAATGCAATACTTCATATTTATATGGAAATAAATTTAATTACAGAATCAAAGAAATTGAAGGAGCTGAAGAAACCACCTGTAGAAAAGAAGAATACACATGACCGAGATTTAGATTGTATGTCCGAAGAGAACCTGCTCACAATAATTCAGTATTCATATGTATGTCCATTTAAAAACAGAAGAAATAACTATTACTGCTTCTACTGTAAAGACTACTATCCAAAACCGGAGGATTTACGAGATCACACCGTTTCGCATGACACTAAACCGTTTCAATTACTCATGGGGTACAAAAAAATGCCGAAAATAGACATAACGAGGATCGACTGCCGCCTCTGTCCAGCTAAAATCAACGATTTGGAAACATTCAAACGGCATATAGATCAAGATCATGGGAAGAAGATTTACTTCGAAGCACCGGACAAGATGCTCCTGTACCGTCTCACATGGAATGACTTAGTGTGTGTAATGTGTAGTGATGTGTTTGAAGATTTCAACACACTGAACACCCATATGGTGGAACATTTTAGTAACTTCACATGTGATATCTGTGGTATGTGTTTCCTCGAGAAGGCCAGGTTGGATGCACATCTGAAACGGCATAAGGACGACGAACGCCACACTTGCGAGATATGTGGGAAAGTGTTCAAATCGAACCACTATAAGGACATGCATGTCGATATTGTACATAAGAAGATAGCTATAATCAGGTGTCCGAGATGCGATGAGTGTTTCATGTCATATGCCCTCAAAAATAAACATTTGACAGAAGCGCACGGCCAGAAAAGGACATATCCATGCAATTTATGTGACAAAGTGTACAACAGGCAAAAGACCTTAACGGAACATCAGCGGAGAAACCACCAGAAAGTGTTGAAACATCAATGTGAATACTGCGATCAGAGGTTCTATCTGCCGTCAAGATTAAAGGAGCATATGGCCACACACACTGGGGAGAGGAATTTCAGATGCGAATACTGTGATAAGAGTTACCCGAGGCTGAAGAGCTTGCAATACCACATACGAACGCATTCGAATGACAGACGGTTTAGGTGTCATATATGCGGACAAGCTTTTATACAGAATTCCAGCTTGAAGTCCCATATAAAGGCTCATCATCCGGAGTGTGATATAGAAGGATGTTACTTTTGAATAACAGCTTAACTTACAAGATATGTCTAGTTTTCGCTAACAAATATGTTAATTGTCACACAAAGTGGGTAGCATTGATTATTATTATTTTCTATTGAATTAATTCAATCGATCAGTCCTGTTAGGTGGCACAACTAAGTAACTAAACAATTAATTTTCATTATATAATTATACAATGTTTTTTTGACGGCTACGATAGAACATGAGTGTGTCAAGTGCTGGAAAACAGTCATATTTAAAAACAATGTTATCTAGTCTCGTACACTATAGATATTAATACCGCCTATTTTTTTATATATTTATTTGATCATCTTTTTCAATATAAATATTTCATCACATACTATACCTGAGGGTCGCTGTGATGTTTAAGAGGGTGAGAAAAGGTCAAACCCACAAAAAACGAGCCCGCTAGAGCTAGAGTGGCCTAATAACAAAAAAAAATGCGCAACTAACTTAGGCGAAAATGAATTTGTAATGCAATTGTGTAAGTATTATGTTAACGTTTTTTGGTCACTCTTGCAGATTAACATTTTTAGACTAAAAATTGCAGTTAGGCTACTCTTGACTCTAGTGGCCTCATATTATTTACTAACTTGTATTAGTAGCCATTTAAAAAGGAAAGCAATACTCAGTTTTTTTAATTGATAACCACAAATACCGTTGTAATGTATTGGTGCTTGCCATTTTTTTATATAGAACAAGTATATTTTATATTTGTACTAACTAATCTGTCTGTGTGTAAGACAATATAAGCAAAAATGGTATTGTACATTATTATTTGTATAAGGTTTCTACCTGTGGTGGGCAAACTTTGAGAACCATTTCTCAATAACAAGTGTCAACTTACATTTTTTTCTTATTATTTATTACACAATTGGTTCTAGTAGAACACTATTGTATCTGTGGGTCAAGTAGCATGCCTGGTGGAAAATTTTTACAACTATCATAGTAAATTTTTGTATAAAAGAAGAATCTCGTTAAGGATAGCCACTATTTGAATTAATTTTAGAATAAATTTAAACAAAAACATAACTCCTATAATCAGAAAAGTGAAAAATAATAATTTTAAGATTTTTTACAGAAAGTTCTCGAGGCTTTAATATTTGTATTGTGAAGTATTTTAATTTTTAGTATTAATTTTATAATCAATAACATTTAAGATGTATTATAAACATATTTATTAAGTAAATATAAAAGAATTGCTATCAGTATTTGTATTTCTTTATATACATTAACTACACACATTGAGGGCTAGAGAGGGATGGTCAGGCAAATATGACATGGATAAGAGTGTGGGGAGAAGGGGAATTTTTAATATTGTCACATTTTATGAAGCAATATAGTCTAGACACATATTACCATATTTGACTGTATATTTTTATATAAAGACACATTTAATCAAATAAATAATTATAGATTTGTTTTTATTGCATAAGTTGGGGTTACATTCAAGTTAACGGAATCTCTGAAATGGGACCAGCCATGAAAGAAAACATATATAACATAGCTTCTTTCATGCCATCTTGTGATAGGTCTCTTAGTACTGTCCTGTAGGTCACGCGAGTAGTAGACACCGCGAAGAAGCGATATATATTAGTTACACTTACTTGAACATTATTTTAACTAAGTCCCGACGTTTCGGATGTTTTGCAGCAGCTGTGGTCACGGGGAGACTAAAGATGGAGGGTGTCTCTGACGCCAAAGTAAAAAACTGCTACGATAGCGCCATGCGTCTAGTTTAGCCAAATACCAACTTCGACGTAACAGATGGCGCTAGCGTAACGTTCGAAACGTCGGGCCGTAGTCAAAATAATTTTCAAATATGTTAAACTAATATATATCGCGTTTTATTAAAAGGTCCCTTAGTGTTGGTTATAGCATGTACAAAAACTATTGCTCCTTATTTCTATAAACTAATTTAAACCCATTTCGTTTACATAATCAGCATGATGTGACCGCATGTGACCTTTTAAACTGCAGTTCTGTACAAAACCCTGACCACAGACCGCACACACATACCTCCTGTCATTCGTATGTATCCGCATATGCTCCTTCAACGTTTTCTTCCGGGCATATGCCTTTTTACACACAGTACACTGATAGGTCCGTTCACCAACATGCTTGATCATGTGCACTTTTAACTCAGTTGTCGTATAACACTTATAACTACACATTTTGCATTCAATATTCTTCACTTCCAGGTGCCGTCTTCTCACATGACACAATAAAGCATACCGTCTCTTGAAAACCGCATCGCAAACGTTGCATTTATACTCTAGCGGGGGTTCCCCGTGAACCTCCACCATGTGCTTGTGTTTGTTGAAGTAATCTGCGAATCTAGCTGGACACTTTGTGCACTTATTCTTCTTGACAGAACGGTGAACAGCATCAACATGACAGTTGTACTTGTGCTGAGACGGGAAGACCTTCTTGCAGGTATCACACGGGAAAGCCCCAGTACTGTGTGAATACCTCCAGTGGACTTTTAACCGGCTCTTCGTCATGTAACCAGCTCCACATTGGTCGCAGACATAATTTCTGTAATGGGTGTTCATATGTCGTTCTATAGATCCGAATGTTTCGAAGCTGAAGCCACATATTTGACAGTGGAACTCATTTCCTTTTATAAGTTTGAAGGGTACAACGCGATCGTTGCCTTGAGGGTAGAATTTTTTTTTGTGTACCGTCATTAAGTGCGTTTTTAAACTATTATACTCCAATTCAGTGTCGCATATAGTACATTTTAATTCCGTAATATGGGAATATATAACTAAACTCTCCGCGCAGCGTTTGTTGAGTATTTTGTTCATGGTCTCCTTGCAGTTTTCCGTGTCTTGGTGAATGTGAAGATCTAAGAAGCTGTCGACAGTTTTTGAACAGTAAAAACAGAGGATTCCCGCTCGCCTCATCCGTTTGAACGGAGCCATGTTGGTGTTTTGCAAAAGTTCTGTGATGTTGTTTACTAGAGCTGATTTTTCTGTTAGATAGATGGACGAGCACTTTTTTTGTTTATGAAAAAGCAAGTTAAGCGCAGCAGCTGTAATTTTCTTTCCTGAAATTAGAACAGCTGTTTCAGATAACAAATTGATCTGCATACAAAGCTAAAATGTGCTAAATCTTAAATAACCACTATATTTAGTATAAATAACAAGCACAAAGAAGTTAAATTAATTTTGAATTTTAAACTATTAAAACCATCTATTTCTTATGTAAAGCGTTCTTTGTTACATACTGTATACAATTGTATACTGAACTCAATACATATTGTATACAATTACAATGAACAAAGAAAAAATAATATCTATAAACTATGAAGTGTATGATGTATAATGGGTGGTCTTATCGCTATTAAGCTATCTCTTCCAGGCAACACATCTTAGGAAAATAATGTAAAACACATTAAATAAGAGGAATGTGCAGGAGGTGCAAAACTTAAAATGTAAATAATTTGACATTTTATTTATTATTCAAAATCTTTTGAAAGTTGGAACATGTTATAGGTAGATGTTTATAAAGAAGGTATTATGTGCGCTTACTATATTGAATGACTTAAATGTACCTTTTAACGAGTCCAAATGTTTTGCATAGTTACAGCACGTATTGTAAATGGTGGCACGAGTCGGTAAAGGTTTTAAGGTTTCTTTTGAAAACCTTGATATTAATTCAGCCTCTCCTTTTACCAGTTCATCTTCACTGTCTAATGCTGGAAACACAATTACTCGGAATCATTTATTTTCTCTTAGCTCAACAAAATTATGGAAAAATAATGTGTAGTGTCTGAAGTCTATTTTCGTTAAAGACATTTAAATAAAACTCTTTTAGACATGACTAAGCGATCATGGCTGATGGAAACCACACAAGACATTGGTCTCAATTAAAATAACTAATTAAAATATAATAGGCGAAATGTTTTTTTTTTGTATACATTAAGACCGGTGATTCCCATATTGGTCTATATTCTACACACACCTAGGGGTCTATGACAACCTGCAAGGGGTCACGTCAGCAACAAAAAATGTGAAATGAAATAGTGAATCTCAACACATACACTCATAGTTCCTATTTACTTACTATCGTATAATATCAAAAATATACATTATTTAAAAAACTATGAAGTTAAAAATGTATTATATATGTTTACGAAATTGTGTAAGTTGCGTCTACACTAAACTTCACTACAGTTAAAAATTTACAAGATATCAATATTAGGTATCTATAGTAGTATTAGTCTACCCAAAATGTAAAAACATGCAAGGGGTCTACGACACAAAGAAGTTTAAGGAACTCTGATTTAGACAAAGGTAATTTTTATAAAAAATTATATAAATGTCAACATCATGTTGTCTACAAATTGAAATTACCCCATCCAATGAATGGGCTATGCCTAATGTGTTTTAGACCTGCTGTTGTCTATTCCTCAGTATGTCTATGTTAAAAATAACTTACTTAAACTATATTCCGTATTGAAATCAGGATCTGACGAGTATTCATCTTCTGATTTTACTTTGTCCTCTATTTTTACCTCGTATAAACAATCTGTTGGCTTTGTCCATTTATCATTTACTGAAAAGTAAAGAATATCTTTATTAGACATCTATTTATAGTTGTATTATAACAATGGATCAAGTTTAGTCTAAGAATAACTATATATTTAATAAATCACATAAGGCTTTTGCAGCCATCGTTCTGCATATCATTGTCTTTCAGGCTGTTCATAATTCTTCGAGCAATCAAGGAGTTAACATCTCTTGATGATGCCGTCCGCATGTGATGGCCAAACGTAGAATACCATGTTCTCATTCACGTCGGCCAACAACCCGAAAGACAATGATATGCTATATATATAATATTTAATCAAATAGCTGAAAATGACTGCTCAGTAAGCTGTATAAACGTTTTAGTTATAAAAAGAATACTGTTCTTAGGTGCCATTAAAATATGTACTTTCTATTGTTTCTAAATTTATGGGTTAACATTAAAAAAGAAATACATACGGTTTACGAAGAATGGTTCCCGCTCAGAAATCTCGAGCAAATCTTGTTCAGCTTTGACAACCATAGCCCGAAAGTTTTTTGCATCTTCTAATTGTTTTATACAAGCTAAACAAATGAGTTTGCTTTGATCTGATGCAATGCAAAGCTGAAAACAAGGTTTTACCACATATTTATTAACATTAATAGTACATAACAGACATTAATAAATAAATAACAATATTGTATATTAGTGTTTCTTTCGTATTTTTCTTATGATTATTATACCAGTATTGAACTTAATTTAATATGATTGTATCACTCCTTTCTATACTTACATATAAATTAAAGCATTCTTGAAAAATATCAAAATAAACTTCACGTAGACCATTAAGATTATATTCCGTCATTAAATCCCTGTGAAAGCCTTCGGAGTGGCAAAACCTACACTTTCCAAAGGTGTTGTATTTATCTAAATCCATTTTGATTAGACAACAATTAGAAAAGAAACATATTCATTTATAATATTATTTATTTAGTAACGTAACTTGTTTTACTATTATCTTTCAACAAATCACACAGCATGACAGCATTGCTAAGGCTTGACAGGTTATAACCACAGATATAACAAAAAATAACTAACTTACTATTGTGTATTTGACAGCTGTCATTCTATTGACGTTTAATACAAAGATTTGGCGCCAATTGAAGCCATTTTTTATCGTAAGTAGGATTGTAGCGGTGCGATATTTATTTTATAATATAAATAAATAAAGGAATTGGAAATAGTAACTCTTAATAGAATGCGGAACGTCGAAATTAAGGCTCGTGTACGCAATATGGAGGGAATCTGTAGACTCGCTGAAGAGTTAAGTGGCGGGCCACATAAATTAATTAAACAAGATGATACGTTTTATAAAGTACGAAACGGACGTTTGAAGCTCCGTATATACGAAGACTCATCAGCTACTCTGGTCCGATACGATAGAAGTGATGAGGGTGGTCCGAAACTTAGCGATTACGATCTGTTAGAATTTTCTACTGAAGAGAATGGAAAAGCTATGAAACTGGATAAAATGCTAAAACAATGTTTGGGTGAGCGTGGCCGTGTTGTTAAAGACCGGTAAGCAAATACTGTAAATCATTTCAGTTAATCCGAGATGTGATTTCAACCACCACGAATTTTTTGCAACACCGGGGTCCTTGGAGGCTAAGTCAGTAACTTTGTATTATATATTATTTGTAATTAGAATTACTTGATTCTAACTGGTTACTCAGACGATTGCTAAATTAAAATAGGATAAAAATTGATGTACTGAAAAATTTATTATTGTTTACATGTATATTATGCACATGAAGGGACTATATAATTTCAAAATTGAAAATAAATTTTTAACCATGAGGCGTAGGACTCGGTAGCTCAATTGGCAGAACAACAGCACTGAAAAGGAATGTTGACAATGCCGGTTCATTTCCTGCCCGTGTCGATTTTTTTGTAAATTTAATTTTGATTTTTTTTATTTATTTTTTAATTAATGTACTTTCATATTTAAATTGTTAATCATTTCAGTAAGCTCTACATGGTTGGACAAACAAGAATCCATATAGATTCTGTTAAAAATCTTGGAGATTTTATGGAGTTGGAGGTGGTGCTAGATGAAAGCCAGACATTAGAAGAAGGTCAAAAGATCGCAAGAGACCTTCAAACAAAGCTCGGGGTTGCTGATGAAGATTTGATTGAGTGTGCTTATATGGATTTATTAGAGAAATAATTATTAACATTCCTTAACCATGCTTTACAAATATTTAATGTTATATGTTAATATAATATATTCATTTAAAATAGTATATTAACATATGTAGTGAATATTTGAGGGTAGAATGTAATTATTTTAAAAACATAAGACTACCTTCTGATTAAGAATTAGAATTGTAATAAGTTTGTGATACCTACAAGGCATTTATTTGTATATTAATAAAATGTTTAAAACGATTTGACAGTTTGATTCTCCAACCCATTTGATAGCCTATCCTTTACTGATTTCCTAATTTTTCCATAGGATTCTGTTGTGAAAGTCAAGACAATATTAAAATTTTTGCGGGCGCTAAAAATCGAAAATCTACCCTTATGCTTATTAAAACAATATGTTGAGTGGTAAGAACATCGCCATCCACAGATGAACCGTGAAGATTAATCGCGTTTCGGTTTCAGTCTGTGAATTCTCGAATATTCAAAGCCAAAATAGGTCGATAGCACATCTTGTTTAGATATTATCTGGGGTATTTCACCTCCCATCAATTGAACCCTATGATTATCTGTCTTGCTTTATCATAAAAAAATTGTATACCAGTGACGATGACAGCTGATACATGTCAAAGATTGTAAAACTACTTGTCATTGTCAAATTAATAAATATGTATTAAGAAATAAAAATTGAAATATCTACGGAATTGTAGCCCTACTTTGTTTTTCTTCTAATCATTAATTAAAATTACGAAATATGGAGAACACAACCGTATATGGCGAATGTAGATGTTGCCTTGAAGCCGGTTACCATCAAAACATGTTAAAAGAATATAACTTTAAAAACGAGAGAGAAAAGTACATTGATATGTTTCTAGACTGCTTCAATTTGTATGTGAGTAAACAAAGATTGGCTTTTTTAACCCGTTTAATTTGCTTAATATTATATTAATAAGTGTTTATAAAGAAACAACCGAGTAACACTAAAAAATTAAGCACGTACATTCTATTTAAATACACCACTTCAACGGTTTAAAACGCAATATATTTTAGTTAAACTTATTTGATAATATTAATAACTCTGCCCCGACGTTTCGGATGCTTCGCAGCAGCCTTAGTGACGGGGGACTAATATATATCGCGTTTTAAACCGTTCAATTGTTTTATTTAAATGTGTACTATAGGTGTAAACTACAGATGTACAGACTAAGTGAAATAAAAGGTTAACGCAATTCGTGCATAGGTAACCAGTTTAATGTGGGACCATATGTCATAGCCACTCAGATGTGGTTACTAAAGCATATATTTAATAGTGTATAATCCTTAATAACAAGTCAAGTGGTATTGTTTCTTAAAACGGTGTGTTTTTTTCTAGTGTATGCAATTATATGCAATCTGGCCACAACAAATTGTGGTGTTTTCCAATATTCATGATTTATTTTTTATGCATTATTCCTCATACAAGCATTAGAGGTCCTTTTGTGTCCTGACTGACTAAATCTATCACGTTTCATTATGTTATCATAATAGGAGTAATTCTTTATGTTAAAGTGCAAACATAGAACAAGTAATCTATTTACTGACTGATATGTATTATAAATCTTTAACTAAATAATATCTATTAGTGTTTGAGAGTAGTACACATTTAAATAAACACTTTACGGTTGAAAAGGGATATATTAGATGGAAGAAGTAATCCGATTTTGCAAGAAAACTGGGAGGTTTGAGGTGACACAGAGTTTGAATAACCCAGACTCTTCTGTAGGGAGGTAATTGTTTAATAGTAGTTGATAGTGTGGACTGTTCACTACCTTTCTCGGTTTTACAAAATAATACAGAAACTGGAAGATCTGAAGTGGACACAATGAGAGTCTAACTCTATAATTTATATATAGATAACCCAAAGAACTCCATTGGGAGAAAATGGGTGAAATGGTTAGCAGAAAATGTAGACTAATCAGAATGGAAGCACAACCATTTATCCTTAATTGACAGTAGTTTAGTTACAAAACTATATATTTTTAATAATATCTCATATTTTCAGCTTTCAACAAATAATGATTTGAGTCACCTCATTTGCTCATCATGTGTTGTGGAACTTCGGAGAGCAAATAAATTTAAAACTATGGTTATAAACAATGAACAAAAATTAATAACAATGAAATCTAACAAGGATAATACATTATATCTTCACTGTAAGTTGATATTCTTTAAGCTCATAACTAAAAATAAATTTTAAGTTGAAAATATTCACGACAGATGACGAAGCGAAGACGCCCTGTTTTTCTAACAAATTTAGGTCCTACATGTCATCTTTGAATTTTTTCAACCTATTGATACAGCACCTCTTGCAGATTCTTTAAGCTTTAAAAAAACACTAGAAATGTGAATAAACCCCACTTTTGCTCATTCAAAGTAATCTTTAAAAAAGTCACCCCTAAATAATCTGTATATTTCTAGTTATTTTATAAAAAAAAATTATTATTTCTAGTTATTTATATATTTTTTTATAACAGGGGAGAATAGATAAGCATTTGATGAACTGTAAAATACTCATAAAACATTCATTTGATATTCAGATTTTAATTTTTCTTTGTAAGATCTACAATGGAATTAACTTTATAATGAATCTAAAATATACGGAACATATGTATACAGTGTGTATACAGAAGTTGGGCAGGATTGTACTAAGAATATGTCCAAAATTTCATCCAATTTAAAGTGTGGGAATAAATAAAAACATCTCATTAGACACAGTCAGTGTGGTAAAAAAACTTGTATGCTATATGTGTTGTATTAAAAAATTTGTGCAATAATATTTTTTGTATTTTGGACATCGTTTTATAACCATTTGTATGTACATTTTAGTGTAAATAGTCAGGTGGGCTATATACGAATGTCAGAGATTTTCATATACTAATTATTATCTTTCAGTACCAAGGAGTTTAGAAATGGAGGTAGATATAAAAATGGAGTCACAAGAAATCAAGGCTGAACCAATAACAGATAATGGAGACATTTTAAACAATAACGACTCAGATTATAGCATTCACAATGAAAATGGTAAATTTTTGAAAGCACAAAGTTTAAGCGAGTAGTACACATTTAAATAAAACACTTCAAACTACTTTGAAAATTATTTTAACTACGTCCCGTTGTTTCGGACGCTCAGCGGCAGCCGTGGTCACGAGAAGACAGGGCTTTACTAATTTTATACATAGTACGTTTAACTATTATCATACGTTTTTTATTTAGACATAACTTATTGTATCTCATATTTGCCTTTCTAAGATTACGGTTTAGAAATTACAATAATCATTGTAAAATTAAACTGCTAGTTGTATTATAAACTATACACTGATTATTAAATTTGTTCACTGTGGTTAGTTGTGCCTAGCATTTAGTTAAGCACGAAAGTCCAACTGGGGAAAACAGTTTTTCACTATTATAATCGCTATATGACTTTTTATATCACTTGTTTTTGCAGATTTCGATGAAACCAGCAAAGACAGTATGATAGAGGGCGAGACGGATATCATAGCTCGATTTCCGAATGTGATAAAACTACCCACACGGGACACCCTATATAACAATGGTTGCGCAGGTTATGTGAAACAGTTGGATTTGATTCGAGGTAATTTGAAAAATTAATATACATTGAAATTAACGATGACTGTTTAAAAAAACGTCAAAATAAATCATAATCAATCAAAGATATGTGAATATAAATTTAGGATCTATAGAGTCAAATAAATGTAATGTCCCTAAGTTTTGTCAAATGTGGGTAGTTTTGGGGTTGTTTTATATAACGGCTACTTTAGTGTGCATTGCTTTTATTTTTATTTAATTAACTTAATCACTCTAAACTAATTTGTTTTTAATTGATTAATAAAATTAGCATTATTCTCACAGGTAAGATCATTCTACCAAAAATGATAGAGGACATCTTGAAAGAATCCGAGAGACACACAGGGAAGAAAATATACATCACAGAGAAAATCGCACAGATTCTAAACACGTCGACCATATTGGAAAATTCCAATGTAACCCCCTTCAAAAGTCGAAACCGATCCGGTTTCCCTTGCTTCTTCTGCAGGAGCATTCATGAAGACCTCCAAGGCTTACAAAATCATCAACGTAAACTACATACAAAAACAGACATCAAAAAGTCGCTCAGTACGTATGGCGCTGAATGTCTAGTCGTATATGTCGATATAACAGACCTAAAGTGTACTCAATGCGATCTGAAAATACCAAATTTGAACGAGCTAAAAACGCACCTAACGAGGGTACACAAGAAAAAGTTCCACCCGGAAATAACGGATCGCATCATACCGTTCAAACTGTCTCAGGACAACGAGAACAAGTACGAGTGTCAGATTTGCGGCTTTACTTTCGAGACCTTCGGCTCCATAGAGCGGCACATGAACGTCCACTTCCGAAATTACGTGTGCAAGGACTGCGGCACCGGCTTCGTCACCAAGTACCGGCTGAAGGTCCACACGAAGAGCATGCACGTCGGCGGCACGTACCCATGCGAAATATGCAAGAAGATCTTTACGACGCAGCAGAAGCATAAGAACCACGTTGACACCGTCCACAAGTTGGTCAAGAGGTTCAAATGTCCGCACTGTCCGGAACGTTTCTCGGAATACTTTAGACGCCAGAAGCACATAGTTGAGATACACGATGGCACACCGTTGCAGTACAAATGTAATGTTTGCGATAAGTCTTTCGACAGACGGTATACCCTATCCAGGCATATGAAACGGGACCACCTGGAGGAAAGGGATTACCAGTGCCAGTTGTGCGCGTATAAGTGTTTTACCAAGAACGAGTTGAGGGTTCACATGGTGAAGCATACTGGGGAGAGAATCTTCGAATGCTCGATCTGTCATAAGGCATATGCCAGGAAAAAGACGCTCAGGGAGCATATGCGGATACACAACAACGATAGGCGGTTCGCGTGCGCTGTATGTGGTCAGGCGTTTGTGCAGAAGTGCAGTTTGAAAGGACATGTCAAGACCCACCATGCTGATTATCATTTGCCTATTTAATGGCGTAGTGGACTTTGCTGTATGTTGGACGCTAAAGGCAGACAAACTAATTGCATCGGAATATGAACTTCCAATATGCGATAAAACAATCATGTCACCCCCCCTAACCAAGAATTCTTCATCACCACAAATTGGTGATTATGATGAAGTAAATATCATCAAGTATAAAACTCGTGAGGTTACACAAGAGTACGCAGTCTCGAATATATTTCTAATAAAATGTGAAAGATTGGATTTTAACGTTTTATTAAAGCAATGGTGGGCAACATGTTGAATTAGAAAATTTTGTTTTTGCAAACCTCCTCCTTGTGTTAATAACTTATGTTTTCCACTAGATCGGTCGTGCCCCGTCGTTCTGCAAGTTAATCAATAAACACAATATAGACATGCTGTCAGACATTTTTTTAGATTTTCAAAAGAGGAATCATTCTTTTATAGACATTTGTGGGTATTCTTAACCGGTTTCACAGCGTACGCAGGGACGTCCACACGTGATGGCGAAACGTCGAGAACCTCTTCTCGCTCACATCGGCCGAACAGCCCGAAAGACGAATGATATACGGAGTGACTGCTATTTTTTATGATAAGGAAGAGAGACAAGCGTGGGGCTCCCTTGATGGTAAGTTAAATAGGCTAGCCATATAACATCTAAACAAGATCAACATTTTTATAGGTGAAGCCTTCCAGGGAGGACTGTATTAAATCCTAGATATTCTGGCCCAATAAACTAGGAATAATAAAAAAACGACTTATTAATTGACGACGCCTGTCTCACGGCCGGGGATCCTTCTTTCTTGCTTTTTTGTCGTAAAAAACTCGGGTCGACCCTTCCCGTACACCGAATCGTTTTATAAGCAATTCGAACCTCGTGCGTATTCCTCGTCATCATACCGAAACGAAAGGACAATATAAAAGAAAGAGGATAGCAGTCTATGAAGCCAGAACACCTTCTAAACTCTATTTTAAATTATTTAACATTTAAATAAAACACAGTTTGTAAATATGATATTCTTTTAATCTTTACGCCTAACAGGTAGGTATATGTTAAAGGAATCAACGTGAAATACAAAATCATACCTACTTTTTTCTATTGCAAAAATTTTCGCCATGTCACTACCACAGATTAAACAAAGTCATTAAATACAAAATAATATAACAATTGCGATTATTAGTTCGATATGCGATGTAAATAGCTTTACACAGATGTAATTTAACAAGGTTATGCCACTCATAATGCTTTTAATTTAAATGAAATATTAAAAAAAACTTATATACTCTATCATTGTCAAGCTCAGTAGAAAAATTTTCTCGCCATTTTGACTTGTCTTTAACTTCTATAGATACACAAAAATTCATCTAAGTCGTTCTGGAAGATAAAAAAACTAACATCGAGTTTGGGTATAAAATATTCACATTGCATACCGAACTCCATCTTAACAACTGTAAACTATGATTTACAACAATAAACATATCTTAAACTAAATAAATTACATAGAAAATTTGGTACAAGACATCCAATCAATGGATAGAATTATAAATAAGTGGGTGGGAGTAGGGGGTAAACGGCACTTGGTGTGGGGCGTTTTTAACATGGACCTAAAATCGATTTATATAATTTCAGTTCGAAATGGCCGACTTATAAAGATTACAAAGTTAGAAACTTAATGGTACATGAGTATGTGTTACTTATAGCCTGTGCTCTAAATCTTAACTTAAAAATAAAATAATACTCTTAAAAGAGCGCGCTATCACCGTACAGTGTTAATTTGATTTAGAAACATAGCTAGCGATACAATCATATCTCAAAACAACAAAAATTTGATTCAATACAATGACTGAAGATACACCGCAGTCTTCCGGCTCGAAGGACCTATTGATCCTTCGAGTCGGATGACCCTTGTTTTTTTATAATTCCTTATTTATAGAATGTAAATATCAATAGTGACAACGCGCCTTATATTTCTCGCTGAGTGAGCCTTACGCAACGCAATTTAAACATATCTTTTGTAAATAAATGGAACCGTTAAATAAGGAAAGTGATACCATCAGAAGCCTTACTCTATTATTGATAATATATTTTCTCTATAAAAAGTCGGGGCAAAACGAAATATTTCTGAATTATGTTCTTAAGACCTTTAGTATTAAATTAAGAGATTGTTATATCTTCAGGAACAGTGAAGTTACAATAACTTATCTAGATTACATCTAAGTGACGGTTTTCATGTATTTTGACAGTTACGATAACTTATTCTATCAGATATATCTTTATAAATAAGTTTTAAATTTTCCATTTAGTGTCTATACTAAAATATACTGTTTTTTAGATATTTGCAAAATCTACTTACATATAACGCAGTCGTGAAACTTTTCTCTAGATTTCTTTGTCGGATCTCATGATCATGGTACAATTTTACAAGCGCAGTCTAAAAACACTTTATGAATTCTTATTATAGAATGGAAATAAGCCCAGACGCACACTGAAAGGGGGTGGGGGTGGGGAGGTTTGAAATTTTTAACAAGTTTGATCGGCTCGTAATAGCAAAGGGTAGATTTTAAATATCTAAACACAAAATAGTTAAATGCGCGTCCCAATTGCTTGTTTCATATTTCCCATGTTTGTATGTGATGTCATAAGAACATATAATTGTAAAATTATACCATAAAGTTTGTCACAGATCTCCTATCGCTATCTTGCTCTATGTTCTTTGATTAAAGCGAGACAAAACTAGCCATTTCGCATTTAGTCTTTAAATAGATTTTCTATATAACTACATAGATACTTTTACAAAACATTAAATAGACGATATTGGTCAAGTTATTTACAATTTTATGTCAAATGTTAGTAGTCTTATATTAACTTAAATAAAACAATAATAATACAAAAGTAGATTCAAAAGAAATTCGTCGATTACATATTTTTAACTTTTGATTACTGATCTTTATAAAAAAAAATAATTAATTCATTAACGTCCAACTACCTACACTTCTCAGTAAAGAATTTAATTAGAAAACAGGATACATATGTACCCAGATAAATAAAAATTATTTTATAGGGCATGTGTTATTTACACGATACTTTTAAATTACGTTTATAATACATTTAGTACGCGATGTATAGAAAGAAAATTCTAAAATAAGAAACATGAAAAAAATAAATTTGAACCAAAAATGTATGAAGGCTTTTTAATATAAATACCAAACTATCGTGTATTTCTAGCGGACAATCCACCGTTGCAATAATTTGGATCTATTTAATTGTATATAATTATATGTACATACACGTATTGCACATAACCCTAACACAATGTATCGCCCGCAAACAAGATGGCGGGTAGTTAGAGTTTTTATAGATCTATTTAGAACGCCATCTTGAATTTAGATAGACACAGACTAAAGAGGAAGTCACCACAGACAATAAATAGTGCAGAATATTATCACGTCTCGTCCTTATCGCGTTTCGCGGCTATGATTGTCAGGTCCGGTCGGGTTTTCATTAGTTGCGATGGTGATGGTGTATTATCACCACCGCGAAGTGATTCTATACTGGCTACACGGATTGACGGCCAGGCGCTGCCTAAAATGGAATGTTAAAAGATTAAAGGTGATTTCAGGAATTAATAATCAAATATAAATTGAAATAAATTAAGACGAGGGTAGGACTTGCATCGGCATCCACAGTGTTCCGTGCCGTTGTCCTATTCAATTGAGCTGCCATGTTCTACCTATTTAATGCAACTCTGGCGCAATTTTTAATCGATTTTAAATTTTTATAGTGCAAAAAATATAAAACTTTATAAAGGTATGTCACAATTTTGTAAGAAACAAGGGACATTTAACGGTTTGAAACGCACAATATTTAATCTTTACTTTTAATCCCTAATGGTGAGTTACCTTGGATTTAAGCGGACATAGGAAATTAAACCTCAACTTAAAAGTGTTAAGGTTGAAATTACAGGTATGTATTGCCTTACTCTTTCACTTAATGATATATTGATACTTAGGTATACCTTTTCTCATATATGAAAAAGGTTTAATGTTAATTTAACAAACATAAAATATATATTATTGTCTCTCCCTTAATAATAGAATTACAATTAAATAAAACACTTTAACGGTTTAAAACGCGATATATTAGTTAAACTGATTTGAAAATGATTTTTAACTTCGGCCCGACGTTTCGGCTGCTGCAAATCAGTTTAACTAATATATCGCGTTTTAAACCGTTAGTGTTTTATTTAAATGTGTACTACTCGCGTACACTATAGACAGTATTTAATAGAATTACAAATTGTATTGAGATTAATAAACTTGTTAATTTTTTGGTCCCAGATGGCGACACTGTACCTAATTAGTAGAAAGCTTTCTGTGTGAAATAAAATTATATAACTTACTTTGTGTAGCTTGGGGCGAAGTGAATTGGTTATCAAAACTCGAATTCATCAAAGACAAGTCTTCCTCCATGTTGGTAGTTACTTTTCTTGCCTAAATATAAAAAATGAGATTTATAATCTTTGAAAATATTCGTATACAAATCCTTCTAACATTCAAAACTTTAAATTCAAAAATCTGACTTTGTATATGCATTAACTGTAAAAAATAACATGTGTAAATTAAATAATATTTTTCACATCATATATGTACGAGCAAAATTTACATTTTTTATATCTAAGAGTGCGCTCAGTCTTATGTATGTCTAGGGATTGATTACATTTAAATATTAAATTCGGACATTAATACCAATAATAAAAATTTGTCTGAGTGTCACCATGTGGAGAAACATGTGAAAAATATCAATGTTTTTGAACAAAAACTTTTCAGATAATCCTAAATCTTTTTAGTACCTTATTTGTTTCCTTCTTTAAGTATGATCGTGGTCTGTTTTTCTGATTCTGATCGAGTACCGCTTCAGGTTCGGTTCCTGTAACATAAAGAAATACAAATGTATGTGGTTGGCCTGTACTGAACATCTAAATAATAAATTTAACTAAATTAATTTTAACTTCCACCCGACATTTGGATACCCCCCCCCCGCGACTACTGCTGAAAAGCATTCAAAATGTCGGGCTGTGAAGTGAAACCCTATTTCCCCCTGTAGGAACACATTTCTGTGTCCGTTGTTTTACACTCAAGTAGTTGATCAGACTTCTGTGCCCTCCCGATCAAAAAAAATACTGTTTCCCTGGATTCGAAACGTCGGGCCATAGTTACGATAAATTAAAACGTCACAAGTGTTTTGTTTAAATGTGTACTGCTCGCGTAAACTGCAGACAATTTAATCTATTTAAATCTCGCTTACCACTCTCAACGTCCCTCTTCTTCGGAGATGGTTCCGGCATATATGAAGGCAAGATGAGAGGCATTGGACCTGCACATGATATTTTTTTTTACATACATAGTTTATTAGTACAGTGACGAGAAACAAAATGACAAAAAAAAACAAATAAAAACTACTGTCAGTTATTATGTTTAAAATCCCGTTTTACATAAGTGGGACATGGGGCAGACATATCCCTGTATCTACTCCTCCCTATGCATTTTACCATATTTACATTCTTGGTACTACTTGTTATCTTACTTTACTGGTTTAGTTGTGAGTTTTTTTATTACTCATCTTAGTTACTTTTTTCGGTTAATAAACTGATTATTATTATTAACAGTGACAGACACAGAAGTGTGTCTGTCCTATGTCTGACGTTAGGGAAACAAAGTTTACACATACTTTTTTCCATGATAGAGGAGGGCAGATAAGCATTGAGATTACTTGATGGTAGGCAAAACACACCGGCCATATAACATCTATAGTGTATTTTTTCTAACTTGGAATTTTTGGTAAACAAACACACAATTTGCAAGAAGTCGTGATTTCCTCTCAATTTCACACTAAAAACACTTTGAGATACTAAATTATATATTAAACTAATAAACTATGTCAAATTCACTTAGTAAAAACCACAATTTAATGCTAAAATTAATAATTATCCTAAAAACGAATTTACGTAAAAGGACAGATTCAAATTTCTTTATTGTGCCATTTACGTAAAGATGAAATGTATACAAAGTCAACGATAATAGAAGGTAGTCCTAGTCATGCGTTATCGCTGAGAAGAGTTACATAATAACCACATAAAAATAAAAAAGGTCATACAAATGATTTTGCATATTAAGATATTTCTTTATACCTGTATCAACAACTTCATTCTATAAAAGATCTTCACTAGTTCTCTATGGTTTCAAATCGTCCATATTTGTTGTGGTCTTTTGCCAAGTTAGAAAAAACACACAATAAACAAGATTCACTGCCGATTTTGGCTTTGATACTAACTTTTTTCGTCTAATATGGGGCTCCCATCTGCAACATAGGCAGCCAACTTGGACGGATTGACTCCCAACGCCAGTGCAGCTGCTTCCAGGCCTATCTCACCTCGCTGAACTCGATCTAGAATTTCCGATGGTCCCTTCGCCTGCCAGAAGTCACGCGCGGTCCTGAAATTTATATGACAATTTGAATCATACTGTCTATAGTTTACGCGAGTAGTACACATTTAAATAAAACACCTTAACGGTTTAAAACGCGATATATTAGTTAAACTTATTTAAAAATGATTTTAGCTTCGGCCCGACGATTCGGATGCTTTGCAGCGGACGTGGTCACGGGGAGACTAAAGATGGAGGATGTCTCTGACGTCAAAGTAAAAAATTGCTACACTAGCACCATCTGCTCCGTCTAAGTTGGTATTTGGCGAAACTGGCCGGGTCCTTACAGAATTAACTAACGGTGTCTTCGCGTTTACCGGTATGAACTCTGAATCCCAATAAACAACATACCGGCAAATGCGAAGACACCGTTAAAGTGTTTTGTTTAAATTTGAATGATTATAATTCACAAGTCATGTAACAACCTTTACGACATTTGTCAACGAATAGTACAAATACGGCCTGTACTTTACGCGAGCACTACACATTTAAATAAAACACTTTGAAGGGTTTAAAACGCGATATATACGATATTCGCACCCGGCCAGCTTCGTCAAACAGATGGCGCTAGCGAAGCGTTTTTACTTTGATATTACGGTTACCCCCTCTATTTTTAGTCTCCTCGTGACTACGACCATTGCAAAGCACTCGTTACGTCATAGATAATAATTGTAAACTTGTCTAATACTTCTCGCATTTTTAACATCGTAAACTACAGACAAGACAATATTAATGTGATGAAATTTTTCTTTAACGATTTCTTACGCTTTACGCTGAAAAATATAGGTCCTTTTCAAATTTTTATTATTTCATTAAGCAATATTTTTTTTCAGACACACGAAAACGCTATTATACTTACATAATATGAAACACCCCCCCCTGATTGTGTTGATAGTTTGACAGTCAGATAAGTAGAGTATAATAATAAATAAGTATAGGAAAATCTATTTGTAGTTAGTTAAATGTTTTCTTTTTTACTTATAATTTTTATTAATATATTTTAAGAAATTATTGTGTAATTTATTTATTTTTCTATTCGTCTATGTATTATTTACCTAATATTGTTCTTGTAGTGGTAGTAAAGTATGGCTAAAATACAGTGTTCGATCCCCACCGTGTCTAAATTCTAATCAATGTATGTTTTTTCTGAAACATGTCGGACTACATCTGGAAATCTAAGTACTAAATGGATGATAGGAATATCTAAATTCTGCCTATACGTATAGTTTGATCGCGATTCGGTTACAGTTTCTGGTTTTATGAATGTCCACCAAAAAAGGTCTATAGCGTATCTCGTTTGGATATGTCTGGGGATTTTACCTTCCATCAAGTGACCCCCATGCGTATCTGGCCTCTGCCTAAAAAGTGGGACAATAATAGTTCGACACGTCATCCTACATTAGACAAATATAGTAACTCACTCGGGAGGGGAGTTTCGGCTTCTACGATTTCGCCTGGCAAGCTCTGTTGGTAAGCTGGAACCAGAAAAAAACATTTTCTGATTACAAGACAGCACCACGTGTAGCGAATGTCTTTTCAACATGATTACTTTGGCAACCTTTTTCGATTTTTGACTTCGGCCCGGCGTGTCCCCGTGACCACGGCGGCTGCAAAGCATCCGCAATGTCGGGCCGAAGTTAAAAACCATTTTCAAATGAGTTTAACTAATATATCGCGTTTTAAACCGTTAAAGTGTTTAATTTAAATATGTACTACTCGCGTAAACTATAGACAGTATTTAACCTTCTTCGAGATAAATCAAACTTGCTGTATTAGTCGAGCCGGCAACCGTTGTTTGAAAATCTATATCTGTCATGTTTAACGGCTATTAAATTTAAAAATGGAACGATCTTCTCCGCAACATGGCGACCAAAGAGGTAACTTATCAAAGGTTTTATTTAAATTTCGAACTGGCTTGCACGTATAAAGCTGTTTACTAAACAATACTTTTGGCGCGTAAAAAACTGTCGTTAATAGTTGTTCGTCAATTTCGTCATTGGTTTTAAAGTTCTGAATAGTACCACTTAGTTTTAATTTCCGCGCGTTATTTGAGAAAAGTACTATACGGGCCTTAGCCGCTAGACATTGATGGACATGCAATCTAATCAAGATGCGCGGTTGGATTTAAGCTTTGGATATTCGGAAATATATAGACTGAAACAGAGACCCGATTCGTGCTCGTTCGTCGGTGTGAAGTATCAACGGTGGACCCGAACCGAATTTCCATATGCCTACCACCCATTTGATATCCAGATTTCCAGACGGACGACACGTTTTAGAGAAATTATAAATTGATTCGAAAAATATTGGACCCGGTGGGGATGAACCCACGAAACGACCCATTGCTTATTACCCATACTTTGCTACCACCAACGGACCCGACAAAATTTATATTGTATTGATCTAAAGTAACAAGTCTTTTTTATTGTTAATTTAAATAGATTTTTATTTTATACAATGACACCGTGTGAAAAATATTAAAGTTTTCAAACGTTAAACTCTGTAATTTCATATGAATGATCTTAAGCTAACAAATACATTGAACCTAATTTACAATTTTTTAACTAATGTATTTCGCGTTTGAAACGGTTAAAATGGTTTTATTTATTGCGCGTAAAATACAGATACTTAACTAAATACACACTACTACTATGTACCCAAATCATTAAATATATTCTCTTTAAGTATATAACAGTCCTTACCTATAAGGCCTGTTAATACATCCATACACGTCCCGGTACCTCCCGTACAGGGTGCCGTAGCTCACACCTAATATTTCCGCTGCCTGCTTCATCTCCAACTCTTTGAGACGCACCGCGTCCATTACCTGGGAAGAAAGTTTAAAAAGTTTTAGATTATATTCGTGATATGTGCCGGACTCGAACCCACGAACATAGTTCTGGTAGAGCCAATTGGGCTACCGTGTCCCACAGATAATTTTTTTTTACATAACATGAAGTATTTTGACAAAGATTTTGATTACCATAAAAAAGGTTCTTGTGAGTTAATCTTAAAGGATAGACGAGATAGATTTTTTTAGATTAATTAAAGAAGAATTATTTTGTCGGTAGTTACGAGAGTAGTACACATTTAAATAAAACACTTTAACGGTTTTGAACGCGATATATTTTAGTGAAACGTCGGGCCGTAGTTAAAAATAATTGTCAAAAAAATTTAACCGTTAAAGTGAATTTAAAAGAATTATATTTTTATATCTCGAATCGTTTTTGCAGCACATACAACGGGATGTCAAAGATGTACATTTCCCCAATTTTTCCACATTTTCCACAACAGTGGGAAAAGTGGGAATATAATAGATATAATATAATAGGAGCGAAGACATTTCTTCGCTGCTATTATAATAGTATTCAAACTTTTCGCTTTATTATATTAGTAAGGAGTTATATAAAATTTCACTTCATGAGCTACACAAATATGGTGGTTTAGCACCCGATTTCCGTTCGATTCCCGTTTGTTAACCGAAACTTTATGTACCATTAATTATTGAAAAGCTTCTGACCGGTTAGAATACGAACCGTATAAAGTGAAATCCAGTTTCCCCTCGTGGGGCATTGGGCGAACATATTTCTGTGGCCGTATCACTGAATGGTTTTATATAAAGGCACGTTGTTGAGAAGACCTCTATGAAACAATCTATTGTTTCCCCCTAATTCGAACCCAGGACCTCTAATGTTTTCATAGACTTTTCTAATGCTGAATCGCATTTTTTTACGTTAAAATAACATCATCGGTAGTGTCATGTTTTTATAACTCACCCTTTTTACATAGTTTTCTTCCCAAAACTGCGGTCTTCTCCCATGTCGCAGGTAGTCGTTTAATTTGACAACATCGCTGAAGCGAGGGTCCACGCAGTTGCCGCTACTTTTGGAAGCTGTCGATTTTCATTAAAATATATGTCAATTCCCGTTAATTATTTAAGAACCATGTTTTTATCCAAACGTTAATTAAAATGTATAAGTGTTTTGCTCGTATCTGGCTCGAAGGACCAAAAAATTAAATTATTGACCAAATTGTAGGGCGAAATACTGAGAGTTAAAATGTTGAAAATAGTTAATTCTTTATACATGTTCTTACATTTCGGCATGTCTACATGCGAAGTACTGGTAGTCGACGAGGATGACGAGGCATGCGCAAGCGCTTCTGGCATCGCTGTCGCACTATCATCGGATTCTTCATCTGTAAACATAATTAGTACTTAGAAGTAAATAAGACTTTATAATTAGTACTTAGAAGGTTGAAAGGGCTGCGTCGCTATATTTTTTGAAGTTACCTCAACATATATATGAAAGAGCCGTTATAAGCGTAAAGTTACTACAACCATTATTATATTAGAATTAGTAAGAAAGTTTAACTGACGATCCATTATTGCTGCCATTGGACAATGTTCGATGCCCCTATCGGAATTTCATTTACCTACCATCCAGATTTCCAAACGAAGTCCAACATATTTCCAAAAACATTGTAAATTGATTAGAAGCAAGTCAGACCTGATGGGATTAGACCCGTCTCGACGACTACACTGTCACCATTGTCCCAGAAGTCAAAAGAAACTATAATAAATCATCACCTGCACTGTTATCACCATCTACGCGAAGCTTGGTGTGCAGAAAGGACCCGATATCCGCTGGAGCGTCAGCCCATTCGTCATCAGACGCATCGCGGGACCATTCTCCGATTTCCGCTTCACCAGCCCCCCAGCCAACTATCCTTTCCACTGAGATGTTCTATAAACAAGAGTTTTTAATTTAAATACAACACTTTAACCGTTTAAAACACGATACATATTAATAGAAATTATTTTAGCCACGGCGAGACGTTTCGGATGCTATGCAGCAGTCACCCCGTGACGACGGCTGCTTTAATTAAAGCTTTGATTTTGAATCTGGTCTAAAAATTATCTTGATATAGATTATAAGATTAGCATACAAATGTTACGAAAAATAACTGATTTAAAGGGGATTTTTAAGCATAAGCTAAGAATGTCAATACAAAACTTACCAAGTTTCCATGTCTCCACTCTTGATCTTTTTCCCTGTAAATTGAAATTATTATCTATGAATTATTAAATACTACTATTAAACACATTGTTTAAACATAGTTTATACATTTGGTCATTAATTTCTAACGACGCGACGTTTAGGATGCTTTACAGCATCGTTGTTGGTGGAGAGACGACAGGAATTCAGGTCGTCTTTAAGAGTAAATATACTTATATGCTATGTTTTCAACCGTTAAAAAGGGTAATATTTAAAGAGAATTTATTTCTAAGCATTTTCTATTGTTTTTATGAGTAGAACATGTTTCAAACAACGCTTGAAGCAGTTTGAAATGAAATTATCTTAGGTTCAAATTATTTCGTTGTAGTAGTTAAAATAATTTATTAATAGGTTTAGGTTTTCATTTCGAGTTTTAATCCGTTAAAAGTGTTTTATCTGAATGGGTGCTACTCGCGTAAACTAACGACAGTACAGTGTTAGCCCTAATTAAAATTTCAATAATCAATAAAATACTTACGTTTAAATAAAACACTAACGGTTTAAAACATGATATATATAAACTGCGTGGTCACGACTACTGCAAAACATCTTAAACGTCGGGCCGTAGTTAAAATAACTTCAATATAAGTTTAACTAATATATACCGCGTTTTAAACCGTTTTATACGTACTGTACTACTCGCGTAAACTACAGACGGCGAAATACTTACGATTTGACTGTTTGTGAGGATAGTTCATCGTCTGTGTGTTCTGTTCCACTCGTCAGTCTTTGTCGCTTCGGACTCTGGCTTTCGCTTTGACTAATAACAAAAAAACAAACAACAAAATAAAGAAAAATCTAATATGAGAAAAAAAATATAGATTTTTAACATACATGATTATTAAATAAGTGGGCATTGGTCCAACTAAACCCAAATACTTTTAAGTAACAACAACCCCCCCCCTAGTCATGGAGCAAACACATTTCTGTGTCACAAACATTCCCCTTTTCGAGAGAAAATATGTGCCCAGGTAAGTTTGAAGCTCTCTGGAGTCTGTTTTCGACTGTCATGTTATGCCCTGGGTTCGACTCGACGAAACAATAGACTGTTGTGTAAAAGAGTAGATCAGTGAAACGGCCACATAAATATGTTCGCCCAGTGCCTTATAAGGAAATAGAGGAAGATAAATTCGGTTTCAGTCTGTGGATATCCGAATATCCAAGGCCAAAATAGGCCAACACCGCATCTTCGATGTTAATGACTGAGGTCACATTCCATCAAGCAAACGCCATGCAAAAAATGGACTTCTTTCAAACTTCTGTTGATAGTAATTTTCTTGAGAAAATTGGAATCGGATATCGAATCCGAGACCTTGTGATGTGTTGTACTTAATAAATTCTACTCACGTATCGGAAATATCCCTCTTCAGTAGCGCGCTACTTTTATCCTTCACTGGCAATTTTATTAATGGTGGCGGGCCTCCTTGAAAAAAGCAACAAAAAAATAGTTAAAAATTGACCAACATTGTATCTTTCCTTCACGAAATATAAATTTAAACTAACACCATATTGTATGACATAGTGCCTGCCTGCGAGACTGGCGTTGTTACGGGTTACGTAACGTAACGCATTACCATCACTTGCGTTATCATTTAAAAAATTCGGATATTTCTTCACGAAATATAAATTTAAACGAATACCATATTGTATGACATAGTGCCTGCCTGCGAGACTGGCGTCGTTACGGGTTACGTAACGTAACGAATTACCATCACTTGCGTTATCATTTAAAAAATTCACCACTTGGTTATATTCGGATATTTCTTCACGAAATATAAATTTAAACTAACACCATATTGTATGACATATGCCTGCCTGCGAAACTGGCCGTTACGGGTTACGTAACGTAACGCATTACCATCACTTGCTTATCATTTAAATTCGGATATTTCTTCAGAAATATAAATTTAAACTAACACCATATTGTATGACATAGTGCCGCCTGGAAACTGGGTCGTTACGGGTTACGTAACGTAACGCATTACCATCACTTGCGTTATCATTTAAAAAATTCGGATATTTCTTCACGAAATATAAATTTAAATAACACCATATTGTATACATAGTGCCTGCCTGGAAACTGGCGTCGTTACGGGTTACGTAACGTAACGCATTACCATCACTGCGTTATCATTAAAAAATTCGGATATTCTTCACGAAATATAAATTAAACTAACACCATATTGTAATGACATAGTGCCTGCCTGCGAGACTGGCGTTGTTACGGGTTAGTAACGTAACGCATTACCATCACTTGCGTTATCATTTAAAAATTCGGATTCTTCACGAAATATAAATGTAAACGAATACCATATTGTATGACATAGTGCCAGCCTACGAGACTGGTATCGTTACGGGTTACGTAACGTATCGCATTACCATCACTTGCGTTATCATTTAAAAATGGATTCGGATATTTCTTCACGAAATAAAATTTAAACAAAAAAAAAAAAAAAAAAAAAAAAAAAAAAAAAAAAAATGGGGCCCCCCGGGGAAGGGGGGGGGGTGGGGGGTTAGGAAAGGAAACGCATAACCACCACTGGTGTTATTATTAAAAATTCGGATATTTCTTCACGAAATATAAATTTAAACTAACACCATATTGTATGAATAGTGCCTGTGCGAAACTGCGTCGTTACGGGTTACGTAACGTAACGCATTACCTCACTTGCGTTATCATTTAAAAAATTCGATATTTACGAAATATAAATTTAAACTAACACCATATTGTATGACATAGTGCCTGCCTGCGAGAACTGGCGTCGTTGGCGGGTTACGGGTAACGTAACGCATTACCAAACTTGCGAAAAACAACACTTTTTTTTTTATTTTAAAAATTCGGATATTTCTTCACGAAATATAAATTTAAACTAACACCATATTGTATGACATAGTGCTGCTGGAATGGCGGTACGGGTTACGTAACGTAACGCATTACCATCACTTGCGTTATCATTTAAAAAATTCGGATATTTCTTCACGAAATATAAATTTAAACGAATACCATATTGTATGACATAGTTGCCTGCGAGACTGGTATCGTTAGGGTTAGTAAAAAAAAGAAAAAAAAACACTTTGGGTATTATTTAAAAAATTCGGATATTTCTTCACGAAATATAAATTTAAACTAACACCATATTGTATGACATAGTGCCTGCCTGCGAACTGGCGTCGTTACGGGTTACGTAACGTAACGCATTACCATCCTTGGTTATCATTTAAAAAGGAAAAATTTCTCCACGAAAAAAAAATTAAAACAAACACCATATTGTATGACATAGTGCCTGCCTGCGAGACTGGCGTTGTTACGGGTTACGTAACGTAACGCATTACCATCACTTGCGTTATCATTTAAAAAATTCGGATATTTCTTCACGAAATATAAATTTAAACGAATAATATTGCTAATACTGCCAGCCTACGAGACTGGTGTCGTTACGGGTTACGTAACGTACTACCATCACTTGCGTTATCATTTAAAAAATGTCGATATTTCTTCACGAAATATAAATTTAAACTAACGTAACGTACCATATTGTATGCTACCAACTGCGTCGTGAAAACCCGCGAGCGGGCGTTGTTAGGGGTGAGGAAACGAAACGCAAAACAAACACTCGCGTTAACATTTTAAAATTCGGATGATCCCTCGCACCGACATTACGAACCACCATATGTACGGCTGCTGGTATCAAAGTAACATCGCGATTACCATCACTTGCGTTATCATTTAACTAAAATCGGGTAAAAAAAAAAAAAATTTTTAAAAAAAAAAAAAATAAAAAAAAAAAAAAAAAAACCCCCCCCCCCCCGAGCCGCCCCCCCCCAAGGGTTACAAAACTTTACCCCCCCAAAAAGGTTTCGCCCCCCTAATAGTAGCAATTTATGCTACCAACGGGTCGTGGGTCGATCCCCACCGAGTCCGAAAGCGTAAATATAGAAAAAAAAAAAAAAAAAAAAAAAAAAAAAAAAAAAAAAAAAAAAAAAAAAAAAAAAAAAAAAAAAAAAAAAAAAAAAAAAAAAAAAAAAAAAAAAAAAAAAAAAAATTTAACACCCCCCCCCCCCCCCCCCCCCCCAACGACAATACCCCCCCCCCCCCCCCCCCCCCCAGCAAAAAACACAAAAAGCCGGACAGAAGAAAAAAAACATTCCAAAAAAAATTAACCTATTATACCCCCTTTTAAACCTTTAAAGCGTTTTATGCTAGATGCTTGACTTGTCTGGAAATCTGAAATCGGATGGTTGGAATAACGAAACTCCATCACTCCACCACAGATGAAAACACCGTGAAGATTAATCGCGATTATCAAAGCCGAAATAGGCCGACAGCGCATCTTGTTTAGATGTTATACGGCTGATATTTCACCTACCATCAAGTCCTCTTCTCTCTTAAAACTCACCGTTCAACGTGAATTTCTCCTTCCCCACATCGACGACGTCATGCTCGTTCTTCATCTCCGAATCAACAGCCTCCTTGTGTATGTCGTTCTTCGTCCGAACCGGGGATTTCCCTAAATCGTGTCTGACGTCATTTGAGATGGAATTTCTGACGTCGTTCGAGTTCTTGTCGGGTGCACTCTTATCAGGAACGTTGATGTCCGGCAAAATGGATTCCGGCTTTGGCTCGGTTTGCGAGTTCTTCTGCGTCGTTGTCACTGCACCTGTGGTTTATAATGGCTGTATTAATAGAGTTAAATGAAACACTTTGAACGGCTTTAAAGTTAACTATGTCAGCGACGCATAGAGTGTTTTTTTATATTTTTGCAAACAACCTCCACGGCTTCATATATAGCTGTCACCTACGACGTCGTCTGCGTCCTAAAAACTTATAGTGTCGCGGACATTTTTTTAAGATCATTCAAAGAGAGATCCTTTCTACGTATTTCTTTGCTTCTCCTCATTTTTTTATTCTTTGTTCCTCCTATTGGTCGCAGCAATTTTTAGACTTCCTCGATAAATTGTCCAAGGGGTTGTCCATTATTCACGTGATCTTTTTTTTTAAATTTTTTTAACCCCCCTCCCCATTGGTGAGACGTAGTGAGGTTTAAGACAACCCCCCTCCCCCTTCTAAACATCACGTGTATTTTTAGTACCTACAAAGAATCTTAAAATTTTATGAATATTCTTTTAAATACTGGTATAGACGATAATCTTATTTCATTCTGAAATTAAAGACCATAATAAAAATGTCTACACCATTTGTTTAAAAATCGCGCGTTTGACGAAAAAATAAATATACGCGATATCTTACTAAACCCCCCCCCCCCCCTTGTGTTATTTTTGTGATTTTTTAAACCCCCCCCCCTTCAAGCCTCACGTGATTAACGGACGACCCCTAATCAACACAAACTAATTTTACAATTCGAACTAGCAGTTCTTGAGATTAGAGCGTTCAAACAAACGCTTCGGCTTTATAATATTCGTATAGATGTTAAAAGCTTCTTTGCCCTACAAATATAGAAAAAGATGAGTACCAGATGTTGAATCGGGCGGTTCATCCTTATTGCTCCACCGTATATCTGTAAGTCCTTTTATCCGGAGCTCTTCAGCCGTTTTCAGTAAGCCAGCTAGCTGCGACTGAAAACACAGTCACAGTCAAAAATTTTTTCACGACAGTAACTATACACTTGACATCTTTAATATTTTTCACATGTTGAACATGATGGGATTATTTAAATAAAACACTTTAACGGTTTAAAACGCGATATATTAGTTAAACTTAGTTGAAAATGATTTTTCACTTCGGCCCGACGTTTCGGATGCTTTGCAGCAGCCGTGGTCACGGGGAGACTAAAGATGGAGGATGTCTCTGACGTCAAAGAAAAAATTGGTACGCTAGCGCCATCTGTTCCGTCGAAGTTGATATTTGGCGAATCTGGCCGGGTCCTTACAGAATTGACTAACGGTGCCTTCGCGTTTGCCGGCATGCCGTTTATTGGGATCCAGAGTTATATGATGGCGATTTTAGATTGAATACATTTTACGACACGGGCAATACTGGAACCGGCATCTATAGCGTTACTTGCCGTTTCTTTAACGACACGATAGCTCTTAATAAGTTAGCGAAACAGCACGGAACGCAGTGGATACCGATTTCTTATTATTTTTGCTATTGGGAACACTGATAAAGGGCTGGGTAGTTTGCCCATATTGTCTGCTGACTATTTCACCCATTCGCCCATGCTTAGCGGAGGATATCAACTTCACTCTAAAAGGCAATTATTAGGTCTCTATGGTTTGAAATCCGCCATATTTAAATACTGTCTATAGTTTACGCGAGTAGTAACAAAATAACGTTTGCAGTACTCCTACAGTCTCCGTGACCACGGCTGCTGCAAAGCTCCGAAACGCCGGGCCGAAGTTAAAAATCATTTTCAAATAAGTTTACCTAATATGTCGCGTTTAAAACCGTTAAAGTGTTTTATTTAAATCGGCAATATTTGTTGCAGGTGCTAGGCGCGTGGGCTTACGACTCGCGCGAACTTTTCAGCAAGTTATTTAGTCCTGGTACTTTAATAATGAAGAAGTAAATCCCGTCTACTCACATGGTGAACATTCATTTCCCCCGTATACATGTAGTCCAGTAGAGCTCGGACGTGAACGGGCTCCGCGCCATCGATCACCAAAACTGGTTCTCCTTGCGCCTCATGAGCGCCTAGCAGCGTCGCCAGGAGTTCTGAACAAGCTGCCAGGACCACCCTGGAAGATAATAAAGATAAATTATTGTATGTTTGAAAACTTTAAATTTCCATGTACAATGGTGGATGGCATTATATAAATTAATAACTATTTATATTGAACAAATTGAGCTACCATTAGTTAGAGCAGCAGCACGGAATCCTGCTCGTGTCGTAATTTTTTTTATTCTTAATAGATTTATGAATTATCGTGTTTCGCATATTATGAAATTAAATTGTATTGCAAAATAATGACACAGAACTCACGATATGGATAGCATAAGTTTAAATAAAACACTTTAACGGTTTAAAACGCGATATATTAGTTACATATTTGAAAATGATTTTTAACTTCGGTCGACCGTTTTGCAGCAGCCGTGGTCACGGGGAGACTGTAAACGTCGTACACGGGGAACGTCGGGCCGAAGTTAAAAATCATTTTCAAATAAGCTTAACTAATATATCGCGTTTTAAACCGTTAAAGTGTTTTATTTAAATGTGTACTACTCGTGTAAACTATAGACAGTATTTAGCATAAGTTTGTTGAGTGGGACAATGGTAGTGGGTCTAAGTTTTAAATTATACGAGTAAGCTAATCTCTTCAAATTCTTACTTACAATAATTAAAAACGCTTTGCAAGTTATTCGGTCGTTTTGAGAAACGACAATTTTAAAATTTTGCCTGCTACCATATAGGAATCACTTTCTATATTTTATATATTACTAGCGAAGTCACGCGACTTCGTACGCGTTGAATAATTATTATGGATATCAATTTTTGTTTTTGCAAACCGATTCAACTCTATAAATTTAAGCTGTCACCCACGTCGTCGTTCGCGTCCCGTCGTCCTTGCAAGTTAATCTTAAAAGATAGACATATACATGTCGCTGAGTTTTTGTAGATCATTTAAAGAGAAATATTTCTTTCATACATATTTTTTGGGTGTCTTTAACCGTTTTCGCAGCGTTTACGCATCAGAAACCCAGAGAGATGAATAATTTTCCCCATTTCGTTCACATTTCTCGCTGTTTCTTCGCTCCTGTTAGTCACAGCGCTATGTTTTATAGCCTATAGCATTCGAACCAGTAGTTCCAGAGATTAGCGCGTTCGAACGAACAAACTCTTCCGCTTTATATATTACTATAAATTGACGCCCGCGTGAAGGCCACACTAAGATATTTTCAAGACTAATTTACATAAACTATAATAGTTTTAAATAAACAGCACAAAAGCTAATATAAATGAATAAGACAAATATATATGTGTAAAAAACATTTTATTGACATACTTATTTTAATTAAGATAAAACAGTTTTTGCATGTTTCTAAAAGTATTTTTTATGTACTATAGTTAATTCATGAAATTATCATTTTTTGGATTTGAAGAGGGGGTGGAGAACCAGGTAAATCAATTTCATCAATCAAAGTTTCCATTGCGTACGCTGCGAAAAGGATTCAAGATACTCGAAAAATATGTATGTAAGAATGATTCCTCTTTGAATTATCTAAAAAAAAGTCCGCGACAGTATGTCTATTTTGTAAGATTAACTTGCTAGAACGACGTCGCGGGTAACAGCTTTTTATAGAGTTGAACAGGAGGTTTGCAAAAACAAAAATGGATAGCAAAATAACTATTCTACGTGTATGAAGTCGCTGACTCAGCTTGTTAAAATAGCATAGAAATACGTTTAACAAAACATAATATAAAAATATTTACAATAAATTATTAATTTACTAAAGGATAATTTTAAAATAATAAAATACACAGTCGCCTACAAAAAGGAGACCACTCAGCTACATTGGGTACTATCGCGTTTTAAACCGTTAAAGTGTTTTATTTAAAAAAGTCAAAATCATTTATTCATTTAGGTTACAAGGTACAGGTCACAAAACTAAAGAATCCAATTTTACATTTACTACCAGTTCTCAAATGGAGGGCGTAGAACGAGAAGAACTGGCATTAACACCAAGCTTTGTCTGTTTGTGGCTGTAGTAACTGGTCTACCCCGGTATACCATCGCCATAGTTGAATTCAATTAGTTCGAGAACATTCTTACGCTTAAATTAAACAAATATGCAAAACTTAACACCCAATTACCATAATAGTTCCAAAGTTTCAAAATACGATAAAAAACCGTATTATTCCAACAATGCTTTTAGTTTTTTTCTAATTGTGTGTAAATAATTAAATTAAAATAATGGAGGTTTCGAGGGCGATAAAATTTTTAAATGTAGGTACGTTAGGCGTTTCGAATATTTTACGTTAATGATGTGGTGCTGTTAGTCCACAACCAAAGCTAGGCTTGGTTTTCGTAAAGATAAACTTTTGACTTTGTAAAGGTCCCACAATCCATAGATAACGCACTTTTGTTTATGATAGAGGACAGACAAGCATTCACTTGATGGTAGGTGATAAACCCCAGCAATATAACCTCGTAAATCCACAGACAGCAAAATCATAATCGTAAATCCACAGACTAACGAAGTTAATATATTTCACGTTTAAACAATCAGTGTTGTCATTGAGTCTCGGGCTGTTCGGCCGACGTGAGCGAGAAGAGGCTCGGCGTTTCGCCATCACGAGCGGGAGGCATCGTCAGATGTTAACTCCCCGATTGCTCGAAGAATTATCTCGTGAACACATTTAGATAAAAAACTGATTTATAAATTGTTTAAGGCTTTCGCGGCCATCGTTCAGCATATCATTGTTTTTCGGGCTGTACGGGCCACGTGAGCGAGAAGAATGAAATTCTTTGAGCAATCGAGGAGGCCAACACCTCCTGATGATGCAGTCTGCTCGTGATGGCGAAACGTGAAAAACCTATGTTCGCGTCAGTGAACAGTCTGAAAAACAATTATAACTGAACGTATTGTTGTCATATTAGTGCGTTTAAAGAGAAATTGTTTACTGTTCGATTGTATTGGGCAACACTGTCACAAAATAAACGGCACTCCTAAAATCTATGAAGCGGAACATTGAATTTTGTAGGCGTACTGTGAACCTTGACGAGCAAAACGCGAATTATAAGATCAAAATTATATACTATGCAATATTCTTTATTAACCACTGTATGTAATTTTATCTATACTAATATTAAAAACGTTTTTCGTACATGCGCCAATCTCAGGAAGTACTGCTCAGTACTGAATCGTTTTTATGTTAGACAAGCCATTTATCGAGAGAGGCTTTAGGCTATATAAAGTATGCCGGTAGAGAAATTAGAAAAGTTTTTGAACAAGAGCGAAAGAACTAAATTTAAAATCTATTGAGATGTCTCGTCAGTGTTTGTCAAATACATTGATTTTTAATTTATAATAATGTGGGTAGTTTACATTATAGCTGAATTAAAGAATGTCGTTGACACATACTATGTATAGTAAAGGACTAACCTGTGCGCCTTGAGTGACACCCCTCGCATACTCGTGTCCCTCTCTTTATTTGGCGTTTGTGTAGAGAAGTTAGACGAACAGTATAGAGTGACGTCACAAAATCTTTCTGGAAATGAAACAATCAATATAAGAAGAACTGCCAAGTGCGAGCCAGAAATTATTTTAGTTCTTATACCAGAAACAGGAATATATATTTAATAAACATATAGACTATAACTAGTACAGTTCATAAGAAACAATCAGACGACGGACAGAGTCGAATATCCGAAGCTAAAATATTAGTATTTCACCAATCCTTAAGTGATCCCTTGCTTCTCTGTCCTCTTTTGTACTACTTAAATCGCTAACTCGATGTAATTGAATTTATTCACTTAGAATAGAACACTTTAAACGGTTTGAAACGCAACATTCTTCAGTAGCAAAGCATCAGATTTGCATTTTAAACTATAAAGAGTTTTTCTTTTATAAATTACAAGAAATATAAAAATACAAATCTTTCCTCTTTATAATATTAGTGTAGAAGAGAACAATCATGAAGCCCACTTGATGGACGTCAAAATACCCGAGCCGTATAACATCTGAACAAGATGCGCTACCGACTTTTTTTTGGCTGTGGATATTAGGAAATAATCTTTCTGAAACCGTTTACGGCCTTATCACCTTCGTGGTTCGTCATCCGGACGAAATTCAGATATTATTTGATATCCACTTTGCGTGGATACTAAAGTAAATTGAGTGTTAAGGTTGAAATTACAATGCGCGAGAGGTGCATGTATCAATAAGTTGAAAAAATTCGACGATCAGGTGTAGGACTCGGTAGCTCAATTGGTAGAGCAACAGCACGGAAAGCTGACGATGCCGGTTCAAGTCCTGCCCGAGTCGAAAATTTTTCAATTTATTTTCGATCTTTAAATTAAATTGACGTGTTTAATTTCAAATTGAACATTATTTATTAATTTTAGCCGCGTCTTTAGATAATACGCTACATTGTTTTAAGATTAAAGTCCAAATACAAGTTTGTTTGTGAAATATTTGGGTCCAAATGAATATCTATATTGACACAGGGTGACAACGAATCGTATGTTTGTTACTAGGCAACAATATATATTTATTACATGCATTTGACATTAGCTAAATACAATAAGAATTAAGAAAAATTTCAAACACTAACAAGTTTAACTAATATACTTCGCGTTTTAAACGGTTAAAGCGTTTTATTTACGTGTCTACTACTCGCGTAAACTGCAGACAGTATATAACTTAGCGTTTAATCTCTATTATCTACAACACCGGAACGCACAGTTAGTTTTTTATTGGAGGAGACAGGCATGGCATTCGCATGATAAATGGTGGAATGGGCCAGCCACATAATATCGAATGAATGCACTGCTGATCTATTTTGACTTTGGAAACTGAACGCTTAACGGAGTATTCTTCTTTGAACGATAGTTCGTAATCCGGACAGAATTTTGATATTAAAACCAACCAAAATGTCCAAATTTTCTACATGAACTTATGTTTTAGAAAAATTATAATGAAATTTGAGACACATGTTAGACTTTGAAGGTATCAAACAGACGAGCTTTTATTACCTACTAGCTGTGCCCGCGACTTCATTCGCATTCAATAGTGACTTGCCTAGAATTTTTAATTATTTAGGCTGTTTATTAATTTATGTAAGGGCGCATTTAAGGCAGCCAATCTATGTTGTAAGTGCTACTTTGCCGCAACACTCACCACACATCACTCCTACTCTGACTCCCACTCTTATTCCTACACTCACTCCCACTCCCACTCCTATCCCCAAAAAGCCTAAGAAGAAAATTTAATTATTCTAGCTTCAAAAACCACGAATTTCCATACAAATTTTCATCTCCCTTTTCAACTCTTATTTGGTATTATAAAGTAGCCTAAGTCCTTTCTCAGACTCTAAATAATACCTGTGGACCAAATTTAATTTAAAACAGTTCAGTAGTATCGGAGTTAAAGCCGGACAGACAGACAGTTACTTACGCATTTATAATATTACTAAGTAGTATAGATTTAAATAACACTTAAAAATAACTACGGCCCGAGGAATCATTCTTTCATACATAAAATCTGGCTATCTTGAACTGGTTAATTTTCCCTGTTTTCACGAAATCTTCCATTGCTTCTTCGCCCCTATTGATCGCGGCGCGATGTTTTATAGCCTGAAGCCGTCCTCGATAAATACTCTAGCAAAGACTAAAGGGATTTCGCCGTTCAAACCAGTAGTTTCTGAGATTAGCACGTACAAACAAAATTTCAGATAATACGATTGGTACAGATCTAAATATAAGACTTAACATTGTATACCTACCTACGCGGAAGATATAAGTTACTTAAAAAAATATAACTAAAACCTAGAAATTATTTTATACGCATTGCTGCTACTTGACCATAGAGCTAGTAAAGCAATATTAAATAAACCATAACGGTTTAAAACGCAATCAATATTAGTTAAACTTACTTGAAAATTATTTTAACTACGTACTGACGTGATCACAGGGAGCATCCGAAACGTCGAGTAATTAAAATAGTTTAACGAATATATATCGCGTTTTAAACGGTTAAAGTGTTTTATTTAAATGTGTACTACTCGCGAAAACTACAGACAGTGTTTAGTCGAAAAATGCTAAAGCAAAAAACATCGGTTTCTAACATCAAAAGACCTAAGTTAAGTAATCCAAAAGTTAAGCAAATACGTATTGGATGAGGAAATGAAAGTTTGATATCTATACCTTATCCGCAAATCTTACGCAATTTCATATTTTAGAGAGAGCACACATTTATTTGCATGACTTTGTATAAATCGTGAATATTGTTCTATATTTTTTTTTATAATTCGTTCGATCGTAACGAACTGGATCCCGACCCGTAGATCAAATGACCTAGGTTTTTTAAAGACACACTTGATGGATGATACACCAGAGCCATATAACATCTAAGCCAGATGCATTGTCGCTCTATTTTGGCATATTAGGAAATCCACAGACTGAATCCGAAAGGCGATTAAACTTCACGGCTTTTTTTTTGTGACCTAAACGGAATTACAATATCCAAATTTACAAAACATTACTTAAATCCAATTTAATTCAACTTTTAAATGCTTAGACCCGTTTGGACATAGGGTGGTCTTGGTCTGTTTTCGGGGACTTGAGTCTTTTATTTTTCCCATCAGACTGTTAGTAGCCACAATATCAAAAATGTCGCAAAATAAATAACTTGGTTACAAGATATCCGAAACGTCGGGTCGTTGTTAAAATAAATAAACAATAGATTTAACGTTAGAATGCGTAGAATGAAATTTAAGAACGAGCGAAAAGATAGGTGTGAAAAGGACGGAGAGAGAAATAAAAAATGGCGAATTGAGACGTATTCTGTAAGATGAAGAGGAAATAAAATGTTATCCATATTTTATTATAACGTTCGCACAAAATCGTATACTTGTGTAATTCGCGTTTGAAACCGTTAAAAATGTTTTATTTAAAATATCGTATTGTCAACCGTTACATCCTTTTTGTTTAATTTATGACAAGAGAATCTCAACCGTGAAATCTGAAATTTAAGCCGCCGCTAAAGTGGTTTAAATTTTATGATAATAATTTACGCAAAATTAAATTTAACTCAACATTAACTAATTGTATAACATTATGTAAATTACTTATGAAGACGTTAGTTTATCATTTTGATTCGAAAGTATAATATAAACATGTAATTTAATTACTCAAAGTTATATTTAAATTAATTTAAAATAGTTTTTATTTTCACCATTTTTTTATCTATCTTATAATTTAACTAGCTGAGCCAGCGACTTCGTTCACGCGAATCGTTATTTTGGCCATCCAAATTCGTTTTGGCAAACCTCTTCATCTTTATAAACTTAAGCTGTCCACGACGTCCGTCGCGTCCCTTCCCGTCGTTCTTGCAAGTTAATCTTAAAAGAGAGACATATATAGCGCCGTTTTCTTTAGATCCTTTAAAGACGAATCATTCTTTCATTCATATTTTCATATCTTGTATCGTTTTTGCAGCGTACGGCTCGGAAACCCATAATTCTTCCTTCGCTATCTTCGAATAGTCACAGCGTGATGTTTTATAGCCTATAGCTTCCTAGCTCTGACCAACACATGCATTTTTCAATTATAACCCGTAGTTCCTGAGATTAGCGCGTTCAAACAAACAAACTCTTCAGCTATGTATCATGTATATACTGTATATAGTGTATCATCTGTGGATGATATACAATCCAAAAACAAGTTTTTAATTTAGGTTATAATAATTCTAATATCCTATCGATTATTATCTTTAATATCAGTTCCAAGATACAATTTGATTGCTTCCTTCGTATAAAATTCTGTTTACATTCAAAATAAATTAAAATAATTTTTGAAATTTATATCGTTACGTGTTAAAATTCATTGTTTTGTATGTAAACATTCGTGCCTCCGTTTCACTGAACGATTTCATTACACTTTAACGGTTTAAAACGCGATATGTAGATAACTTATTTTTATCTACACGTAGTTTAAACAAGTAGTCCACATTTTAATAAAACAGTTTTACCGGGTTAAAAGCTATATATGTATATATATATTTTAGTTAACTTATTTTTAACTATGGCCCGACGTTTTGGATGCTTTGCAGTAGTCTAACTCATGACGGGTCTGAAGATGGAGGGTGAGCGGATCCTTCCGAAATAACGGGTGTTGATAAACAATGAACTAATATATTTAACGTTTTAAACGGTTAGACGTGTTTTATTGCAATCTGTACTACTAGTTTAAACTTTGAAAAATATATTTCTCGTATTAAAACTGGTAATAATGTTTTATTTCAATATGTACTACTCGTTTAAACTACTTATAATTAAAAATAGTAATAAATATCGCGTTTTAAACCGGTAATAACTGTTTTATTTCAATGTGTAATGTAAACAAGATGTAAACAAGAATAAAACCAATAATAAACGCTATCAATAGATAGTTCCAACCTTCGAAGCATCCAAAAAATTTATTTTCAGCTATTGAATTTTTATCGACCACACTGCTTCTTGGACCTGTACCGGTTTTTTAAAGGTCAACATTTGATGGCTATTTTTAGACATGAAAGTATTTTTGGCTGCTAAGATTACTTAATAGCTGATAAGTGGGTCGAGACTGATTGAAATATTTTAAAACTTGGACTGGCTCGCTGGTGAAATGGTAATACATAACGTATGACTAAGTTAATGGGTCGGGGGTTCGACTCCCACCGGTCTAACACATTTTTTATCAGTTATTGTGTCTTAAACATCTTTGAAGGTAAAACTGAAATTCCATTCAGCTCAACGTATTTTATCATTGAGGATAGAGAAGCATAGGGTTTTTTCGATGGTAGGCCAATACGCCAGCTGTGAAAATCTCAACGCGATGCGCTATCGACTTATTTTAGATCTGGATATCCAGAAATTTACAGACTGAGATCATAACGCGATTAAACTTGAAATCCGAAACTCCGAAGTCGATAGCACGTTTTGTTAAGATTTAATGTGGCTCTATTAAAAAAAAAAAAAACTGGATAGTCAAACATGCACACGCTGAAATCGTTATGCTATAAACTTCACGGCTTTCTCATCTGAGGACCGTAGTTCGTGAGCCGGACGGAATTTCGATATTCCCATATAATATCCAATATTTCACACTCAGTGCGACGAGTATTCGAGAAATACTGTCTGCAGTCTACTCGAGTAGTACACAATTTAAAACACTAACGGTTTAAAACGCGATATATACTAGTTAAACTGATTTGAAAATTATTCTAACTACGGCCCAACGTTTCGGATGCTTTGCAGCAGTCTCGCCGTGTCACATCTGCTTTTTTCAAATAAGTTTTACTAATATAGATCGCGTCTAATGCCGTAAAAGGGATTTATTTAAAAGTATTGAAAAAATTATACATGTATTAGACATATTGGACAAGGTGGGTATCGAATACACGTCCGGTTGATTACACCAACGATTACCTTACCTTATTTTAAAACTTGTTTCTAGTTTTCTTTTTTTTTTAATGTCAATTTGTGTAAAATTAATGTTAAGTGCTCCTAATTTTAATTGTAACTATAATACTGTAATTTTGATGCATATCATTGTTTTTCATGGTCTAGTTGTGTAAGTTATTGTAAAACCTCAAATTTTATCTGTGAAACTATTTAAGGGAATATCTGTACTCTATATATATATTTAATTCCTTATGATATGACTCTGTGATATTTCTGTTTGTTTCCTGTTTTCTTAAATAAATAAATAAATAAATAGATTCCCGTCAAAATGGTTTTATTTCCATAATAATAACAAAGCTCTTTATTGGACACACATATTTATACTGAAGCAGAATAGACACTTATCTATACTTATATAAAAAGCTGAAGAGTTTGTTTGTTTGTATGTTTGTTGGCGCTAATCTCAGGAACTACGGGTTCGAATTGAAAAATTATTTATATTTTGGTTAGATCATTTATCGGGGGGAAGCTGTAGACTATAAAACGCACCGTGTAAAGATACAGCGAGAAATGTGAAAAAAACATTTGGAAAAATTATTCGTCCTTTTGGGTTTCCTGGGCGTACGCTGCAAAAACGGTTAAAAAAAAAATATATATATCTAACAGATAATGCCTCTTTAAATGACCAAAATAAAAAGTCTGCTATATGTCTATCTATTAAGATTAACTTACAAGAACGACGGGAAGGGACGCGACGTAGGTAACAGCTTTTTTACAAAAACACATTTAGATATCCAAATTAACTATTCTACGCGGACGAAGTCGCTGACACAGCTAGTTTTCAGCTAGTTTATATATATAAATAAAAAATTTTGTCCAAAGGCGGCCTTATCACCTAAGGCGATTCGTTCCAGGCAACCTTTGCATGTAGAAAACGTGTATAAGTGTTCCATACCTTTCTCCAGAAGTTGCGAGAACATGCTCTGGACGTTGGAGTGGTGGTGTTTCCACCGCAGGCAGTACTGCTGCGGAGTCATCTTTGGTTAAGTTAAAGTTACTGGAACATGGAATGTAATTCGGTGGTTTCGCCTGAAACAAACAAAAAACATAAGATAATTAAAGAGTTATGTATGGACATATGAAGCCTCTAGAGAAAGTGTAGCCTAACTGCAATTATATGACTTGACTTTTTTCATAGTCTAAAAATGCTAATCTACAAGAGCACCGTGACCAACCATTTTTAACATAATATTCTTTAAATAAAACACTTTAACGGTTTAAAACGCGATATGTTAGTTAAACTTATTTAAAAATGATTTTTAACTTCGGCCCGACGTTTCGGATGCTTTGCAGTGTCTCCCCGTGACCACGGCTGCTGCAAAGCATCCGAAACGTCGGGCCGAAGTTAAAAATCATTTTCAAATAATTTTAACTAATATATCGCGTTTTAAACCGTTAAAGTGTTTTTTTTTAATGTGTACTACTTGCGTAAACTATAGACAGTAAGTATATAATATTCTTAATAAGTAATTTGCGCATTTTTATTTTCCTTATCAATTTTTTTTTAGGCCTATCTGCCTCTAGCATATTTAATAATGATAACCCTTTTTTTCATACATTATTAGAAAATTACATGCATTGTTTTTGATACTTTAAAAAATATATTATACGTATTAAGTATGTTTGTACCCCCCTCCCCCATAACGCCACTATGTATAACATATTTTAAGAATAATTTATCTAAAACTATGTCCTTGAAAGCAGTTTTGGTCTAGCGGAGTGCAACTATTCACTGTTCGTTAGTTATTTTTTTTTTAAATACTGGAATTTGAAATTGGAACGTACGACGAAGACGTTCTAGATTCGAACTCGAGATTCGTTTGCGAAGCGCACTTTTTAAATTAATACTGAAATTCGAAATTGGAACGTACGACAAAGACGTTCCAGATTCGAACTTCCAAGATCTTTTACTAAACGCACTTACTAACAATCCATTTTGTATAATAGTCCTTACACACGAGAAAAACATGTAAGAAATGATAATTTCTATATAAACAAATGGACATGCGAAACGCGACTCTAATCACACTACCATACGAATCACTTTCTCTAATCAAACGCGAACGAAACGAAAAAACTTCCCAAAATCTACTCGCGATAAGGCATTCGTAGAATTTCGAAAAACGATAAGAACGGTCACGGGTTCAACGTTTATCGTCGAAAACCAAATGTTTGTTGACGCGAGGAAAATTTTTTTATTTGTATAATTGTAAAGTAATATTTGTTCCATTTGTTTTGTTTACGCACTGTGCGACGCGATAGTCGCGACGCGTATTATCGAGAGATCGCTATCGTAGATATTATAAAATCGATATCTATACGTATATTATAAAGCCGAAGAGTTGTTTGAACGCACTAGCTTTTCAAAATTATCTTTGTGTTGGATAGATCATCTCGAGCGAGGAAACAGTAGGAAGTGTGGAGAAAACGGGAATCACTATTCATTTTGAGGAATTCCGTAAAGCGCTGAAAAATGTATATAGAAGAATTAGTCTTCTTTAAGTGATCGTAAATATTTCCGCGATTTAATATTTATTTACAAGAACCGGTTTTATGGTGATCAAATTTTGTCGATATCGCAAATGATCGTTTGCCAAGTCAGCTAGTATTGAACGTTACTTATGTCGTATAGAACAAAACTTGTAAAAAAAAGTACCACTAAACTCACTTCATTTACCATACAAATAGTGTGATCCATGTTTTACTAAGTTATCGACCTTCTGTCTTAAATAATTTCGTAATACGCTTTACCAAACCACGTCCTACACTTTTGAACGTATATTATTTTAAATTCAAGTCTATACTTATATTATAAAGCTGTAGAGTTTGTTTGAACGCGTTAATCGCAGGAACTACTGGTTCGAATTGAAAAATGATATTCAGTGAATAGATACGATAGATCGCATCGCACAGTGTGTAAGCACGCTCAATATTTATTTGTTCGAGTTAAAAACCACTGATAAGAATTATCACAGGCAGTTTTGAATGTTTTTGAACGACCCCGTTATTTCGAAAACAGATCGTTGCGCTGTTGTTTATGACGCAGTTATTTTTGGCTTTTATTTATTTTGTATCTGTGGAGGAAGACAGAGCTATGTCTTGGTTTTAGAATGTATTTGTTAGCTGTGCTCGCGACTTCGTCAGCGTACAATAGCCATTTTGGGGGGGAATTTTGTTTTTAAAAACCTCCTCACCTTTTTAATTTGTAGTTGTTACCCTCGTCGGCGCGTCTCGTTGTTCTTTCAATTTTATTTATTTATTTGTACATAAAGCATTGAAAGCAGAAGCCAAAACATGCAGTATGGGAAATTATCTAGGAATCTTATTTAAGAAAGACAAATATCTTGTTCTAAATGAGCCTAGATTTACATCAAATGTATCAATATAGATAGACATATACCTACTGTCGCGGAATTCTTTTAGGCAATTTAATCAGAACACTTTTAACTGGTTTCAAATTCACAATATATAAGTAAACTTAATAAATTGTGTAAGGCTTTCACGGCCATCGTTCAGCATATCATTGTTTTTCGGGCTGTTCGGCTGACGTGAGCGAGAAGGGATTCTCGACGTTTCACCATCACGTGCACGGCATCATCAGATCTTAACTCCTCGATTGCTCGATGAATTATAATTAACCTAATTCTTCGAATAAGTAAACTTATTTTTAAGTCTGACTAAATGTATTTAGAGCGGCAACTACGGTCATGGGGGGACCATTACCACGCATACTAGTAAACAAAAATTATTGCAATGTTCAAATATATAATAGAATGAATAAAACACTTTTAACGGTTTAAAACGCGAAACATATTAGTTAACTAATATTAACTATGACCCGACATATTGAAAGCACTAGCTATGTCCATGCAACCAATGCCACGCATACTAATAGTACATATAATTTATTAAACTATGTCATACAAGAATTCTATTTAATTCCGTTACGGTCTTAATATCAACGTTTGAGTAATATATTTAGCAATTAAATGTTAAACTCTCGTATTATAATACTAGCTGTGGACGCGACTTCGTCCGTATAGAATAATACATAATTTTAAATACATAAATTTGGTTTTCAAACCTCATTTGTTTTTATTTTAACTGTTACCCACCACGTCCCCGCGTCCTGTCGTTCTTGCAAGTTAATCTTAAAACAAAGACATATAGTGTCACGGACAGTTTTTTAGATCATATAAAGAGGAATAATCATTCATATATATTTGAATAGGTATCTTTAACCGTTTTCGCTGCGCACGCATCGGAAACCGACAAAGACGAACAATTTCCTTGGATTTTTCACATTTCCCGCTGTTTCTTCGCTCCTATTAGCCACAGCGCCTTTTATAGCGTGCCTCGATAAATGCTCTAACCAACACAAAAATAATTTTTCAATTCGAATCAACAGTTCCTGAGATTAGCGCGTTCAAACAAACAAACTCTTCAGCCTTATATATTAGTATAAAGATTAAAACTCTTGTATTATAATATGTAATGACGTTTAAATTAGCGTTCATCGCTAATTGTTACGAATCGTTGCCCGCAAACGTCCAGAATAGGGTTGACACAAAATCAAAATGGCGTATATTCAAATTAGCTACGAATATTTCCGTATAACAATAATTATTGTACGCAATTAAGTTAATTAGTTGTTTCTTGGTAATGTCTACCAATGGTTAGGTTATTATAGCTAGAAGACATGATAGTTTATATAATTTGAATTTCTAAAGATAATAAACTTCTTTTTAACCCTATCCATTTAGTACAATACTGGTTAAATACTGTCTATAGTTTACGCGAGTAGTACACATTTAAATAAAACACTTTAACGGTTTAAAACGCGATATATTAGTTAAAATTATTTGAAAATGATTTTTAACTTCGGCCCGACGTTTCGGTCTCCCCGTGACCACGGCTGCTGCAAAGCATCCGAAACGTCGGGCCGAAGTTAAAAATCATTTTCAAATAAGTTTAACTAATATATCGCGTTTTAAACCGTTAAAGTGTTTTATTTAAACAATACTGGTTAATTATAAATATGATTACAATTAAATTATTCATACAAAAAATATTAATCAAATTGCTTCAACATGATTTTCAGAAAAACCTTGCTGTACTCAAAGTAGCCGTGATCTTTGTTGATTGGTGGGGAGTTTGTTTAAAATGTAAACACATCACTTTTAACGGTTTAAAACGCGAAATGTTAAGCTTACTTTTAATTTAAGTACAGCCCAACGATTCGGTTGCAGTCCCCCACCTGGCGACAGCAGCCGCAGAGCTTCGAACACGTCACCTAAGCGAGTGGTACACATAACAAAATATTTAACTGTTCAAAACGTAAACTATACATTATGTTAATTTATTAATAACTAAGACCCGATGCAGACGTTTAGGATTGCGCTACAGTGTTCCTTCTGTGGCCACGCCGATTTGACGTATTAATTGTTTAAATATTTATTTACCGTAAACGAAAAGTAAGCGAAGTGAATTAAAAGCTGATTATTAGCTTTTTTACGCACTGTGCTGAATAAGCTATATATATATATATATATATATATAGGTATATTTTGGCTATTTTATTTAGCTTTTTGAAACAGCTATGTTTTTAATAAAATGTGTAAGGTTTTTTCAGCCACCATTCAGCATGTCATTGTTTTTCGGGCCGTTCGGCCGACGTGAGCGAGAAGACATTTCTCGACATTTCGCCATCGCGAGCGGACGACTATTTATGTAGCTATTTTTCTTATTTGAAAGTGACAGCCCTACGATATTGTAATTCTTCCATCCGTCACGGCAAAACTTTCAAATGCAAAAGAAACGAAATTGTCATACGCCGTCTGATCGATTTCAGTGCAATTATAAAATAATCTACTTAGTGCGTGTAGTTTACATTAAATAGAACAGTTTTGACGGTTCAAAACGGTACATCAGTTTTTATCACAAAGGAGGATAGACAAGTGTCAGCAAGATACGCCGT